GTCATAAAAATGTTAGAGCTCATTAACTCGAACACTGCAAACTCTATTTCAAAGAAATTCTTTCTTTCTAAAAGAAAGAATTTCTAAAAATGCAACAAAAACTAAAGTCTGCATTTTGCACATGCAATATTTATTAGAGCCGACCCTGTTTATTTTTGAAGTTGCTGAACGGGAATACATTTTATACTGAGGTCAGAAATAATAGCAGAGTCTCAGCTCTGACCTCCCCTGACCTTCTCTGCTCACAGAATCATGTACTGGCTGCTTTGGCTGCTGGAGAAGCAGAAAAATGCAGTGAAGTACTTGATCCGCTGCAGACGGACCCTGTACAGTCCACTGTTAGCAATACTCCCTGATTACACAGTAACAGTCTCTGTCTTTGTCCTCACGTAGCCACCCCTGAATGCTGTGGTCAACTTTGTCCACCGAGTTTTCTCCTAATGAGATCGTTCCACATGGGCGCCAGGCCACTGTCACTGCTGTTTGTCATTCTCAGGCCAACATCATTTTCTGCGTGAGGGTTTGTCACAGCTCAGACTCCAGTCGTTACCCGTGGGCTCGTTATAACATCGAGAACTAGAGAGGAAATTCCAAAGATAAGTCTGAGGTGAAGGTGGTGTGTTTTTATAATGAGCAGAAAATCCCAATGAAAGGAAGCAGAAGTCAATAAACATTACAGCAGCTAGAGGTCACTGATGAGTCACCTCACGTTGAGGTTAAGTGAATGGAAAAACAAGAAGGCAAAAAATGTACAGATATATTTAATACCTAAAGACCCACTGGCCCACAACAGCACAAGAGCTATTTATGATGATGCTAATTTAGCTAACGCAAACACTTTTGCACATATTGTTCTGATGTCAGACTCGAGCCCTTCTCATGTTTATTTTTAGGTTTTTCCAGCTGCTTGCAGTTGCAAAAACATGTTTGTTATGGAGCAACAGTGACAACGTCATTAATTCTATCATTATCTATTCAGTTGCCTCTTCGTCTGGTCCAATTTGACTTTCATTATGCTTTATTGTTGTGAATGGTGAGGAGTGGTTAAGGAAGCATTTAGAAGCAGAACGTTTCCGGACGTTATTTCTGCTGCTATTCGAGGAGTGGTTAAGGAAGCATTAGCAGAATGTTTCCGGACGTTATTTCTGCTGCTATTTGGAAAATCACAGAAAAAAGGAAACTGTTCACTGTGACATTGGCTAAGAAAATTACACCAACTAAATTCGACAAGTAATTGCTGCAAGGACACAAAGACCACTTCAAAAGACAGAAAAGAAAAACATTTAAACTCCTGTTTTTTTCTGCTACATGAAAAACAGTACCTCTCTGGTGTTCTTTTCTTTTTATTCTTGCTAATGGACAAAATATTTCCTGTAGGCATCGTAGATGAAAAACACTACATTTGAAAATATGTGCATTTTGGTTTCTGTACGATATCAGAACTAATCCTTAGGGATCTACACACCACATAATATGAATTAGCTTAAATGTCTCATCTTACTTGTTAACAGCAAAGCGCTTTTTATTTATTTTATTTTTTTCATTTTAGCCTCACTTTACCCTTGAGTAAAGAATGTGACCACTGGGGACAGTCCAATGGGGCTATGACCCAATTTAAAACTAACTAAGGAAAGTCTATTCAGACTAGGCTCTTGGCAAAGGCCACATAGGTGGTTGCCTGGGGTGCCCTCTGCTGGAGAGGGTAATCATGTAACCCCTGAGAAAAAAAGAAAAACATTTATAAAGGGAGTGATAGTGGGCTTCAAATCAGGACCCTGCCTAAGGCACCAAAATGGCCAGTAATAACTGTGACAGCTGGATTATCCTGGGACAAAACATTCCCATCCACAGCTGAACGAAGTCAGCAGGGGTAACGTATGCCTTGCACAAACAAGGCAGGAAATATTTTTTGCTGTGCCTGTCTTGTCCTTTCCTTTAAATAGAATATAAAATTGAACAAAATGATATGTTTGCTGCACAGAGAAAAAGCCGACATTACAGTTTCAGTGGTGCTGGCAGCTTACTGTGTTGTAGATCATCATAGAGTGCTGAAGTGTGGAGACATGCATCAGGTGTGTGAAGAGTCGGTCCGGTGTCAAAGGGAAAAAGAGAAAATGAGCCCTGCAGTTATTTTTTTGCGTCCAGTGCTGCTTCGTAGCAGTTCTTTCCAAACTGGTGTCAGAACATCACGCAGTGGTTCAGGATAGACTCCCATAACACCAGTAGTCAAGGCAACAAGATAGAACTAAGGTTTTATGAGAGGGAGGCAGCAAGTATCAATCTGGGGCACACACACACACATACACACACAGGAAGCAGGAAGTACATCAGAAGAAACATGTATGTTTTTTTTCTTCTGTGCCTTTTTTTCAGTTTTCAGTTGGTTTAAATGTAGTTTGACGAAACACTAAAATCAACAATTTAACATTTCTAAAAGATTTTAATTTATCCAAATAATTTGGCAAAGACACGGCTGTGACTTTTTATAATTATATGTAAACAAGTTACGTGACATGTTGTACATTACTTATATACAGGCGAGGACAATGTATAGAAAATGTGCAGTATACTTTCTTTATCTTTCTTTATAAACATACACAATATGAAAATACTTTATTTAAATACTTTAATCTTCCCATGTGTCTATTTTGCTGACTTGCTTGTACGTCAACCCTCCTATACTCAAATTCCTATGTGGAATCTTTAGATTTTTGTAATGTGATTTACCTCAATATTTCAATTTTCATCATTTCTCTTGTGCTATATTTCAGATTTAAATTTTTCTCTTGTGCTCTTCAATTTTTTTTTTATTTCTATGGTGCTATGATTTCATATTTATACTTTCCTTGTGTGCCTCCTTCAGGATTACAATTTTATTTTTTCATTTCTATTCCTTCAGGATTACAATTTTATTTTTTCTCATTTCCAATCTTTTAAAATGTTCTCATATGAACCATTTCAATATTCAATTTATATCCATTGCAAAAGAACTAATATTTATGACTACACTCTTAGCTATTTCCCTGTACAATGTGTATGTTTGTGTCTGTTTGTTTGTGTGTTTCTTGACACAAATAGGAAACGTATTGTTTACGTAAATAAATAATTAAAGGTTCTTGACACAAATAGGAAATGTTTACGTAAATAAATAATTAAAGGTTTAAAGAAGTACAAGTATTAGGCATCCCGTTGCATATACCTTCTTTGTATAAAAAAAAAAATTCCAAGAAAAATATTCAGGAAAAATCACTAGAAATAATAATAATTCTTCTTCTTGTATTATGACTTTAAGTGTGTGACTGAGCTGTCACAGTTGTAGATGGGAGTAGCCCTTTACATCAGCCTTTCGAGAAAAGCCACGCCAGTAACAAGGACACCAAAACGTGCACATGACAACGAAATAAACGTACTTATAATTTTACATGTGATGTTGGCGAAGTAAAAGTGAAAACTCACCTTTTTAGGGGAAACTGGGTCGATGATGACAAAGTCCACTCCTCTCTACGTCACTGAACTTACACCGTTAACTCACAGAATAGACCCGAACTTAAAACATCCTACTAGTACTACCCTTACAACTCCCTGAAAACCAAACGCCAGGCTTGTAGTTAATGCTTTAAATCGAATAAGGAAAAATAAGAAAAACAGGTTCGGACTAAAATACCGTTTTTTCTTAATTATCTAGATTCTCCCAGACTCTTTTCCTGCCTCCAGTTCCCGGCGTATCATTCAGTGGAAGATGTGGCTCAGAGCTCGGTTTTCATCCGACTGTACCAAGGCTCTACACCAGGGGTGTGTTTTCTCTGGGTAGTCGATTAAATTCACTTACTGGAAAAGGTTTCAATTTTTAAACATTTTCAAACGTAATATTTATGTAAATAGACGTTTATTGTGGACTCTATATACATTATGTAGGATTTTATAGCATTCCTTCTTTCCGTTTTGTGTTCAAGCCCCCCCTTGAGGCTGAATGGTTCCGTCCACACTCACTGCTTGCATCGTAGAAAAACAGTCGCAGCAGCGTCCTGTGGAAAATTATCACCGGAGACTATTATTAGCACCGTATCTAAAATAAACGGCACTATTCAGGAGAAAATGTGGGTTTAAACCGAGACTTTTACAAGCAGACCACAACGCACAAGCCCATTACAAAAAACGTATGTCAATTAAAACGATATTTGTTCAATATATTAAGATTAATAAGAATCGTATGAGGCATGGTCTTCATATTATTCATATTAATCTTAAAACGCCTGGTTTATTTTATATTCAAACAAATATTACACGCTTCAGGAAGATAAACTCTGTTGTACAGAATTTAATTAACATGGTCTTTTTACGTTTTAGTATTTTGTTTACTTATAATAGCTATTTTATGTAGTTACACATGGTATTTATAATTTTAAGGCTAACCTGTTTGTCTTTAACTGTCTTTGTTTTTAATAAACCTAAAACCATTTCACTTCTTAAACTTTAACTTACAGTCTTACTGTATGTAACTGTAACACTTTTAGCTTTAAAAAAAATTCATCTGGGCTAAGCCACTGAGAGATTTTCACTTTAGGTCTCTTAAAAATCACATATCTGCCACAAAAAAAAAAAAAAAAATCTCAGATTACAGTGTGGATTTTAACCTTAAATTGGTATTAACTGAGTCTCATTAACATCTGTGTATGTCCTTAAATTGGTATTAACTGAGTCTCATATTTTAATCCACACCACATCCATGTCATTATCTACACTCTGAGACAAGCCTTGTTATTACACAGTGACGTGAATTAATTATGATGCCATTGATAAGAATGAGCTGTGGTCCATCATCAGGAGGCGTCACAGTAACTTCTCCTACTGAGGCTAAAATGACACTGCAGAGAGGCTGGTGTGCATGTCAGCATTTCATTGAGTGGATAAATAATTAACCTTGCATGTGTGTGTATGGTGCATGAGTGAGTGCACGCAGGTGTGTGTGTGTGTGTCTTCCTGAAGCCTGACACCTGTTCCCATTAGCACATGGAGTGTTTATCTCTGCCTAAGAGTGAGTATAATACAGAGTGTGGCTCAAGGCTCTGAGAAAAAAACCTGTGGATTCCTTTGTATTTCTTATCCATTTGTCTGGGAATAATGACACAACCCCATTGTTTCTTCGAAGTTAGAAATTACTGGGATGCTCTATAGAAACAAACAATGGAAGAACATCATAAAACAAACTCTAAATGTGCTGCTTTGATAAACAAGATTTTTTATTTCAAATTTTTCAAAAATATATAGTAAGTTAGGGAATAATTTTCAATAATAATCTTTTATTAATAATTTTGTCCTCATATATGGCCACTTCATGCCATGACAGTGCAGGTCACATTATAACAGAATTAATAAAATATTTATAAATATTTTTCATACTATTCATGAATTCACACAGTGATCCTTCTTAACTGATGAAACCAAAGGTCATTCAGTCAGTAAAAACATCCTGATGCCAAGTCAGCTTCATTGGTTTAAGAATTTTGACGTTGCTATACATTTGATGTCCACTGGAGGGCGACAAGATCTGTCTATCTGCGTCTGCTGTTCAGCTAGCGCCTCAGGCATGAAAGGCACTATGTTTCAAATCATTAATATTTTAATTCTTTGTTTACTTATCGGATAAATTATTCGTTTGCGAATAGGCGTATTTAAATTATAATCAAATTTAAATATTTAAATTATATATAAATGTCTATTGGAGAGTAACACTTCAGTTCTTCTTTTTTCAACCAAAATGTCTATTGGAGAGTAACACTTCAGATTTTCTTCTTATTTCAACCAAAATGTCTAATGGAGAGTAACAGTTTATTAATAACTATAAATGTCCTGTTATGTAACTGGTCTGATGTCACCAGAGTCTTTGAAACTTTGGTTGCAGGAAAAAATCCCTACAGAGAATCTAATTATCCTCAGATTACAGTTTTGTATCCAATATGTTGTTATTTGCTAAAGAAAGACAGATGTCAAATATGCAGAAGAAAAACCACATTTTTCATTATCGTAAAAAAAGAAACCTTTGACCTACATGAAACTAAAATGGCCGTGGTTCCTAGTTGCCCTTTTACCCACATCTGTGACTGTACAGCATCTGAGGCTAACATGCTACCGTACCTGTGTGGAGTGAACCCAGTTGGTGAATGTTCTTTTCAGCCCAGTTAGTGCCATCATGGGCCTCGGATACAACTGCAGGCTCAGTGAGAGCAGTGGATGAGTACATGATAGTGAAGTAGACAGAACTGTACTATCATATGGACAGACTACTGCAGTACTGATAGTCTCCATGAACTGTCAACACCCACAATTCCTTATCATGTCTGAACGACTTCACCTTTTATTGTTTTATTGAGTTAATGGCAGCAGTTCTGAGAAGACTGAACTAGATGTTTCTAGAAGAAACATGAACGTACAAAATAAGAGTAAAATAAACAAATATCCAAAATGTTTGACAGCTCACATATAATGTATTTAGATGTGTGTGTGTGTGTATATATATATATATGTATATATACACATGTCTATATATATTTTTATCTTGTGCAATATATTGTATCTGTAAATCGAAAATATAGGGTAATATGTTTAATTGTGTGAATATATACATATTTTAATGAAATCTGGTATTTTTATTTGTATCAATATTTTCAATTTAATAATAACATATAATAATATTTTAGTGATACGTAATATTATTTTATGGCATTCTTTGTGTTTTTTTTTTCTTCTTCTTTTTGTGCCGTTCTCTGTCCATTTCCCCGTGTGCGATCAATACAGTAAAGGTTAATCTAATCCAATCTAATCTAATTAGACTTCACAATAAGCCCTTCCTGTTGGGGCAGCAGCGAGGCTAGACGAGGCAGTTTTATTTGTGTGGCAAAATCTCAGGAACAACAGAAGAGAACGTCGATGAGTGTAGAGTTGCTGCAGGGAAATCATTTTATTTTGAACACAACCAAACACTCACAGTTTTTAGCATTGAAAAAATTGATATTTTCAAGGTAAAAAAAAAATCATTTCTCAGAGTTTAAACAAGTTTCAGTTTCCTACTCCCAAATCTTTTTCTGACAACGTTATGTCCTGGTTCAGGATTTGTTATCTCCCATTCAATCACCCTTGCCCTGAATGAGGGTCTGACCTCTCCACTGCACATTACATAAATCTATTATTACAGAGACATACAGTACCTATCTATGGCATTGTACACATGGTACACATATTATATATTATATTAAATTAATTATTATTAATTACATCAATTTAATATAATCCAATTGTATGTGTGTCTGTATATATGTGTATACTGTATGTGTCTATACTGCATATGTATGTACAGTATGAGTATATGAATATGTATCTATAATATATACATTTTCAGCACATGCTGTACTTGATAACACACTGTACATCCAGTAGACACAGCCAGGGAGGCTTTTATTAGGTTTGGACTAAAGTACTGCTGTGCTGCTTTATGACACAACCATACCCTATGTATGACTTCATGGTGTCTGGACTTTCAGCCAGTATTTACCCAACCAGGGTTGACTAAACTGTCGGGTTATCGGGTTGTCAGTTTTACACCCATTAATGAAATCTGAGTTTACTCTGTGAATAATGAAAAGTGCAAAAGAAACAAACACAAAAAATGTATATGTGAGTTTTACATCAACAATGACAAAAAATGACAAAGAAAATACACATGGCATCATATTTACATATATATGTATGATGCCATGTGTATTATATATATTTATTAAGATTTAAATTTAATACAATTCATTGTTCTTTTGAATAAAATATATATTTATAAAGATTTTAAATTGTTAATACAATTCATTGTTCTTTTGAATAAAATTATTAAAAAAAAGAAATTGCACATTTATGACTTCAGTTCATGAGAAATAATCAATTTTGTTCTTACCTTATGTTAGAATTCTACAGTGTCAGTTTTTGGAGGGTTATTTATTTATATGTGGTTCTGCTTTGATGAACTTCACTTCAGTGAAAACACAGATAGAAGTGAAGTTTTTTCATATCTGACAACAGTCCACGTTTGGGGAGGGACACTGATTATTACTGATTGCACAGCAAAATGCACGCATCCCATAATGGCCTCACTTGTGTGTGTGTGTGTGTGTATCATCAATCAGCCATGTGCCCTGTTATCATCAGCACCAGGGAGTTCTCCGTGGACTTCTTTTTTGGACTACTTTAGGTGTGTGATAAAGACACACTGTCTGCCCGACCACGGCAACAGTCTGAACTTTACACTGAACAATTGATTGGCAGAGAGACCCTATAGCTGCCAATGTGGCGGGGGGGGGGGGGGGGGGGGGGTGCACGTGTGATGAGGTCAGGGAGTTTAGAAGTCTGATCAGCTCTGATGTGCAGAGAGCAGCAGCTGTTAGTGTTCAGTTCTGTTGGTTCATTACAATTCAAATAATCAAGTGACCGTAGTGATGATGTCACCTCTGTGTTTTCTGTCGCTGAATGATTTTCATTATTATTTTAAGGTTGTTTTTTTTTTTCGGACTTTTTGAACTTTGATATAAAATAAATTAAAATTTCAAATGAACAAGAACAAACTTGTGTCTATTCAAATCCATCCTAAAGGATCAAACTTTACAGTGAAAGGGATTATTTTCCAAAGCGAAAAAAATCAAGTTTGTAAAATATAGAATATATTTATTAGAATGAAAATAAAGACAAAATATTCCAGCCTATAGGCTCCTCCTGATCTTATATGTTCTGTGCACAGGTCTGTCTGTGCAAATATTGTCAGAATCTGCCATTTTTACTGTCTACATTGCACAAGGGTGTATTACACAAGGTACACAAATAGTAGTGGAAACAATTTAGGAGACATTAGCAGTATGTATTTCAAATAAATCTAAATGTTGTAGATTAAGGAGGTCAGAAATATATGGGTCTGTGTACCTGTAGAATAAACAAGACGCTGTTCCAACTTGTTGTTGGATCAGCAAAGTGATTCTAGACACATTTGAGTTTTTGGAGTTTCAAAGGTCATATTTAAAAAAAAACTGTGTCAAAGTTGACAGAGGATTTCACTGATGTGTATGTGTATTTGCCTTATCTGATCAGAGTAAAAATATTTGTTCTTTATTGTTTAATCCCTTCATTTCGACGGCTGACATCATCAGCAGATCGACCCACTGATGACTTTAATGTCTGTTCCTCTGTGTCGGCAGCGGGCCTTCATCAGCGATTGTCACTGAAATCATTGATGTTGCAGCTGGGTTTTTTTGGTAAACTTCATTGATCATTCCAAAGGATCAAGAATATGAACCTCTGACTCTGGACACACACACGTCTCACCTTTGGAGCATGAGCAGGAGTTCCTTTAAAATGGTAAACCTGCTGCTGTGGGCATCGAAATAATGACATATTACAGGAGCAAAAATCCTAAATTTGTAGTTATTTATGAAATGTGTGTAAAATGATTGAGAACAGTAACTCATCTGACAGATGTCAGATCACTGATAACAATGAACCTTTAATTCACTCTGACATGAGGCTGTGCATCTATTAAGCAAATACATCTCAGAGATATGAGTATCTTTTCAAACCTTTTCCCTTTGTCCCTCCACACAGGACCGTGGCGTGGACTTTGTGCCTTCAAGCCCCTGTCTGTGCCGTCCCCCGGCCTCCTGACAATGGTCTGCAGGGAGTATAAAAGAGCTGAGCTCCCACTGTGGAATCAGTCTCAACTGAGTACTCGCCAACCTCAAGGAAGAGCTTCAGAAATCCCACCATGGGGGACTCCAAGCTCTGCCTTTTGCTGCTTCTCAGCACGTCTGCCTTGACTCGTGAGTACTTCATACAGGACATTTACTTATTTAGAAATGTAGCTCTTCTTTCTGACTATTTTAAACTGTACATTTCTAGACTGTATTGTGGAGTATGCCTATACCTTTACTACTACTATTTCCCAGTTAAATTGTGTTTAAATTGGTATTAAATACTTCACCTTAGTATTTAACAAGTAAATTACTTTGATGTGGAGTATTCCTTTTTTTAATTGCAAGAAATGTAGTTTAACTCTTAAACTGTTTCAACTGAATTTGAGTTAAAGAAAATTGCTTTATTTCCTAACAGTCCAAATCAAATCCACAGTCTAGGAACGATGTCAGTTTAGTGTATTACTATAGGAGTACATGTATCTACAAACTGTATATGTATATTCACAGGAATGAAACTGCAGAAAGTAGAACATTTTGCTTTGAAAAAATGTCTTTGACTTAAATCTGCACAAATATATTCATTCATACATTCTTACCTACAATTGGGAAGAAATAGCGGCCGTATATATTTAAATGAATAATACATTTGTACTGCAGCATAAAAATACATTTTTACTACATATCTTTGATTTACGGACATTTTTTTTTATTCACACTGTAAAAATCTGTGAGGCCAAATTGCCGTTGCCTGACTAAGTCTGCTTTTTCTTCAGTTGCGCAAGATGATGAGCCAACCTGTCTGTGTAAGTGTTTTAATGCAACACTGGAACATTTTCAAGGTGTTTTTCTGTTGATATTTTTTTCCTTAAAATAACATTTTTTTCATCTTCTTCAGTGGCCACAAGATACAAGCCCCTGCACAAGTACGAATACCAGTATGAAGCTGAAACTCTGAATGCCATCAATGGAGCTTCACCCATGAAGAATGGACCCCGTGCTTCCTGCAAGGTATTTAAAAAAATGAAAAAAGAAAACTTTCCAAGTCATATTTAAATGGCTGTCTTTTAAAAGACGCTAATTTTTATTTTAACTTCCATCTTAGGTTGAAATCGAAGTGCCCCAGACCTGTAGCTTCATCGTTCGCACCACTGACTGTCGCCTGAGCGAGGTCGCTGACATGGACGCAGAGGGAAGACCTCTGTTCAGACCTGCTGCCACCTCTGACGACTTTGCTACCGAAATGGAAAGGTAGGCATTTGGATGAATTAAATAATAATAAAAAAAATGATGTGAACAAGATTCTATGTTATAAAAATAAACCCACGTTTTCCTCTCAGATACCCCCTGAAGGTTGTGGTCGAGGGTGATTACAACGTGAAACTGTACCCCGAGGATGGAGAGACTACCACCATCCTGAACGTGAAGAGAGGTATCATCTCCGCTCTGGCTGTGCCCCTGGAGGAAGAACACATGAGCAAGAAGATGGTGAGTTGGTGACTGACCACACAGAGACAAACTTCACTGTCCAGTCATGACAGTCGCTTCTTTTCTAATGACCGTTGACTTTCTTCATTCCAGCCCACCATCCACGGCAAGTGCAGAACTACCTACACCATCAACGCCAGAGAGGACACTCCCACTGACGTCACTCTGAGCAGGGATCTGTCCAAGTGTGATCAGTTTGTCCCACTGAAGGACCACACCAGCCCCCTGGCCCTCATCTCTGGAATGGTAAGACATTTAACATCATACCTGGTGAAAAGTGAAACACTCAATTGTGTTAAATCTCACATCTTCATCTTCATCTTCATCTTCATTCCTGTCACTACCCTCTGGCTCAGCTGGTCCGAAGCTCCCAGGCTTGCAACTACAAGTTTGACAGTGTGAAGAAACACATGACCTCCGGATCCTGCCTTGAGAACCACATCCTCATTCCCTTCTCACACAAGTAAGACAAACTGCATGAATACAAATGTACTTCTCTCTGTGTGTGTGTGTGTGTGTGTTTTTAATGCTCTAATCTTTTCCCATAGGGGAGAATATGGCGTCACCAACATCGGAAAGCAAGAGCTGACCCTGCTCCAGGTTACTCCTCACAACGACAGAGTCTTCACCACAGGTGAGCGCTTGTTGAGTTTGCCTCGTCGGGTCGGGGATCATTTTTAAAACACCTGTGTGAAAATGATGTGAAATTGATGACAGGACTGACACAGGATTCACAGAATTCATTTCAACATCATATTCCTCATTGTGTCTAAAAGGTCGCGTTGTCAAGGGTCTTCACATGGACGCTGTTGAGGACAAGAACTTTCTGCAGGACAAGGACGAAACTCTGAATCTCCTCAGAGAACTCACCAATCTGCCCGAGACCGAGAACGACAGGAGGCCCCACCTCTTCCACCGGCTCGTCACCATGGTCCGTGGAATGAAGACAGAGACCCTGAGAACCGCCATCCCCGAGGCTATTGCCGTGTCCCGCGTTCTGACCTACCAGGTTCTGGCCCAGTGTGGAACACCAGAGTGCAGCAGCGGCATCATGCAGATCATCAGGTCCTTGGAGAGAACCACACTCGAGGTTGACACTGCTGTGTTTGCAATGGGACTCATGTCCAACCCTTCACCTCTCCTGATCAATGACCTGCTGGAGATGGCCAAGTTCAAGCCCAGCAAGCCCATCATGTACGCTCTGAGCAATGTGATCAAGAGGTGAGTGAATTAAAGCCATTTTAACAACCAAATCAATCAACACTTCCTTTGAAACATGTTTAAAAGATGTAATGGAATTGATTTTTAACAGGTGGTACAAGGTTGAAGAAGTCCTGACCCCAGAGATCTTCTCTGTGGCTGAGTTCATGGCTGCTCAGTTGGGCGATTGCTCTGGTGAACAGGAGAAGGTCTTCATGACACTGAGGGTAAGTGCTTCTAAACAGTGACACGGTGGTTCAACCCCCACCATTTATAACATTAACTTAACAGTTTTGTGGACCTGTTGACTGATAAACTTTAACCCCCACCATTTTATAACATTAACAATTTTGTGGACCTGTTGACTGATAAACTTATTGTGTTATTTTATCCTTTTCTTTAGGTTATTGGAAACATGGCTCCAGCTATGATTGAAGCTGGTCCCGTTGTCAGGTCTGCTGTGATGCAGTGTGTCAACCACCCTGCAGCTACCCCTGCTGTCCAGCAGGCTGCCATCCAAGTGTTCAGGCTGACCAGAGTCCCCGAGGAGGCAAGTGAATATTCTGGAGCTAGAGACAAGATCACATCCGTTGTTTTTCCACAGTGCTGATGGTGAATGTTTCTCCTCACAGGGCAGAGAGATGCTCATGCAGGTGCTTTTGGACAACACTAGCCCTGTGCAGAAGCGCACTGCTGCCTATCTGGTGCTGATGAAGAACCCCAAGCCTAGTGAACTGGACCAGATTGTTAACGCAATGTCCCTGGATCATCACATCCAAGTCAGGAGCTTCATCAACTCCCACATCCGGAACATCATGTCCTCCACTGAGCCTGAGACTGAACAGTATGTGGAAAAATCTGTTGCATTCTAAAATATGTTACGGCTATTGTACTATACAAAGGTAAATACTAAATGTAAAATGTGACGATTTATTTCAGACTCAGACAGATGATCCTCGATGCCCTTCGCGGTAACGACATCATGTCTGCTATGGACCCCACCAAGTTCTCTCGCAACTACAAGATCGGATCCATGGAGGGTAACATGATCTTTGAGGGCAGCAGCTACCTGCCCAAGGAAGCCATGCTTGAAATGACCCTCAATGCATTTGGCTACGACATGGACATGGTGGAGGTATGTCCTGGAAGTTATTAGAAATATTTAAGGTGGATTCAATGTCCTGGCAGCTGATTTCACGATGTCACCTTCACAGTTTGGTATGGAGGGCAAAGGATTTGAGCCAACTGTGGAGGCTCTGTTTGGAGAGAACGGATTTTTCCCCGACACCATCCTGAAGACCATGTACTTCGTCTCTGACAACATGCCAGATAGCGTCAGCGAGCTTCTGCAGACCTTCATGCCTGCTCTGAACAAGGACAGGATGAAGAGACAGGTACGAAAAAAGAAAATTAAACACAATTTGTATAAATGACACATGTTGAAAAAATTATGTGTTTTTAGAACATCTCTGTCTTTGATTTTACCCACAGACCTCCCAGAACCTGATCAGAGAGATCGGACGCAACCTGAACAAACTGATGACAGACCTGAAGTCCACACAGTCTCCAGAGGCCATGGTTTACATGAGGCTTCTTGGTAACGAACTGGGATATTTGAAGACCAGTGAAATGGAGGAGATGGCCTACTCTGCAGTCATGATGATTGACAGCATGATGAAGATGTTCCCCAGCGATGTAAGGAGTTGGCAGAAAATGTGTTGGGAAATTACTTTTATCCTCCTGTATATCCCATTCATGATGGTTATTTTTCCTATTTCCTGTAGCTGATGAAGGCTTTAATGACAAAGAATGACAACACCGTGTTTGCCCACTACATCTTCATGGACAATGAGTTCTTCCTGCCCACCATGACTGGTGTGCCTCTGAGGATTGCCCTCTCTGGTATCTTCACTCCAGGAGTTAAGGGAGGTCTGAAGATTTCTCGCGACATGGTAAAAATTCACAAACATATAAACTTAATACAATCTTTTTTATGATTATTATTATTAAAGAAGGAAATATTCATGATTCTCCTTTTTTCCACAGACTCAAGTTGCTTTCATGCCCTCTGCTGGCATTGAGTTTGTGACCCAGGTGGGCTGCCACCTCCCTGAGTACATCAACTCTGGCCTGGAGATGCACACCAACCTTTTCCACGAGAGCGGCCTGACTGCCAAGGTCTCCATGGGACGCGACATGGTGAAGATGACCATCCCTGCTCCCAGAAACCCAACTAAGCTCATTAAAATTACGTAAGACTAAAACGCAGTCGGGTTAAAAAAATTGATTTGGATAAAATGACAAACTTCTAACTTTGTTCTATGTACATTTTAGAAACACCCTGGTGGCAGTGAGTGGAACTGACACCCTGACCATGCCTTCTATGGTGATGGACAAGGTCGACCGTACTGAGTGCACCCCTGTTTTCGCTGGAATGCAGTACTGCACATCTTTGAAATACATGGATGCTTTCTCTCAGAGCACAGCCCCCTACTTCCCCTTCACCGGAGACAGCATGTGAGTGAGATGTTCTACACCCCCAAAACAATGATCTCTTTATTAACAATGATTAACCTGAATGTTTTTCGTTGTATTAAATTTCATAGGTTTGTCATGGAGCTTAAGCCTACTGGTGATGTCACTGAGTACACAGCCACCCTGGCCTACGAGCTGCTCAAGGAGGGAGACGAGGGCAGGCAGAAGGTCGACTCTGTGAAGTTTGTCCTGAGGGCTGAAGGTAAATGACACTTCTACGGTGAACTGCTTGATGCACTTCACGTGGTGCGAAAAGTAACATTTAACCGATTGCAACCACAGGCGCTGAGCCCACTGAAGCCAGAGCAATGCTGAAGTACAACAGAAGGAAGAACGTCATCACCGCTGATGTTCAGATCCCTGACTACGATGTGGAGGCCGGCCTCAGAGTGGGTGTTGTCGATGGAAACACCAAGGGCAAAGGAACTCACTCCATCTCTCTGGACCTCATCAACAAGAACGTCCCTCAGCTCTCTCTGGTTGGCCGTGCCAAGTAAGAAACCAAACCACCGGTTCTCTCTGAAACTTCCTAACCTCCGCACCATCGTCTGACATGTACTCACTCTCTCCGCTGCTTATTTCAGCCTGAAGGCCATGAAGGAAGGCATGCTGCAGCTCCAAATGCTTTTCCCACTACTGAATGCTGACGCCACCCTGACAGCTAACATGAAGCGTGATCAAAAGTTGGAGTTGGAGGTCAAGAGTGAAATCAAGATCATGGAAGCCACCTCCATGCAGAAGATCGCAATGAAATACGGTAAATACAATCAAACAACTTCAATCTGGTGCAACGTCCTCTGAAGTCTGTCATCACTTCAGTCTATAATGTTAACTCATTCTGATATATTCTGTTACAGATGTGAACAAGGTTGAGTTTGTGTTCAAATCTGACATGGACACTGACACCACCATCCTGCCAAAGGCTGACATGTTGAAGAACTACGGCAACCAGCTCCTGGACACACCCGTGGGTCAGACTGACATGAGTGTCCGTTACATCTTCAAGAACCTTTTAGTGGTACGAGTCCAAGATGAAATTCGACTTATTCTGGTTCAATTTATGTCGAATTATGAGGTATTATGTAAATTGTTATTTTCCTCTCCAGGCATCAAACGACTACATGGACAAATATGGTTCTGACATCCCTTACATTCAGAACTTCAGAATGCCTGAGATGCCCGAGATTTCCCTGCCAGAGACACTCTTCCTCAACACGTATGTTTTTAAAAAACTTTCTTTAAGTAAACAATACTGTTTTTGTCCCACCAAAGTCATAATTAATTTGACTTCTGTCCCATTCACAGTGAGGCCAAGGCTGTTTACCACTTCAACAATGAGCGCCTGAGCCTTGTTCTCCCTCTGCCTCTTGGAGGAAAGTCAACACAGGAGCTCAACTTCCCAAAAGTCTTGACAACACCTAGCTTGTCTCTGCCTCAGTTCGGTCTGGAGATTGTGTCCATGGAGATCCCCGTCCCACACCTTGTTGTGCCCCAGCGCCTCGCTCTGTCCATCCCTCTTTTCGGCAAGGTTGAGCTCTCCACCCTCATGAAGAGCAACCTGTATGAGGCACAGGCTTCTTTCTCTGCTGAAAAAGATGTCCCAGCTATGCCCGGCTACACAGCCAAGTATGGCATGAAAGGAATGTCCTCCTTGGACGTTCTGTCTTTTGAAGTTGAAGGTATTTTTCTCTGCTTTTATTGATGAATCACTGTATGTTCAACATGAACGTCTGCTTCATGCAACTTCTATTTTCTACACTTGTTTTTTTAAGGCTCAGGAAAGATGGCAGCCACTGATTCTATCATGGCCGAATTGCAAACTTCTCTTACCCACAAGTACCTTGCAGCCAGCGTGAAAGTCATGGAGGATGTTACCTTCACCGACAAAATCAACCTGAGAACCTACACCAAGATGGAAGCCACAAGTCCATTAGGTCTTAACATGGGTCTTGAGCACACAGCCATGGCTACTATCAAGCCCGAAGAAATCTCTGCTGACAACAAGTTTGAGGGAATGTTCAAGGCTGGACCCGTGTACGGCAAGACTCAGTCTACCCAGGCTTTGAGCATCTTCCCACTCAGACGTGAAGCCATGCTTGATTCTACACTGCAGCTTGACTCCACATTTGTCAGGGCCCAGAACAAAATGGCAGCCTCTTTTAGCAATTGGGAATTCTCTCTTGTGTCTAACACCAATGCTTTTGAAAATGTCTTGATACATCAGGCTGAGGTTTCCTTCAAAGATTATAAGCTGTTGATGAAAAGTGATGCCAGTGCCCTCGCTCTTGGCATGAAGATCCGCAACCAGGCCGAAGCTCTTGCTGGTGCCGGCAAAGTTTTGCTTAGAATGGAAACCAATGGAGATCACACCGAGAACCGTGTGTACTCCCTGCTGACTGGATCTCTTGATGTCAACGGTCTGGCTCTGAACAGTGATGCCACGTTCAAACTTCTTGAGAACGAAGCCACTCACAAAGCTACTCTGATGTTGAACAAAGATGGCCTCAAAACCAGTGGCTCAAACATGCTGCAGAGCTTCCTTTTCCTTGAAAACACCTTCAATGCTGAACTCATGCCAACAAGAGCCCTGTTGTATGTTGCCAACAAGGCTGCCATGCTCGACATGAAGTTTGACAACGCCAACACTCTGACCATGACTCCTGTCAGCGTAGACTTTGACTCAAAGGTCGATGCCACGGCTCGTGAGTATGCCTCTTACAATCACGACATCACCGTCAGCGTGAAGCCTTACACTGCTTCAGCCAACGTCAAGAACAACCTCAAACTCTTGGCCACAAACTTCATCAATGAGGCTCAGCTGCGGGCAGAAATGTTCAAGATGGACGTCACTGGAAGTCTGAGAGCCCTGTACGGTGAGGAGGAGCTCAAGCACATCTACCAGATAAACTACGCCGACATGACCGCCAATGTTAAATGCAGCACCACTGGAAAACTCCTCGGAACTCACATGAGCCATAACACCGAGCTGGAAGTTGTCGGCCTGGCTGCCCGCTTCACCAACGATGCCCGCTTTAACTCCCAGCTCATGCGCTTCGATAACACCATCCGCTGCAGCGTTGTTCCTTTTGACTTCAACCTTGATGCCATCGTCAATGCTGATGGAGACATCACTATGTATGGAAAGCACAGTGCCCAGCTCTACGGCAAGTTCCTGCTTAAAGCTCAGCCCTTGGCTTTTGCTAGTGCTCACGAATGGAGAGCAGCAGTGACCCAGAAACTTGACAACGGATTCTCCCTTGAGACCACATTTGATAACAACATGGAGACCCTCCTGACACCACAAGAACAGAAGACTGGCTTTAGAATGAAGTCTAAGGTGAATGACCATGCCTTCAACCAGGGCTTGAGTCTTTACAATACTCCAGAGAGAACTGGACTTGAAGTGTTCGGCACTGTCCTCACAAACCTTGTCAACATGGAGTCCACAGAAAACCAGGAGTACACCGTCTCTGGTTTCCTCAAGTACGACAAGAACACAGATAGCCACACAGTTAAGCTTCCTCTGATTGAAAGCGTCCCTGTTTTCTTGGAAAGTGTCAAGGTCGTTGTCGTCCGTGTTGCTGAGGCCGTGAGGGACTTCATCAATAATGAAGAGGTTCAGGCCAGGCTTGAAGCCCTTCCCCAGCGTGTGAATGAATTTGTTTCCCAGCTTGACATTGAAGGCAAAGTAACTCTGCTCAAACAGTACTTCACTGATTTCACCCAGAAGTATGCCATCTCCATGGAGGATGTCGATGCCTGTATGAGAAACCTGAAGGTTACTGTTGAGAAACTGATGGCTGATCTTACAGTTTACGTGCAGAACTTTGTTGGTATGATGAGGGAGGTCATCGCTAAGGCCAACTTCCCAGAATCCATCATTGAGTATGTCCAGCTGCAGCTTAACACCTTAAATGAGGAGTTTGACATCAAGGGTATGATTGTCTACCTGCTCGACACAATGAGCCAGATGGTCCAGAGGTTCGACTTGAACAAACTGAAGGACAGCAGCATTGCAATTCTGTATGATATTGATGCCAAGTACGAAGTCAAGTCCAGACTTGGGTTGATCATTAACGATTTGAAGATCCTGGTTGAATCCTTCGACATGGCTAAATTTGCTGCCGAGCTGAAGAGGTTCATTTTGTCCATCAACTTCAGAGCTCACATTCAGAATCTTTTGAATAACATTCCCACTGAGATGTTCAGTGACATGCTGGATTATATCAGAGTAATGATTCAGGACCTTGACATTGTCGGCATGACCAACACCTTCTACGCCAAAATGAGAGAGCTGATTGTCAAGTTTGAGCTGGAGAATATGGTTCAGAACGTGCTGGAGAAGGCTGTGAAGCTCATCAGGCAGTTCAAGATTGAGGAGACCATCCAGGCTGCAGTTAAGTTTGTGAGGGATGCACAGATTCCTACCCGATCCATGCAGGTCTTCCAGCGTGCTATTGAGTACTTGAAATCAACTGAAGTCAAGGACATCATTCAGCAGCTTAATGTGTACATCGAAGCCCTTGTGCAGAAGCTGAACTCCTTGAATTACAATGAGTTTGTTGACTCTGTCAATCAGATGATTGCTGAGTACACCACTGTTTTCAACGAGCTCCTCACGACTCTTGACATGCCTCAGAAACTCGCAACAACAAGAGAATTTGTCAACGCCATTTTGTCCACCGTTAGAAGCTCCATGGAGCGCCTGAGGGAAATCAAAATTGCAGAACTGCTGAAAACAGTTAAGGATGTCCTGGATGAGGTCGTGCTGGACAACCTCCAGAAATGGGCTGAATTTGTCAAGCTGCAAATCAGGGATCTGGATGTGAACGCTAAGCTTACTTACTATTTGGACATGGTGAAGAACTACTATACCATGTTTACAACCCGCTTCACTGAAATGCTCTACACCATGATTGAGATCGTCAAGGACTTTGTGCCTGAGCAGAAAATCATCACTGAGATTCAGCAGATTGTGTTTGGTCTGATTAACCAACTGAAAAAGGCCGAGTTTGTGACTCCATCCTTCTATGTTCCATTCACCGATCTTCTGGTGCCTTCCGTGATGTTCAGCATGGAGAAGCTTGATGAGTATGCAATCCCAAGAGAGTTCAACATCCCTGAATTCAACATCATGGGATCCTACAAGGTGGAAGCCATGACGATTTCCCTGGACGACATCAAGCAGAGAATCATGTATCTTATCGATCTGATTGTCAGCTTTGAGATTAGAATGCCAAATGTGGATGCTTTCTTTGGAGACCTGACATTCAACTACCTTCCTTCTCTGCCTGAGCTCACTCTTCCTGAAATCAACCTTCCTGAGGTTTCACTCCCACTCATCCCACAAGTGTCTCTGGAAAAACTTGTCAAATCTCTTCAGGTCCCTGAAATCAAGCTGCCAACCATCCCAAGTGACATCGTGGTCCCTTGCTTTGGCAGATTGCATGGAGAGTTTAAATTCATCACTCCCATCTACACCTTGAAGACCTCTGCTGAGTTCCAGAACTCCACTGAGAACAGCATGTCACCACAGTTCTCTGGAATCCTTTCCTCCCAGGCCACATCTCCAGTCGCTGAAATCCTCAACTACAAGTTCGACTCCACTGCCAACATTGCACTTCCAAAAATGAGCCGCATTGTCTTGGCCGAGACTGTGAAGTTCAACCATGTTGCTCTTGGAGTTGATCACCAGGCGTCTCTGACTCTTTATGGTCTTTCAGGTCAGGCTCAGGCCAAGACTGCACTGAAGGTGACAACCGTACCATACAATGCTGAATTGTTAAACACTGCATTCATTGCTATGGAAGGAGGAATCTCCGCCTCTCTGGACACGACGTACAACCATCTGTTCAACCTCCCAGTGTTGTCCATCAGAAGTGAGGCTACGATGACCCAGAAATCCATCCTTCGCCAGGATGGCCTGACATTGACTTTCACAACTGAGAACTCAGGCACCGGCAAAGTTAACTCTGATGACTACAAACACAAGAGCAACGTCCAGATGTCACTGACCCCTGCCATTTTCACTCTGGCCTTCTCTGGTGAAACAGACTCTCCCATCCTGAAGATGAAACAGGAAGTTGCCACTGAAATGAACACCTTCAGCCACATCAAGTTCAACCTCCGTAATGAGGCAGTGTCTCCGGTCATTAAGAACAGCATTTTTGTCGCATCAGGAATTGCCACCTTTAGTGACATGAAGGCTGAACTGAAGGTCAACCATGACACTGAAATGTATGCTGGAGTCAGTACTGGAGTGATGTCCAACAGCCTTAGCATTGTCCTGCGCCCTGTTGAAATCTTCGTTGAGTTCCAGAACAAAGGAAACGCTAAGATCAACATGGTTGAGAGTCTCTTGGCTAAGGTAGACCTTCAGAACGACTACACAGTTCTGGTCAGACCCGACAGCCAGCAGATGAACACTGTCGCTCTGGCTCGTCTCAATCAGTACAAGATGTTCTACAATGTGACTCTGAACAACAAGGAAAAGGAAGCTGGTGTCTTTGTTGCCATGGAGGGTGAGGCCAATCTTGACTTCCTGACTTCCCCTATCAGCATCCCTGCATTTGAGCTGCCATTTGTCAACTTCCGTACACCAGCCATCAGTGAACTGAACCTGTATGAGCAGACCGGACTCAGGAATTTCCTGACTACCACTGAGCAGAACATTAACGTAGATGCCAAACTCGTGTACCAGAAAGCTGCCCCACTCTTTAATCTGATGGGTCTGATCCAGATTCCTTCTATGGGCAACCTCATCTCAGAGCTGGCCTTCAAATCCTCCATCCTCAATATGAATGTCAACGCTGGACTGTATACTGAAGAGGATCTCGTGTTCCGTCTGGCAGCCACCACAGTCTCTGTGTTTGAGAGTCTGAAGGCCAAACTGGACGCTACCACCAGCCTGACCACCAGGAGAGGACTCAAGCTGGCCAACTCTCTGTCCCTGGAAAATCGTCACATTGGGGGAACTCACGACAGCTCCATCACCTTGAACTCTGAGACGTTTGTACCTTCACTGTCTGTGGCTACTGTGGCTAAGATCTCCCTGCCTATTCTCATTCTGGAAGCAAATCAAAATCTGGTTGCAGACATTGCAACTGCTGCCTCCACCATGAAAATAAAGGGTGAGTACAACATCCCTGTCATCAGGTTAGTCGGCAAGTTGGATGCTGAACACGTTCTGAAGCTGGAAGGAGCTTTTGAGTTTATTTCCATGGAATCAACCACCAGAGCCAACATGGACAGCACCATGCTTGAGAACTACTTGATTTTGGGACTTGTTGACAATGAAATGAACATGTACTTGAACAAAGATGGCCTCCGCTCCAGCTCAAAGATCATTGCTGATGCTAAGATCAACCGTGCCACCGACAAAGTCTTTGCCTTCGACCTGAATGAGAACCTGGCTGTTGAAGCTTCTCTGAGCCGCGTGTACACTGTCTTCAAGTACATCAGTAACAACGAGGCAAACGTGTTCAACTTCAAGACCACTGGCAAGCACATGGTCCAGGCCACCATTGAGGTTGTCCCAATGACCTCCTGGACTGCTGACTTTGAAATTGATATTGCTCAGCCATCCAGCCTGGGTGAGATCACCTTTTTTGAGAAAACTGTCACTGAGTTGACACCTGCCGTGCAGAAGATGTCTGCCAATGCCAGGTTTTTGAGCCCATTCTACAGAACAACCCTGGCTGCCGAGGTTGAGGGCAATGTTCCAGTCTTCAAGGTCACCTTCAAGTCCTCTGCCAACTCTGTCTTTCTCTTCCTGGAGTATGACTTGGATGGTGAGTTGACTGAATTTAAAAGATGAACTAGTTAAGATTTGCCAGTTTTTGCTGATGAGAACACTAAGCACCTCTGTCTTTCCACAGCATCCTCTACAGTGAACTTTAGAGATTATGACGTGAAGATGATCACAAAGGCCGTCCTGAACCACAGTGACCTGCATTTGGATGTCAATCATGCCATTGCTCAGGTCTTGAGGTAATTTAACAGCACAATAAACATTGAAGTAAATATTTGCTTTTCAAGCAAAGAAAAACTTATCACATGTTTTCCATATTTTAGGAAAAAGCGTCAGTCTGACAACAGGTAAACATTTGATCATTTCTTTTCTCTGTAATTCTAACTAATGTGGTGTGTACTTGTCACTAAAATGCTCTGTGTTCTTCCTACAGTGCCTCCTACCAAACCATGAACATTGATGTCACCAGCCCTACCTTCACTGATGCCAACATTCGTTACGCCGCTCGCAGAGACGGCATCACTGCCTCAGTGTCCACACCATCCACTGGATTCCTGGGTTTCCAGATGAACGGTAGAGTGCCAACCACGATGACAGCAAGACTGTATGGTCGCTATCCTGTGAGTATCATAAATGTCACATTTTTGAAAATGATTCAAATCCAAATTCTGCTCTATAGAAAGTAATGTTTTCTTTATTTTGTTATTTTTGCATCTACAGTCTTCCCCAGAGGTTGATGTTGATGTCTTGGTCATCAGGACCTCCCCCAAGGATGCTGATAAAATGACTCTGCAGGTCTCCTACAACATGGAAGCACCAAAACTGATGCTGTCTGAGCTGAAGACAAGGCTCCCTGTCATCATGGCCACATTCAGAACCTTCGCTGACAAGTACGAGATGACCTCCACCCTGGAGCAGCTGAAGAACACCGTCTACGACCGTGTGTCTGAGGTCTACACTGCTGTCAGCAACTACGACAACAGAATGAGCCAGCTGTCCATCTTCTTCAGGACCACCATCGTTGAGTACCAGAAAACAGTCCAAGTCTTCCTGGATGCTATGATCAAAGTTCTGAGGGAGACCCGATTCAGAGTGCCAGGATCTGAGGAGATGACCACTCTCCCAGAGATGCTGAGGAAGGTGACCAAGAGCATTGCAATCACACTTGAGGCAGTTGTCAACTTCACCTATGAGAACATGGAGCTTTACTACAACACCTTTGTTGAGAAGTTCAGCGGTGTGAAGCTTCAGATGCCCGTTGGCGATGCCATCACTGTTGGTCAGATGTTTGAAAAGGTTAAGGTGACCGTCAGGAGCCTGTTTGATGAAATGGTGGACTTTGTGAAGAAAATGGAGCGTCTGGATACCATGCTGGTGAAGATCGGCGAGACCTTCAAGGCTATTGTGGACAAAACTCAGGAGTTTGTCGACACCGTCAAGTCCGATTACCTGGACTCTATGCTTGTGACCTACAACGCTGTCTACCGCAACATTGTCACAGTTGTAAAGAATGTTGTCGACAATATTTATCTGTATGTGTTTGCTAACAACATGGATCTGGTCAATGGTGCTTTCGACTACATGATGTACCTGGCTGACCAGTTCAACAACACTCTTTACAGTTTCCTGCAGCAGACCACCGAGGAGGTTCAGACCTACGTGAGGGTCAGGGGAGGAAGGCTTGAGTTTGAGCTTCCATTCACCTACCAGCTGTGAGTCCCTGTGACTCCGGCCATAGTTCATGTTAAACACTACCTTCTGATTGGCACACAAATGTGAGATGAGTGAATAATTAGCTCCACAACCATGTCTGTGAGAATAATTGTTTTGATGTTACATGGTTTACTGTGTACAACCATTTTTTTAACAATTGAAAAACTTCTAATAAAAGTTCAAACTATAATTCACTGTTTATGTTTTCATTCATGGTACCTTTTTACCCTTGGGTTGGGTAGATTCCTGTGGAACACTTAGTAGTTGTTGCAACTTTGTACTACATGGCAAACACACAGATAGTGAGTCTTAAGTGACCCACATCTGATACCAAAATGTGGTCCGCATCTCAGCTAAACTGGGCCACATTCTGGACACCATCTGTGGGTCACTTAATGATTTAATGCATTGTTTTTCCAGTGTTTTGTCCTAATAAGGAATTAAATAAAATTAAATAAACAATTTAACTACAATACAGTCAAATTAGGATTAAAACAACATACAAATTGGACTTGTGTAACAATGTCAGTGTTTAAAACTTATTTCCAACTAAAGACTATTTTAAAAAGATTGACATAGTGAATACAATCGAGCCTGGTCATTTTTAAAATTAAAATACAAATACATATATTCACTATATGATGTTTTTGTTATATTTGTGAACATATACTCTTTAGTACTCCTCACTTACTGTATATTCTTTTAGTGTTTGGTCAAGTGCAGTACTACCAACATATACTCTTTAGTACTCCTTACTGAAACGTGAAAGACATTTTAAGGCTTATATTCTATGTGTTTAGTGTTTGGTCAAGTGCAGTACTACACAACGAACAAATGGGGTCGCTGGTACATACATACATGCAATTAACGAAACAACAGTTACAAAACAGTGTAGAGAAATTGCATATGAGGTAACTGACGCAAATATTTAAACTGGGAACGTTTTCGTTTTGACAACGTAAAATATATGACAGTTTGTACAGGTTATGTTTTTTGTTTGTTTTTTTAATAAAAAGCCCTTTTTGAGGATTGGAACAGAAATACCAGCCCTGGAGTGAATAAACAGGAGACAAGACCAGTCACGCTCCTGTGAGTGGACCTTAAACCCTTGATGACCTTTTTTCTCTTAATGGCTCAGGAACATGTTATCATGAGATGCCTGCAGATACCAGCGACTGCAGCTCAGGACACTGTATTCAGAATGACACCGTCTGCTCTGATGTAAGTGAGGTGTAATATAAATGTGTCAGTCGGAAATCTCATGAACACCCGTGGCTATGAAACACAGGCAGAAATGAAACCAAGGCTTTGCGTTAACATACAGTAAAGTTTAAAAAACATAGTCATGTTCGATGGTATATGGAGGTAAACCATAAATATTTATAGTACTTTTACAGAAACGTTATTAATTATTGCAATTATATATTGTTTATTATTTTATTATTCATTTTGTTATTGTTATTGTTAATTAATAATTATTGTTTATTATTTTATTATTCATTTTGGACCTCCTTTGAAAATTATAATAGTTATAAACGTTATTATAATTTTACATTTTAAATTATCATTATTGTGTTCTTTTTTGTTGTTATGTATCTGACCATTTTATACTGATTGTACAGACAGTGATCTGGCGGAAATTAAGAATTTAAGCCGAAGTGTTGTAGTACATATGCCAAGCCTGTATATGGCACTAGCTCATCCACACGCCATCATATTAACCGGAAAACTTTATAGCGGAAGTTCAGAAAACCGGGAAATATGTCACAGTGTTCGCATAAAGTTTGCAATCTGTAAACAAACTCGAATGAGAAGCTCGAAAAGATGGAAATAGCACACCAAATAGCTGAATTAGCTTCACCGGCACTGTCAGAAGTATCATGGTCTCCGCCATTGTTGTTATTGTTTGACATAGTGCAGGGTTACTGGTGTAAAATGTTGCAGAGAGGGAGGGCCGACCTTATCGTCTCACCCTGCTCCGTTCACATGGAGACGCGATGCAAGAGGTCAAGGTCAAGGTCAGCTTTATTGTCAATACCTTCACATGTACAGAACATACAGAGGTATCGAAATTACGTTCCTCTCCTTCCCGTGCGCTGACAGACAGAGACAATACTGAACGAAAAACATTAAGGTATAATTTTTAAACCTCTCTACTTTGGGAGCTGCTGATGAACAAATAAATTCTGTTGTAATCCTGGTGAAACAGCTTTCACAGAGATTTCTTACAAGGTTAAAGTCTAGCACATATCAAAAGTGGAATCTATTGATCTATTGATCAATCAGACATCAAGGCGAAAATTAGGAACAGGAACACACAAGAGTGAATCAAATAGATCAATCAGACATCAAGGCGAAAATAAGGAACAGGAACACACAAGAGTGAATCACAGGATTAAACAATTTAAGTAGTAATCGGAAATATATATTTGGAATTAAAGGCTGCTGAACTTCAACCATAAATGTGATTACTAGGGTTTACTTTGTTTATTTTTATATTTCTTAGTATATTTATAAAAACATGCTTTCAGTCTTTTATACATTTATTATACATTTTTATCCGAGTATTACATTTTTATACATTTTTATCCGAGTATTTTACAGTTAAAACAATTAACTTCATATTTCATAATATATTTATAAAACATGCTTTCAGTCTTTTACGCTATACATTTATTATACATTTTTATTCTAGTATTTTACAGTTAAAACAATTAACTTTGAGGAATCTATGTGAGCTGATGCTGCCTCTTCTCATCTCTAACTTTTCTTCTTTGTGTTTTAACAGCAGCAGGGATCCAGTAGTTTGCATTACCGCCACATACTGGGTCGATTTCTACTTTAATTATTTAAACGTCCCAAATCGGAAAAAAAAATGCAGGCAGAGAGCAGACTTCCTTCAGCGTTATTAATATATTAAGGTGAGCAGTGACACTAAAGATCCATTAAAAAGTAGTTTGACAGTCATTAATATTTGTTGAAAATTGTTATTGCAAATTTTTCATCTATTTTATCTGCGTTAAAACTGCGTTGTTGTCCCCATTGTGTGATTCTCCTCTTCATGATACTACCAACATTTTCAACAGAAACAATTTTGGACTGCAGCCAGGCCATTCATAAATTGTGTTTGTGTGTGTGTGTGTATATATATATATATGTATATATATATATATGTATATATATATATATATATGGCTGCAGTCAATATATATATAATTCATTTTACAGTTGTAATTTGTATATTTATTAAGAAAGTCACAGTGAGATTCTGTTGAAAAATGGCATTGTTGGCGTTGTCAGACATTCTTGATCAATAAAAATAACAAAGGGCAACAAAGGCAAGTGAACTAAACTCTAAAATATCCCATAATAATGCCAGTTACTAACAACTGCTGTCAAGACCATTTATAAAAGGGTTAATAACGGCTGGGCTGGAGGATATAAGTGACATGCCTGAGAGTGCTGATGCTACAATGTTTTTGTAACTGTGTTACGGCCTTTGAGCAGCACAATCACGCAATCAATGTTAGTGATTGCAGATATATTAGCCTTTATATGACATTATCTGATCTGATGGACTGTTTTTTATAGATAAAGACTATCGTACAGTTTGACCATCTTTTTAAAAAATATGATTTTAGCATCAAGAGCTACCAGCGGGACTTGGTGTGGAGAATTCCTCAGAAACTGCACCAATTGGAGAGAAAAACAAGGGCAGAGGAGGTGGTTTTGTCATAATGACCACCCCCTCCCAGTGCTGACAGGAGTCAGTCTCTGTTTGTGAAATCATTTTTACCTTTGGACTACCACAAGGACCGCTCAGACTTTGGAACAAGGACAACACAGTTTCAAGTGTCACACACGTTAAGATCGTATAAAAGCTGCTTGGAGCCAAACCTGAGGATTAGTCTCCACTGAACCAGGAGGACTCCCCCTTCTTCAAGGCATCTAAGAGCTGAACTGTGCCCAACATGGGGGCCACCAAGCTCTGCCTTCTGCTCCTGCTGGGAACTACTCTGGCCCGTGAGTATTCTGTTTGTGCCTTTAGGAGTCAAGGTGTTTTTGAAGCGATGGCAGGATTTTTTTCATTATTTTTAATCTTAATATCTTGAATACTTTATTCTACGCTTGAATTCAAATTTATACACGCATCAAATTACATCAACCTTTTAAAGTGATACTTTAAACCAACATGAAACCATGCATCAAATTACATCAAACTTTTTTAAGAGTGATACTTTAAACCAACATGAAACCAGCCAAAATGTCTGTGTCATTTCAGGCACAGGTCAGAAAACAGAAGTCTGTTGTTTGTTTACTGGGTCTTTGACAAACAGTGATGCAATGACTGCTGTTTACTTCAAATGTGAAGTTACATGGATTATATATAAGACACATATTTAGTCATGTATAAGGTATACACACATAACACATATTTAGTCATGTATAAGGTATATAATGTATAAGGGCCACAGTCGGCCCCTAAGTCCAACAAAGGACATGCGTACTCCAATTGGATAAAAAATAATTATCGTATTTTATCTCAGTGTTATTTTCTGACATTAGGAAAACATTTTCTTGAATGTTTTTGTTGATCAGTTGATTTTCTGTTGTCTTTTACAGAGCAAGCTGTGGAAAGTGAACAGTCACCAATGTGCCCGTGTAAGTTTTTTCATTTTATGTCAAAAAAGAGGAATTATTTAATTTTGTATTAATATGATCAATGTTGTTGCTGTGTTTCCATAGCATCCACAGTAATTAGTAGCATCATTATTACTAGTATTAACGGCTTTAGCAATAACAGTAGAAGAAATGGGTGTGGAAGTAGTTTCAATAGTAGGATAAAATATTTTTATTATAAATACTAATCCAATGAATCGTTCAAACACATTCCAGGGGCCAAACGATTCAAGAACTTCAGGCAGTACGTGTATGACTACGAAGCTGAGTCCTTCAGTGGAGCCATTGGCACAGACACACTGAGCGGGCCCAAGGTTTCCTGCAAAGTATGTGTTAAGTACTTCAAAAACTAGACACGTGTACACTGCTGACCCAAAACAGAAAACTCAAAACTCAGAGCTAACACAGAATCTGCTGCACAGGTCTCAGTGGACGTGCCCCAGACCTGTAGGTTCATCCTGTCCACCACAGACTGCTCTCTGAGCAGCATCTCTGCTTTGGACGCTGAAGGTAGACCTGTGTATCGTCCTGCTGTGGGCAGTGAGGCGTTCAAGGACGCCATGGCCAAGTAAGACCCCGTGTTTTTCATTTTTCTTTTCTTCAATAAGAACTTATATTCAGAAGTTGAACTTGTTTTTTGTGATTTTTTTTTTTACTTTTTTGTGCTGTCTCTGTTGCAGCATTGATATGATTTTTGACTATTGTAAAATTGATGATGTTCCCAAACCAACAGAAACGTCTTAAAAATTGCAATCGACGGAGAGGATCACGTTCAGCTTTACCCAGAGGACAAAGAGCCAGAGAACATCCTGAACATCAAGAGGGGAATCATCAACGCTCTGCTGTCACCTGAGGTGGTGGAGGACGTGACCCGAGACATGGTATAGCTCCCCCTACCTGTACTGTGTTGGCTGCCTCTTTGTTTTTCTAAGTCATTCTAGCCAATCAATTCAGATCATGAATCAGTGAGATGAGATTAATTCTCTTTGCGGAAAAACAAAACAAGTCACGAACAGATAAATGTTAATAGTTGCACAATGAGTAGATAAGCTGCCCCAGCCTGGGGTGATAAATGCCCTCATGACACATCATGTAGTCCTGTACACATCCTCAGTGCAGGACAAAGTCCCTGATAACTTTATCTCTGTCTAATGTCATCACCTGCAGCACAGTCACAGGATGATCTTTCACAGCAATTGATAATCACATGTTTTTCCTGTATCTAGGTGATTTGTTTTGGATGTTTTTTTTCTTTGCTTATTTTTTGAATTTTCTTAACCTGACCTGGTTTTTTTTTTTTTTCTTTTGTTGTTTCAGCCAACTGTGTACGGAACTTGCCCCAGTACCATCACCGTCAAGGACACAGACAGTGGTGTGACGGTCCTGCGAGATGTCCACAAATGTTCCGCAGTCGATGCCAAAAAGATGCACACCAGCCCTCTGGCCCTCATCACTGGCATGGTAACTATTTATTCAGCTCACAATCTGCCAGGTTCAAAGTCCGGCCCCAGGGCCAGTTGTGGCCTTTCGATGAAGTTTTTTAGACCTCTATTGAACCTGTTTGCACAATCTCACACTATCTCTGTGGTTAAGTTTTAGATAATTTTGCTAACGCTAATCTAGTTTACTTATATTTTTGGCTAGGTTTTGATTATTATAGATTGATAATAGTTACTACTTCCAAATGATATTTAATCAAATCAAGACTTATTCTGCTAATTTTATGTACTTTTATTTCCAGATATTTCATGCTGACCTTTCACTTTTAACTTAACTTTTGATGATTTTATTAGTATTTTGTGTTAGTTCTTTTGCTCCTCTTATTTACTATTGTCATTACTGGCTGGTAACCTTTGGCTATGCTTTTATTAGGTCTATTCATGTGTAGTTTGAGGTCATTTTTTTATTTTAATTTATGTATTTAAAATCTTTATTGACATCATTTTAAAGGCTACATTTCTGTACTTGTCAGGAATTCCGCCTGTCCAGGATGATAAGCAGCAAACAGACCTGTGACTATAAGTTTGACAACCAGAAGAAGGTCATGACTCACTGCAGCTGCACAGAGAAACATCTCTTCCAGCCCCTGTCCTCACAGTAAGTTCTAAAAATAGTCCCAAAATAAGTGTCATCACATTTTTTTATTTTTAGAAAAAAAACAATTCTTGTTTGGAATTAAGCATTTTCCCAATGATGCCCATGTTGGTAAAACCCTTGTTTGTCTTCTTTACCCAGGGGTTCACATGGACTCACTGCTGATGTGAAGCAGACATTGGTTCTGAGAGACACCATCAAGATTAACGACAGAACCTTTGAGCCAAGTAAGCATCTATTTCAGTAGTGTGTAGGTGTAAAAAAGATTCTGCCTGTTTCCTCTTGCTGTTTTCTCACAAGTTCTAAATAATGTCATTTTTAGAGCGGGACAACTACAAGTTGTTAACCATGGATGAGCTGGAGGACAAGTCCCCTAGCCAGAACAAAGACAGTGTCATCATGACCCTGCAGAGACTCAGCTCCCTGTCTCAGACCCCTGATGGTCAAGAGCGGGCCGGCCTCTTTAACAACCTGCTGTCCGAGCTCCGAGGCCTGAAGACCGAGGCTCTAACATCTGCTGCTGTGGAGATGATGGAAATTTCCGGTTCTCTCACTGTCCAAGCTCTGGTCCAGTGCGGCACCCCAGAATGTACAGGCGCCTTTCTCAAGGTCCTCAAGACTTTTGACAACGGTCCAGTCGCGGTTGATGCCACCGTCTACGCACTGGGAATGCTTCAGGGTCCCTCAGACTCCATGGTGATGGATATGCTGGACATGGCTCGGCACAGGAAGAGTCGGCCGGTCATGTATGCTCTGGGCAATACAGTTAGGAAGTGAGTAAAAGGTTTGGATTCTAGAGATTTTTTGTTTTTCGTGTATCAATTTCTGTGTCTAATATTTTCTGTTTCACACTTTCTTTGAAGACTGTATTCAAAGTTAGAAACCACCACACCAGAGATGACTGAAGTCTATAAGTTCATTACTTCAATTCTGGGCACTGACTGTGCTGGGGAGAAGGAACTCACCTACTTGACCTTGAGGGTAAAAAAACATTTTTAAAAACTTAAAAATGGAAATGTTGGTTGGAGGAAGATTAAAAACAATTTAGAATTAATGTCAGAATGAGCAATAAAGAACAAAAATCCTCTTGTTCCTCCATAACGCATCAGGCTTTGTCCAATATTCTGAAAAGATGACACTTTTAGATTCTGACTTTGTGACTTGTTGTGTGCAGGTTCTTGGTAACATCGGAGACGTGATGGAAGCTGTCGACCCTGCCATTAAGAACACCCTAGTGAAATGCATGAGGCAGCCTGCAACCACCTTGTCTGTGCAGCTGGCAGCCATCCAGGCCTTCAGACGCATGTTTGTGACATCTGAGGTAAATCATGACATCCCATGACATGGTATGAACCTTCCTATAATGAAGTGACAAGACCATGCCTCTTATTCTCTCTCCAGGTCCGCTCTAACCTCAGGAGAGTCAGCCAGTACCCCAACGGTGCTGTGCAGAAGCGTCTGGCAGCGTACCTGGTTCTGATGAAGAACCCTTTGGAAGGTGACATGGAGATGGTGAAGAAGCTGCTCTTGAAGGAACAGAACACCCAGGTCAAGACCTTCGTCTCCTCCCACATCTACAACATCATTTCCTCCACTGATCCCGACCTCCAAGCGTAAGAATACGGCAAACAACTAATGTTTTATATCAGTGACATAAATCACACAGGTCCGAAGTGCGGCTCAGAAGCAAATCGTGGCACTTGGAAAGGTTTTTTATGGCCCACGAATTCTTATATAATCTATCTTTTATGGCTCATGTCCAAGTCATTTTCCTTAACCCCAGCGAATTAATGATTTAATATTGAAATGTTTGATTAACATTTGGTCAGTTAGCAAGCATTTTGTTGGTTTTTAGTTGTTTTTATTTACCTATGCCTGATCTAAGTTGAACTATTTGTGTCTCTTCAGGGTTGGACAGATGATAAGGGAAGCTGTGCAGGACATTGATATCTACACAGACAACGACTTCAGAAATTCTCAAAACTACAACTTGAGCCTGGGATATGAGAGCGTCCAGGCTGCAGTTTTCAGCAACATCATTTTTGACCCCAGTAGCCAGCTGCCCAGAGAGGTCATGCTGGAGACCACACTGAAGGCCTTTGGATTCTACGCCAACATTTGGGAGGTAAAATATAATATTTCTGCATGATTTTGATATTCACATTAGACACATTTATATTCTGAGATGAATTCTGGGTTACAGTTAATGACTTTTATTTATTACATTTTGATTTGACAACATTTGATTTTAATTGAAAGTACTGGCTGTAATGTCGGGGGAAATACAATATTTAATCTCCTTAACAGACGTATTTTTTCCTGTAATTAATAGTGACAAAATAAGGTCAGACCTTGCGTTGAAGTGTTGAATGTTACTCTGTAGGTCGGTATGGAAGGAAAGGGATTTGAACCATCCATTGAAGCTCTGTTTGGAAACAACGGCTTCTTCCCTGACACTGTGTCCAAGGCTATTTACTGGGCTGAAGACAAGATGCCACCAAATATGAAGGAAGTTCTGGAGAAATGGGTCGCTCCATTTAAAACCCCAGGACAGAAGGTACGGTGAAATCTTCAGGTTAAATAATCTCAGGTTTACTTGCACTTTTATAAACACATCTGACCCAACAGTACTCCGGTGTTTTTATCCCGCAGATCCCTGAAAACCTTGGGAAGGAAATTGTCCGCAACTTCAACAAACTAATGAAAGACCTCCAGAGTCAGGAGTCTCCAGAGGCCATAGCCTACCTGAGGAGCATGGGAGAAGAACTGGGCTACATCAAGGCCGCTGACCTAAAGTCCATGGCAGAAAATGCAGCCATGTTTGCCGACATTTTCATGAGGGTCCTTCCTTCAACGGTAGCGTCCCTCACCCCTCTCTGCTTGTCTAGTCATTAACAAAAAGTCAGATTTTATTCATCTTTTTCCAATTTATATCTTTTGTCAGGTCTTGAGGAAGCATTTATTTTTTCCAATGTATATCTTTTGTCAGGTCTTGAGGAAGCTGATGTCAGGAGAAGATCAGGAGATGTTCGCCCACTACGTGTTCATGGACAACAAATTCATGATGCCAACTGCAGCTGGTTTGCCTCTGACATTTGCAATGACAGGAACCTTTGCTCCTGGGGTAAAGGGAGGCTTCAGAATTTCTCCAGACATGGTAAGTTTTTATCATATCTTCTTCATTGAAGGACTTTAACTTTAATATCCTAAGAAAGTTGTGCAGAGTCTGTACTAAATTTACTCGATGGGTTGAAGGCGGTGCTCAAATTTTGTGTGTGTTTATCATATGCATAGTGGCTAATTCACCATTTTATTCTCGTCAACATCCCTCCATCCTCCCACAGAAAACCTAAAACTTGACTAATATAGTTTTGACCTCGTGCCCCTGGTTTTCTTATTTTGATTTAATGGCATGTCCTTTTTGTGTGTATACCAATATTCATTTTCATCTTATGGAAATATTTTGAATTTCACTTTTTTACTACTCACTCACAGAAGGAGCTGTTGTTCGTGCCTTCAGCCGGAGTGGAGTTTGTGACCAGGATGGGAGTCCATGTGCCTGAGTTTGTCATGGCTGCCGCTGAGAGGCACACCACCCTGTACCACGAGAGCCAGCTCGATGCTAAGGTTAGCATGAGCCAGGGCCAGGTCAAGCTCAGCATCCCCACACCAAAGGGTCCCATCAAGCTGCTGAGAGTCAGGTAAATAATGACAATTACTACATTCTAGGGTTATATATGTCACCATGTTGGTCATAACAGCAGCGGTAACATTGAATTTCCATTCTCCTAAACAGCAATAAAGTGGTGATTGTTGGAACCGATGATATTGTGAAGATGCCAGACACTGTGGAGGAATCAACCTGCAAACCAGTCTTCCCTGGAGTCAAACTCTGTGTCAAAACACTTCTCAGTGACACCGGTGACTTGTCCCTGATTGGAGACAATGTGTAAGTTATTCTCCAGCCAGTTTTTAATTCAACATTCACAGAGTTATAAGAAAATGGTTTCAATGAGATGAATGAGTGAATGTTGGTTGGGTTTAAAAGTCATTTTGGTAAAGGTTTTGTTGAAATGTTTTTAATAATTATCTCTACAGTGTGTAGGTTTTAGTGATGATTTTATTTCTTTGTCTAGTATTCTACAAACATTTTGAAATTATGAATTTCATCTGAGAATTCTGATCTTATTGATAAAAGAAATATATATATATATATTAAATCTTTATTTAGATTTTTTAATATTTAACTTTTAATTAATTTTCTTTTTTTTTTTGTATCTACTTTAGAAATTCACTGCTTCTCCCTGACTTTTCATTTCAGCTTGGCTGTTGACATTATGCCCACCAACGAGGTCTCTGAGTACACCGCCACCATCACCTACCAGCTCCGCCAGGAGGAAAAGGATGAGAAGGTTGATAGTTTGACACTGGCCCTAAGAGCTGAAGGTACAATACCGATATTAACAAACAAACATGAACAAACATACAAACTTTTTCATATTTAGAAAATTTCAATAAATATAACAAATGAAATCAATATAGGTGCTGAGCACACAGAGGCCACAGCCGTGATGACATACAACAGGAACAGGAACATCTTCCTCACTGCAGTCCAAGTCCCTGACATGGATGTTGAGCTTGGCTTTAAGGTTAGTTTGACAGACAGCGGCTCCGAAGGCAAATCCATCACCATGCAGTTCCTTGACAACAACGTGCCCCAGCTTACGCTGATCGGCCTTGCCAAGTGAGTTAACCTTGCTGCAATTATTGAATCAAAATATACAGAATATAAAGCACTGATCTGATTGAAATGGAGGTATTGATTGGCTCTTTTAATAATTACAGATTGAATTCCTTGACTGATGGAACGCTCCGAGTCGAAATGGTTGTTCCATCATTTAGCACCAATGCAGCCGTCACTGCTACGTTGAGTAAAGACGATGGAGTCACCATGGAGCTCAAGAGTGAAGTAAAAGTTGTAGACTCTACCTCCACTCAATCTGTCATTGTCAAATACGGTGAGTTATTTAATGTTGTAATCACATTATTTCTTTGAATAAGTGAGACAACTAAGTGGCGTCATCTACTTGCGTTTCTCCCCCCAGGTGAAGAACAGGCTGAGGTTCAGCTGGTATCAAATGTCAACACTGATACCCACAAACTGCAGGACGCCCTGGAGGACTGTCTCAGGACGGTTGTAGACGCTGTCATGGACCAGCAGGTCGTGAATACTGACATGAAGCTGCGTCACATCCTAAAAAAGGGAGTGGAGGTGAGGATGACTAAACGTTTGTTTGGAATAAATGTATAATGTTTGAGTTTAGACTAAAACATTTTCTCCTTTAGGCCAGCAACATCTGGATGGACAAGATTGTACAAGATGCTCCTTATGTTGAAACTCTGAGAAGCAGCCTCACAGAGTTGGAAATCCCTAACAGCCTACTTATGAACTTGTAAGTATCACATGAGTTCAAAACTATGAAAAGGCATGAGGTGAGGGTCTTTGGTCTTAGCTTTAACCTGTAACTGTTTTTTGTAAACCTTTTACAGCGATAGTAAATTCAGATACAAGTTCAACAAGGACCGTTTCACTATTACTGTTCCTCTGCCACTGGGAGGCAAATCATCTGAGGAGCTGAGGATTCCACCAAAGGTCACTTCTCCCCAGATCTCCCTACCTCAGCTGGGAGTGGATTTTGCCTCAACGGAGGTCCAGATCCCCACTTTTACCATTCCTTCTGAGTACGATCTGAGCCTGCCACTGATGGGAATGGTGGACATGTCTGCTAAGGTCACGCTCAACTCTTACACCTTGGAAACAACATTTTCTGCCGGCAACAGCACAGCTGAGTCCATGAGCTACGAAGCCAAATTCAATATGATCACTGAAAGCCCAATCAACGTTCTCTCCTTCTCAACTGGGGGTAAAATGATCTTAATTCTTCAACAACAATTGTAAAACATTACTATATTTTATTTTTAATATTATTTCTATTATACTAATTATTCACATCACTCATTTTTGTTCTTTACAGTTGAAACTAAACTCACAGAAACAGAAGATGAAGGCTTGAAATTCTCTCTGGATGGTGACCTCAAACACATGTTTGTTAAGACAGGTGTTAGTGTCTTGGAAACGATCTCTGTCACAGACAGTGTGCTTTCAACAGGAAAGTACAACGTGTACGGTACCTCGCCACTCGGTTTGGACACTTCACTGGCTGTGACCACCAAGCTTTCCCTGGCACCAAGCATGTTGTACGTTGACGTCAACACAGAAGGTGCTATTACGGTCGGATCCCTGGATGCCAACAGCACCTACCGCCACACCTTCTCTGCTGACCGGGTGAAGAGGGAAGCGAAGCTGGAGAGCAAACTGAAGGTCACCTCTGATCTCCTGAAGATTTCCAACAAGATTGATGCATCCTATGCAAAGGAGGAACTTTTGATGGAGTCCGTCACTGACATGCAGACCTACGGCATGAAGCACAAAACCAAAATGAGCCTTAGCTACAAGGACATCAAGCTCAGCATGCGCTGCGACGCTGTGACCAAGGCTGATGGCAAACTGTTTCGTAGCCAGATTGAGGCCTCAGCAACCAACAGACAGGCCACTCTGAGGATCGAGAACGAAGTTGATGACGGAGACAACCGCGCCTACTCTCTGATCACTGGGTCCGTCAATCCCTCTGGTGTGGAGGTCAACACTGACGCCTCCTTGGTTTTCCTCACAAGGGTCGCAGCTCACAAAGGAACCTTCTCCCTGAACACGAATGGTCTGACCACCAGCTGTACAACAACTGCACAGTACAGACCCATGACCTTCGAGAATGTCTTCCACGGTGTTGTTGATTCCTCAGGTGTTAGCACGTCCCTCACCACCAAGGGAAGCTATAAGGAGAACAAAGCAGAGCTCAATGTTGAAGGGAAGATTGCAACCACAGAAATTTCTTTCAATGGCATCGTAAAGGGTAACGTTTTTGATGCCAACGCCAGAAACAGAGTTGTCCTGAAATTGAACGGAGATGGCCTACTGCTCTCCAACAACATGGTTGGATCCTTCAGAGAGATGAGAACTGAAAACACCCACTCACTGTCTTTTGCAGACACAACCTTCAGACTTGTCTCCAAGACAGACAACGTCCTTGACAGGAGCAACGCCTACAAGCATGACATCAAAGTCGAAATGGTGCCTTTTACTGCTACGGTTGTGGTGAAAAATGACCTTAAGATCATGGAGGTTAACTTTGTGAATGATGCCCAGTTCGAGGCAGAGCCCATGCAGATGGAGCTGGTAGGAACACTGATGGGGGTTTACTCAGGAGAGGAGCTGAAACACACCTATGAGATCAAGTTTGCAGACCAGGTCTTCTCTGCCAAGTGCAATACAAATGGAAAACTCCTGGGATCCCATGTGACCCACACTGCTGATATAGAGGTTGCTGGATTTTCTGTGAAGTTTAATGACATGGCCAACATCAACTCTCCATCTCTTCGTCTGGTGAGCACAGTCAAAACTGTTGCTGAGCCCTTCGCCCTCACCATCGACGCGATTTTCAATTCAGATGGCGAAGTGTCCTTGTATGGACAGCACAGAGGCGAGGTCTACAGCAAGTTCCTCCTGAAAGCAAAACCTCTCCTGTACACGCAGTCATTTGAGTACAGAGCTTCAACCAGCCATGAACAGGAAGGCAGAGACCCTCTGAAGACCAGCATCGACAACAAGTTCGACAGCATTCTTAGTTTAGACGAGCAACGTTTCACACTCCGGATTAAATCCAAAGTGAATGACAACACTATCGATCAAGAAATTAAGTCCTATAACGACGCAGTGAAAATGGGTGTTGAGATGAACGGCATGCTCTCAACCCCTCTCTTCAGTGAGTCCAATCAAGAATATTCCATTTCTGGATTTTTGAAATATGACAAGAACAGTGACAGCCATTTCATCCTGGTGCCATTTGAACAGTACTTCCCTGTACTTGTTGAAAATGCCATGTCCACAGCGATGGAGCTGATGCAGTACAGCGTCCAGATGGTGAAAGATATTGACAGCGAGTACAAGGTCAGTGTCACCGTGAGAAACAAACTGTCAGAACTGAAGGAGGTCATCAACAACTTCAACTTTAACCTCGTTGTCAAAAAGTTGAATAAGTTCCTCATCTCTGCAGAAAATGCTGTCATTGACATGATTGCTAAGTTCCCCGGAGAAAAATTGAAGAATGCAGTGAAATCCATCATGGAGACCATCATGGCCTGGCTCCAGAATTATGACATTGCCAATAAATTCGGTGCCATTTATACCAAAATAGAAAGTATCCTCTCTGAGTATGAGATTGAGAAGATGATTGAGGCCATCATGGATGAGATTGTGAAAATGATGAAGCACTATCAGGTGAGGGAAAAGATCCACTCAGTATTCACAGCCCTTAAATCAATTAATCTTCGGCCCTTGTTCAAAAAAGCCCTGTCTCCTGTGCAGAGTGTTGTGAATGCACTGCATGACTTTGATTTCCAACAAATGGTCAATGACGTGAGTAATTATTTGGACAAAATGATGGAGAAAATCAAATCGTTTAATTATGACATCATCGTCACGGAGCTGAGAGAGAAGGCAGGAAACATAGTCTTCCCATGTTTTGGAAAACTTTACGGAGAGTTCAAATTCAAATCACCTCATTATGAAATGAAGACCACAGCTGACATGGCGAACACCACCACTACATCAGAGACACCAGAGTTCAAACTGGGCTTCAACTCAGTGGCATCATCTACTCTGAAAATCCTTGACTACACAGCGGACGCCTCTCTACATTTGTCTCTACCCCATGAAAGTCCTGTGTCTATTTCTGAAAGAATCACCATCGACTCATCGTGTTTCACACTCGACTACAAGGCAACGACTGAACTCTCTGACAAATCGTCTGTGACTTCTCAGACTATGGCCAAGGTCACCACAGAGCTGTATGCTGCTGAGCTTGCCAACACGGTATCTTACACCTTTGGAGATGATGTTTCTGCCAAATCAGTAACTAAATACAAACATCACCTTAACTTCCCACCACTCGGCATCTTCAGTGACGCCCAGATGAATTCCGAGACAGTTTTACAGCTCGAGGATGACAAGCTGCACCTGACCCTTGAAAATATTGCCAGTGACAAATATGCAGTGATGAGTTTTTCAGATGAGGCAAACCACAAGAGTTCTGTGAATGTGGTGACAGATTTTGACACGGCTACAGTCACTTTCAACGGAGAAACTGGCTTCATCGGTGCCAAAATGATTCACACCCTGACGGCAGATATGAGCATCTTTGATCATCTCACCATCGTAGCCAAGGCTGAAACAGAGGCACCCTTTATGAAGAACAGTGTGGCAGAGGTCAAGCTCCAGGCTGAAGCTGGTGACCTGAAAATTAATTTTCAGGCTACTCACAGTGCTGAGATGATTGGACTGGTCGAAGGTCCAGTTTCAAACATGGCCTCGGCTTTGATTAAACCCAACGAGCTCATGTTTTCAACCGAGAACAAGGGGAACGCCAAGGTTACCCTTCCGATGAAGCTATCTGGAAAGTTACACCTTCAGAATGACATCTCTCTCACCCTTAACTCCCGGGTTCATCAACTAGCCTGGAAAGGTCTGGCTAAGTTCAACCAGTACAAGTACTTTCATCACTTGACTGTGGAGAACAGTAATGAAGAAATTCAAATGTCTACCCAGATTAATGGAGAGGCAAATCTGGACTTCCTGGAGGAAACTATCTCCATCCCTGAAATAAAAGTGCCATATTTTGGCAGAAGAATACCAAGATTGCATTCCTTCTCTATCTGGAGAGACACTGGCCTGGGTGACTACCTAATCACAACCCAACAGGTAGTTGACATAAATTCCAAACTAAAGTATAAGAAGAACCCTGAGATGATTACAATTAAAGTTAACTTGGAGCCAGCCATCAATATCCTGCATGAGAACGTACGCAACAGCAAGGTCAAAGCAGCTTCCATTCTCAATGCGTCATACCAGAGGGTAAAGGCAGAGTACGAAAAGTACAGCAATGACCTGCCTTCAGGATTTAAAGTGCCTGCCTACAGAGTACCAGTGATTGATCTGGAGATGTCTTCATTTACCATTCCACTGCCTGAGACCAGTCTCTTTTCAAGGCCACCTCTGTACACCCCATCTGCCTTCAGCGGGCTGACTCTACCCCAAGTGACTTTGCCCAGAGTTCAAACTGTTGAAATTCCAAAAATGGGTGACCTGACCTATGAGTTCTCCATGAAAACAGCAATAATCACGGTGAAAGCTGACGCCAGCATCCTCAACAAAGACGATATGGAAATTAAACTCGATCTCATCTCCTCGTCCTCTGAGTTTGACCTTCTGAAAGTGAAGGTCCAGGGCCACAGCTCAGACAGTGGATTCAAAGTGACCTCTTCGTTTTTTTCAAAACTTCCATTAATAGAGACGGCCCACGACAGCACTGTCCTCTTGAGTTTTGACAACATTGACGCCTCCATCAGCAATGCAGCAGAAATTGATTCGATTTTCAATCCACTAATACGGTTCAACCACAGTATCACTCTGAATTCAGAAGACGGACTCGTGGTGGCTTTGTTTAGCCCATCTGCAGGGCGTATATCATTTCAGATGCAGACTGATGCAGATAAAGACTCTCGAACACAAGTCAATGCAAGACTCTATGGCAGCTATCGAGTAAGAGCACTTTGTTGACTACTTATAATTTGTCAAGTACCATGTTTTCTTTTTATAATAACTGTTTTTTTCCTTTTCATCTTCCTACAGTCTGAGCCAACAAGAGACATTGAAATCCTGGGTTTGAACATGGTTCTCAGAGGATCAGAGATGCCTCTCTTTGATACCACCTATAACATGGAGATACCTAACAGCCTGCTGGTGACAACGATGAAATTTATGCAGGAAGTTGTAGATGAAGCTTTCCTTGTAGCCGATTTTGCAATACATGAACTTCTGAGGCTCGGGGAGGACATCGTACGGGTTCGGAGAAACAAACTGCCAGTAATAAAACCTTCAGAAATTATGGCCGATTTCAGTAATAACACAATTATGATACTGGAAGAATACCATAAGAAGGTTAAGGCCGTTCTCGACGCTGTTTATAGCTTCCTTAAAGAGACCAAATTCCATGTCCCTGGGTACAATCAGAGACTGTCAGGGTTTGAAATCTATAACAAAATAACTAAAGATGTGGCAGACGTATGTGAGGACGCTGTGGAGAGAATACCCGAGTATTTCAAATTAGTTTGTGATTACATCCTGTCCATTGAATTACCCTTCCCTGTCTCTGATTACGTTTTCATAGTGAGAGAAACTTGCATTGAATTTTCCGAATCTTTGCCAGCGTACAAGAGATCAGCAATCGAGTTTGCCAGAAGAGTAGCAAATATCAGACTGGAAGACATCATGAGCAAAATTTCCGAGCTCATACAGTTTCTGTATGAACAAACTGAGATGTTTGTCCAATCCCTAAAGTCTGCAAATCCGCTCTCAGAATGGTTTACTGAAGTGTACAATAACACCATGGAGGTTCCACTCCTGTACAATGTTTCCATTGAACTCAGAGCCTACTGTAGAATGTTTGTAGAAATTCTTTATTGGTAAGAGCTAAAAAAAAACATTATTTTGTCTAACATGTCCTGGCCTCACTTGTCAAGTTGGAGCAGATTCAAAAACAAAAAGTACAGAAGAAAAGTAGCATGTCTGTATCGTTCCTTGTCTAATTTAGTACTAGATCTGTACTGCCATTAACACTTTCTGTAAACTGTGGTTTATTAGTTGACCAGTGTTTTAAACCCTCCATTGTTCTGTCACCATGTCCTTTACTATTTAAAAAAAACACCACCTGTAAACTAATTGGGTTTATTAGTTGACCAGTGTTTTAAATCCTCCATTGTTCTGTCACCGTGTCCTTTACTATTTAAAAAAAACACCATGTGAGCCCTAATAAAAACGTATTTCATACAATTTAATGCAAATGTGTTGACAATCATTTCAGACAAAGGTGATGAGTTTTATATTGATGTCTAGTCATGTTAGAGTAGTAGAGTAGAATACTGTATGTACCCCAACTTAAAATGTACTGCATTAAAATGCATGAGTTGCTACAATTAAATTCACTATATTTACACATATATTTTTATACTTGCTGTGTATTTCAATCGCATTTTATGCATAGTTCAAATATACAGTAAATATCAGTGTTAGTTGATATATCAAATTTATTGTTTAAAAAATTCCAAAACAGAACACAATAACAAACGATGCCAAAATGGATGCCAAAATCCAGAGTTTCTCAAGTATGAAGAGAGAATTTTCTTTTTTTTTTCTCAAGTTAGGGATGTTATTCTCTGGAATTTGGCGAGTGGATTTTTTAAATTCTTGCTGTAAAAGAAATCAGTAAGTAAATAGGAAACAGATTTGGACTGCAGACAGACCAGTTAAGGAGGTTCAAAACCAAACACTGTTGCTCTAGAAAATTCCAATATAATCCTTTGCAACATTCTTCAGGCTGCGGCTTTTGCTGCGGCCACAGAGCCATCACAGATGTTTCAGTAAATAGTCATTTAGATTGTCTGGGATGCAAATAAAAACGGCCTCGTGATGGGATCCTTAAAAAAAATTAAAATATTTGTTGAAGCAGTTGTCTCGTTGAGTGAACTCGGTGTTTTGTAACTTGAAGTTAACTAAACTTATACAGTGTTTGAACCACAGACACGTTCGAGGCTCAACTGAACCAAGGTTTAACATGAATTCTATTGCCTTTTTCATAAACGTACTCGTTCGACACATTAATCCCTTCAAAGATTATGAAACCTAGAAAGCATTCCATTAATATTGTCATTTTTTTTATTTTACAGAGAGATTTCTTTTTATATATAAAAGACCAATTAACTGTCTGGTGTGTGTGTGGGCAGGGTCTAATAGAGCAAATTCGAAGCACATGAAGGGAGGCCAGTGTGGGAAAATTAACCAATCCAGCCAATGCAGTCCTGCTCTCTAAATCAGCAAAAATCCCAGCAACAGAGAGACAGGGAGGAATTTGACTTTTACACAATCGTAAATGAGCTCCGATTTGGTAACAGCGACTCTCCCAAACCCAACAAATGTATCTTTAATGTCTTTAAACTGCACATTTAAAGTAAAGTCCCCCCCCAGGCCACCCCCACCAAAAAAGTCCCATTGTATAACCAGCAGGCTTTGCCCCCTGGAATTTCACTATAGCAACAGTGTCTGTAATGGATGTTCATCACTGTCATTCAGGACAAGCACAAGTGTAAGAGAACAGTTACACAACACCGCTGTGAACACACACATCCAACATGAGCTGAATTTATTGCACAAGAATGGAATATTAGGCTGTCATACAATGATTTATGCGCTTCTACCTTCAAAGCTCCGACAATACACACACTGAAGTACATTCACAGTCATTTATTTACCTTTAGGACTTCACCTCTAAATCCTCACTCAGTTTTTCTGACAAACTTTTTACAGCCCCTGGGAAAAAAAAAAATACTCCAAAGTTTTTCTTTGTTATCACTAGAAGAGTGTGGTTTTAACAACATAACGTAACACATTTCCTTTGAAATACATTTAATATTCAGTAGCCCGATGCCATTAAATTTTGCAAGTAGCTAAAATTCAGCCAATTTTTCCTTTTTTTCTAAAACCACTCTTTTACTCAGTATTTCTCAAATGGTGGCTCCAGAGCTGTTACCAAACACTCATTGTGCGTTTTAATCTAACAACATTACAACAGTACTAACTGTTGTCATTGGAGCTTCACCCCTTATTGGCAGAAACAGGAATGACACCTACAATACTGCGGCAGTATGACAAGCATAATTGCTCGTTTTGAAACGCAAAGCCGTAAGCATTAGATGTATATGTAGATGTCCCGGTTTTTACTGTTAGGTTACAAACCAAAAGGTTGTATTATTAGGTTTGGGTTCTGGGTCGAGACCATTTAAGAATCACTGAGTTAATAAAACCAGCAAAACATTCTGGGTTTAAATGAACAACGTCAGAGAGCCACAGCCATCAGATATGTCAGCTTGTAAATATCCCGAGGCCATACAATCATTATAAAATCATTATTTCAGTATCAGATTTTTGTACCTTTACATAAAGCTGTTTATAAAATTACACTTTTCATCTGTAGTTCTTTCAATGTGCAGACTCCAGATTCAAATGTAGCCTGTTACACCACAGCTCTCAGGGTGACAATCCTTCCAATTAGAATTTGATAAATATATAAATTAAATGAAACTAAAAAAAAATGATTCATTGTTGTTGTTTTTTATAGCAACTCCTGTGATTTCAGCTGCTCTTTTATGAATAAACTCTGAAACAGTAAATCTTTGGTTTGCGGACTGGGACTGCAGCTATCAGTTGACTAACTTATGAACTATTTCATAGTTCTGAATAAGCTTTTTGTTTTTATTAACAAAAAAAGCTTAACTAGAACTACAGTCTGGTTTGTTTATCTCTATAAAATAGTAAACTTTGATTTGTGGGCCAAAACAATTTAAGGCAGCCATGATTTGAGGGTTTGGATGAGCCAAACATTTTATCCAACCACTTTCTGGAATTTGTAGGTTTCATGATAATTTGTCCAATTGACAAAATAATTGGCAATAAAGAAATAACTGTGAGTTAAAGTAACGTTTTTGTTTTTATAAAAACATCCTGTTCCTTCTGTGAATCAAATGGAGTATCAGAATAATAACTGTTTGCTGCTGCAGCCCAAGTCCAAGTCAGACTTAGAACCAACAGTATTAAGATGTGGTGCATATAAAATAATAATAAGTTTTCTTCCACGTGGTGTAAATCAGTGTGAAAAACTGAACATCTCAATACCTCCATTTTACAATACAAAATGAGGAACTGGAACTGTTTTGCTTCCTTGGCCGCGGCACAGTGTCCTTTAGACAAAGTTGCTAACACTGTAAAAATCAGTCTTTTGTCAAATCGTCGGTCACATTGTATAAAGTCAGAGTGGATCATGTGATCCACCAAGAACACACACTTTCACAGTGCATTTCACACACAGCCAGCCGATACAACAACAACAAAATCTCTGTTCTCAGTCAACAGTTCTGGGTCAGTCCTTGCTCAGGGTGTATCCAAACCCATGCGGCAGTGACCTCGCCACTGCCAGGCATGTCCAGACACGGGTCCCGTGGTGCAACGTCTGCCTCTCCCGGGTGGTTCTCCTCCACGCACCGTGGACACATCACATCAAAACACAACACTTGAGACAACCCCCTGGCGGCGTGGGTCGCTTCTGCAGGGCCGCACGTGTCGCGCTTTCGAACACTTCCCAGATCCCCTCCTTGGTTTTGGCCGAACACTCCAAATAGTCATAAGCGCCAATGCGCGTGGCCATGGCGCGGCCGTCCTCTGCCTTCACCGGCTCCAGCTTCAGCCGGGACAGTTCGTTCTTTACGCCCTCGTCGTTGCGCAGATCCTTCTTGTTGGCCACTAGTATGATGGGCACGTTGGGACAAAAGTGTTTGACCTCGGGCACCCACTTTTCCGGAATGTTTTCCAGGGAATCCGGGCTGTCCACGGAGAAGCACATGAGGATCACATCTGTGTCCGGGTAGGAGAGAGGGCGAAGGCGGTCGTAGTCCTCCTGTCCGGCCGTGTCCCATAGGGCTAACTGGACCTGTTTGTTTTCCACCTCTATGTCCGCAACGTAGGTCTCAAACACTGTCGGGACATAGACTTCTGGAAACTCGTCCTTGCTGAAAACGATCAGGAGACACGTCTTACCGCATGCTCCGTCCCCGACCACCACAAGTTTTTTGCGTATGTCTGCCATCCTCGTCCCTTCGTTACGTAGCTCTGTCTCAACGTCGCATCCAAATCTCAGAGAACTCTCGCCTTTGTCGTGTATATATATATATATATAGAAGTGTGGGTGTGTGTCTTCTAATAAACACTGGGCTGGTTCATCCCGTCAGACGACGTGGTTTCTCACACACTTTTGTCCTCTACAGTGAAACCCTGCTCTTTATAAAGCACTGGTGGTTCTACTAAATATAGCAACCCAATAGGAAATCGAGAGATGAGATCACTGTCTGTAAAGGGAGAAGGTGATTGGACTCGGCCGGGTTTTCCACATTCAGAGGAGGGTCATGGACCACGAGGATCCAGCCGACCCGGGTTCAGCCCAAATCTGACTACATGAGGGATTATATTTGGTAACATCTCTGTAATGAACTAATAGGTTTGACCAATTATCAGAAAAAAATGATTTACATCGTAAATCACTGCATTTAACTCTTAATGTTCAAATGTATAAGCCTTACTTTCTGTATGGCTGTGATTTATTTGCTTATGTTTGATTCTGATATGTTTTCTCTTATGTATGATTTTATACATACAAATACGTTTTAATCTATCTTGATGATGACATGCCGATTTAAAAAGTTTCCTCTACTGGATAAAGCCTTTTTATCCACACATTTACAAGTTATTATTGTTCAATTAAAGTAAACAGAATAAAAATAATAATTTAAAAATACTTCCTAGACTCTTTTAGAAGTTCATCTAAAATAAGATATAAAAACGTACTTCTTAAAAATAAATAGTATTTATGCCAATATCCTGCACATTATCAGTTTACAGCTTACTTTAATTAATCTAAAAAAAACTGAGGGTGGCTTTGAAAGCCGAGGGTTAAGGACATGCTTGAACGTATGTGGATGTTATCGTGCAACCATTCGACACAACTGCTATTAAATTTGTGCTTCAGATGTGATCTTGCCTTGACTTGCCTTTAATGTGTTGTGGAGTTAAGTTCTTAGTTTATGTGGATGTTACAGCTTTTGAGATTTTGAGTCTCAATCAGTTTTAGAAGCAGTGTTTTTTTAAAGTACATTTGCCACCAGAACATAACAGAAAATACGATGCGCGAAAAAAGAAACTATATTGTAAAAAAATATATATTCAATGACTAACACAAAAGCGTTATGGTTTATTTAATTGTTACAACAAATTATGTTGTATATTTCACATATTAACATGAGTTTTTTACCTAACGATAATTTAATCAGTTCAATATAGATTTATCTCTTTTTTTGTGACGTACGAAACCGTCGCGCTCAGTAATTTCTGCTTCAAATAAACCAAAGTACACTACGTTAACAGTGTTCTACGCAGGTCCACGTAGTTCACGTTATTTACAGGGAGGGGGCAGTGGCGTCGGCAAACTGAGCAGTGCCTATCATCCAGCCTCTGCTAAATCACCGCTCTCCCCAAGGAAACAAAACAATATAGAATTGGCTTGAAGGCGTGCAACAAGCATTAGACCCTCTTTCGACACGACGACGCGTAAGTATCTCAGTGTTAATTTGTTCACGTCGAAAGGCAACGCTTTGAATAACCTGTGATTTCTGAAAGCTGAACTGCGGTGCTGTATGTGCGAGAGTATTTCCCTCTTTTGTTTAGCGGTTAAGGCCCCTGTGTTTGGAACTTGAAGGGGGGCCATGTTGTTTTAGCCAGTCAATGTTTGCTTCATGTTTTAGCTCATATCAACACCAAGTTGGAGACGAGCGCATGCTAACATGCCACGCGTTTACATTGTTTTATGGGCATTATTTGGTCTCCAAGCATATAACAAAGCCCCGCTTTAGGTTCGATACTTGAGAGTTATAAGTGCAGTAAAAATGCAATAGTTTGTGCTAATCTTGATGCTTTAATAAACAGTGGGCCCTCTGCGGTTAGCATTAGCTACCAGGCTAATGATGGTGCTAACGCTTACTTAAGCCAAGGAGCAGTTACTAACATGAGAAGTTCGATTTTTTTATTATCTGAAGACAATGGAAATATCGTCAGGAATACGTTTTATTACAAAAAAGAAAATCTCGATACCAATGATATACATTAGTTGTGTAGATTACAAATAAATGCCGCAAAATTAGCTCCCAAATTAGCAAGGGAGTTAGCGGTTGGGGAAGCTTAGCCGGTTAGCTGAAAAAAATGCATGTCGGTCTATTACAACGACCAATAAAGTTGGCTGTAATATTATGTTACACTGTGCAATTTGATGAAACGTAAATCACTGAGGGTGCCTAAATGTCGGTAACCGAATCAATTCCATTAGTCAAAAGCCATTAGCTTCCGCAGCTAACGTCAACGCTAACCCCTCGCTTTTTGCGGCTGATGTCGTTGACAGCCACTTGTTTTTGTTGTTGCTTTGTTCCTTTGTAAATGTTCAAACTACCACGATGAAGCCAGAATGTATTGTTTAAAACTAAGTGCTGCGCATGAGTATGATTGGCTCGTTCATACCGCAGCATAATGTGTAATTTGGGCAAGTAACACGACAATCGGTCATGTCCCAACGAAGTTTAGGTCAATATCCACTTCAAACTTTATCAGTGGCTAACGAGAGGTTCCTTAGCAGGTAAAAATACATATAAATTAAAGGATAATATTTAGCCTAATAATTCTGTAAGGGCATGGTACACAAAGCACCCTATCAGGGTGGCAAAAACTCATGCTGTTGCCAAAGTCAAACATGTGCAAATAGTTTAAATACGAAACATTGAAATTAGGTATTAGTAGTCACAAAGCAACCCCTATTTCCCAAAAAGGCTTCCACAAATTATCGTTTGGCAACTGGTCACAATTGTTTTTATAATCAATAAAACACATTTATTTGATTTGGTTCCAGAATTGAGAAACAAGATGGACGCCTTTGTTGTGAAAAACTGAACATCTCAATACCTCCATTTTACAATACAAAATGAGGAACTGGAACTGTTTTGCTTCCTTGGCCGCGGCACAGTGTCCTTTAGACAAAGTTGCTAACACTGTAAAAATCAGTCTTTTGTCAAATCGTCGGTCACATTGTATAAAGTCAGAGTGGATCATGTGATCCACCAAGAACACACACTTTCACAGTGCATTTCACACACAGCCAGCCGATACAACAACAACAAAATCTCTGTTCTCAGTCAACAGTTCTGGGTCAGTCCTTGCTCAGGGTGTATCCAAACCCATGCGGCAGTGACCTCGCCACTGCCAGGCATGTCCAGACACGGGTCCCGTGGTGCAACGTCTGCCTCTCCCGGGTGGTTCTCCTCCACGCACCGTGGACACATCACATCAAAACACAACACTTGAGACAACCCCCTGGCGGCGTGGGTCGCTTCTGCAGGGCCGCACGTGTCGCGCTTTCGAACACTTCCCAGATCCCCTCCTTGGTTTTGGCCGAACACTCCAAATAGTCATAAGCGCCAATGCGCGTGGCCATGGCGCGGCCGTCCTCTGCCTTCACCGGCTCCAGCTTCAGCCGGGACAGTTCGTTCTTTACGCCCTCGTCGTTGCGCAGATCCTTCTTGTTGGCCACTAGTATGATGGGCACGTTGGGACAAAAGTGTTTGACCTCGGGCACCCACTTTTCCGGAATGTTTTCCAGGGAATCCGGGCTGTCCACGGAGAAGCACATGAGGATCACATCTGTGTCCGGGTAGGAGAGAGGGCGAAGGCGGTCGTAGTCCTCCTGTCCGGCCGTGTCCCATAGGGCCAACTGGACCTGTTTGTTTTCCACCTCTATGTCCGCAACGTAGGTCTCAAACACTGTCGGGACATAGACTTCTGGAAACTCGTCCTTGCTGAAAACGATCAGGAGACACGTCTTACCGCATGCTCCGTCCCCGACCACCACAAGTTTTTTGCGTATGTCTGCCATCCTCGTCCCTTCGTTACGTAGCTCTGTCTCAACGTCGCATCCAAATCTCAGAGAACTCTCGCCTTTGTCGTGTATATATATATATATATATAGAAGTGTGGGTGTGTGTGTCTTCTAATAAACACTGGGCTGGTTCATCCCGTCAGACGACGTGGTTTCTCACACACTTTTGTCCTCTACAGTGAAACCCTGCTCTTTATAAAGCACTGGTGGTTCTACTAAATATAGCAACCCAATAGGAAATCGAGAGATGAGATCACTGTCTGTAAAGGGAGAAGGTGATTGGACTCGGCCGGGTTTTCCACATTCAGAGGAGGGTCATGGACCACGAGGATCCAGCCGACCCGGGTTCAGCCCAAATCTGACTACATGAGGGATTATATTTGGTAACATCTCTGTAATGAACTAATAGGTTTGACCAATTATCAGAAAAAAATGATTTACATCGTAAATCACTGCATTTAACTCTTAATGTTCAAATGTATAAGCCTTACTTTCTGTATGGCTGTGATTTATTTGCTTATGTTTGATTCTGATATGTTTTCTCTTATGTATGATTTTATACATACAAATACGTTTTAATCTATCTTGATGATGACATGCCGATTTAAAAAGTTTCCTCTACTGGATAAAGCCTTTTTATCCACACATTTACAAGTTATTATTGTTCAATTAAAGTAAACAGAATAAAAATAATAATTTAAAAATACTTCCTAGACTCTTTTAGAAGTTCATCTAAAATAAGATATAAAAACGTACTTCTTAAAAATAAATAGTATTTATGCCAATATCCTGCACATTATCAGTTTACAGCTTACTTTAATTAATCTAAAAAAAACTGAGGGTGGCTTTGAAAGCCGAGGGTTAAGGACATGCTTGAACGTATGTGGATGTTATCGTGCAACCATTCGACACAACTGCTATTAAATTTGTGCTTCAGATGTGATCTTGCCTTGACTTGCCTTTAATGTGTTGTGGAGTTAAGTTCTTAGTTTATGTGGATGTTACAGCTTTTGAGATTTTGAGTCTCAATCAGTTTTAGAAGCAGTGTTTTTTTAAAGTACATTTGCCACCAGAACATAACAGAAAATACGATGCGCGAAAAAAGAAACTATATTGTAAAAAAATATATATTCAATGACTAACACAAAAGCGTTATGGTTTATTTAATTGTTACAACAAATTATGTTGTATATTTCACATATTAACATGAGTTTTTTACCTAACGATAATTTAATCAGTTCAATATAGATTTATCTCTTTTTTTGTGACGTACGAAACCGTCGCGCTCAGTAATTTCTGCTTCAAATAAACCAAAGTACACTACGTTAACAGTGTTCTACGCAGGTCCACGTAGTTCACGTTATTTACAGGGAGGGGGCAGTGGCGTCGGCAAACTGAGCAGTGCCTATCATCCAGCCTCTGCTAAATCACCGCTCTCCCCAAGGAAACAAAACAATATAGAATTGGCTTGAAGGCGTGCAACAAGCATTAGACCCTCTTTCGACACGACGACGCGTAAGTATCTCAGTGTTAATTTGTTCACGTCGAAAGGCAACGCTTTGAATAACCTGTGATTTCTGAAAGCTGAACTGCGGTGCTGTATGTGCGAGAGTATTTCCCTCTTTTGTTTAGCGGTTAAGGCCCCTGTGTTTGGAACTTGAAGGGGGGCCATGTTGTTTTAGCCAGTCAATGTTTGCTTCATGTTTTAGCTCATATCAACACCAAGTTGGAGACGAGCGCATGCTAACATGCCACGCGTTTACATTGTTTTATGGGCATTATTTGGTCTCCAAGCATATAACAAAGCCCCGCTTTAGGTTCGATACTTGAGAGTTATAAGTGCAGTAAAAATGCAATAGTTTGTGCTAATCTTGATGCTTTAATAAACAGTGGGCCCTCTGCGGTTAGCATTAGCTACCAGGCTAATGATGGTGCTAACGCTTACTTAAGCCAAGGAGCAGTTACTAACATGAGAAGTTCGATTTTTTTATTATCTGAAGACAATGGAAATATCGTCAGGAATACGTTTTATTACAAAAAAGAAAATCTCGATACCAATGATATACATTAGTTGTGTAGATTACAAATAAATGCCGCAAAATTAGCTCCCAAATTAGCAAGGGAGTTAGCGGTTGGGGAAGCTTAGCCGGTTAGCTGAAAAAAATGCATGTCGGTCTATTACAACGACCAATAAAGTTGGCTGTAATATTATGTTACACTGTGCAATTTGATGAAACGTAAATCACTGAGGGTGCCTAAATGTCGGTAACCGAATCAATTCCATTAGTCAAAAGCCATTAGCTTCCGCAGCTAACGTCAACGCTAACCCCTCGCTTTTTGCGGCTGATGTCGTTGACAGCCACTTGTTTTTGTTGTTGCTTTGTTCCTTTGTAAATGTTCAAACTACCACGATGAAGCCAGAATGTATTGTTTAAAACTAAGTGCTGCGCATGAGTATGATTGGCTCGTTCATACCGCAGCATAATGTGTAATTTGGGCAAGTAACACGACAATCGGTCATGTCCCAACGAAGTTTAGGTCAATATCCACTTCAAACTTTATCAGTGGCTAACGAGAGGTTCCTTAGCAGGTAAAAATACATATAAATTAAAGGATAATATTTAGCCTAATAATTCTGTAAGGGCATGGTACACAAAGCACCCTATCAGGGTGGCAAAAACTCATGCTGTTGCCAAAGTCAAACATGTGCAAATAGTTTAAATACGAAACATTGAAATTAGGTATTAGTAGTCACAAAGCAACCCCTATTTCCCAAAAAGGCTTCCACAAATTATCGTTTGGCAACTGGTCACAATTGTTTTTATAATCAATAAAACACATTTATTTGATTTGGTTCCAGAATTGAGAAACAAGATGGACGCCTTTGTACTAGCTTGTTGGATAAACCCCAGCAACCAAGAATCTTTGCTATTAATTTTTTCATGGTGTGGATGTTTATAATCCGCGTTTACTTCTAAGTCCCGAACAGTAAAATAAAACGGGTTTTGTTGGCTGAAGTGAGAATAATCATAGTGAATGTGCAAGTATTTTGTTTTCTTCATCAGCTGAGTTTTATTCTTATTAAAAGCTTGGATTGTGAACCTGAGACGAGCAAATGGTGAAATATTCCATAAGTGGATGAGATTGGCTGTTTGACCATGAAGAGAGTGGTTGTATACAGAACTGAATATAGAAGATGTTGAAGATGTTCCCAACAGAACTGGCCCAGAGACAAGAATATAGAAGATGTTGAAGATGTTCCCTGTCACTTTAAGACTCTAAACACATTTTTCTGATAATTTGACAGCAGTTTTCTATGTTCAACTGAAAAAGGAATGCTGAAGGTTTTAAATTGCCGGATAGAGAACTGATGCAACCTTGAAGGGAGCATTTCAATCATAACTCTGCTAAAGTGGGAAATTGCACATTAAAATAAGCACAACCGTAGTGCACTGTGAGGTGTTTTAATTAACAAATGACATTTTTGCATTACAATTGTACAGTTTACTTAATCAACAGGTATAATTTTGTTACCCCATGGCTCTATTTATACTAGTTGATCTATAAGTCTGTATATTTATTAAACAGAAGGGAAATTGTATTCAATTTTTTTAGGCTTTTCCGTGGAATGAGCATTCCATGCAGCATCCTAGGTATGAATGACGTGGCCTGGCAGGAGACGAGAGGTGGGATGCTGCATGCAAATGGTGCTCCTGAGACTGGTGGTGTGAGAGTACATGGTGGCGGTCCCCTAGCTTCGGTCGCGGTAGCTGGACCAGCTCCAGGTGTTCAACATTTACCAGGGATGGACAGGGTTCCCAACCCCAACCCTGGTACTCCACAGCCTCTGCTGAGTGGAAGATCGCAAGACGATGCCACGGTTGGATATTTCTTTCAGCGGCAACCTGGGGAACAGCTTGGTGGTTGTGCTCCAAGTAAGCATCGGTGGCCAACTGGAGATGCTAATCATGTTGACCAGGTGAGAAAGATCTATCTTTAAGACTTAATACTTTATAAGCCACAAATTCAATGGTCACCAAGTGCACTGTGCTGCAAATGTATCTTTCCTATGCCCCAAGATATACTTGTAGTGTGTTCAAGGTTATATTATTTTAATAGTATAATTGGTTTGGTAAATCCAATTCAAATCCAAAAAGTGCTTTTGTTTAAAACTTTTTTTTTGTATGTTGCAAGGGTCGAACAGTGGATGAAATGAACTATGACTTTCAAGCTCTTGCTTTGGAGTCCAGGGGGATTGGAGAGGTAAGATGTATTGATGTTCTCACCTTATCTGTTGTTTTTAGTTTAAAACATTATTTGCACATTATGGCAAAAACTAGAACAAGTACCGCACTGGTTTATTTCTTAATGTTGGACCCAGTTAATCAATGGAAATGCATGTGGTGAGACCTATGATTTTCCTGCTTAAGCAGAGAATGAAGTTAAATCTGACTGTTTTTAAGTTGAGTAAAAAAAGTGACTTTGTTTAAGCTTTTATGTCAATTATTGTTGGCCCATTGCTAGTTTACACAGTTTTATTTTACTACATGTATTGTTTAATATCATTTAAATGTCTACGTTGTGTTGTAAATTCAGATATTCAAAAACATTTTAAATGCAGATTCAATAAATATAAAAAGTTGTCTCCTGGAAGGGTGAAAATAAATCAAAATCTACAAGGACAAAAAGTGCTTTTGTTTAAAACTTTTTTTTTTTTGTATGTTGCAAGGGTCGAACAGTGGATGAAATGAACTATGACTTTCAAGCTCTTGCTTTGGAGTCCAGGGGGATTGGAGAGGTAAGATGTATTGATGTTCTCACCTTATCTGTTGTTTTTAGTTTAAAACATTATTTGCACATTATGGCAAAAACTAGAACAAGTACCGCACTGGTTTATTTCTTAATTTTGGACCCAGTTAATCAATGGAAATGCATGTGGTGATTTTCCTGCTTAAGCAGAGAATGAATAAATATGGTTTGTGGATTATTTTTGATTGAAAACAGCAAGAGTGTAGAAACCATTTTCCATATTTCTTTTGGTGGTAGAGCACATAGGATCGTGTGAATATGTACAATAAAGAAGGCTGTGGGAAATTACAGTAAGCTAATGGTTAGACTTAAAGTTGCCAAAATAAATCAACATTTTGTCATACCTGTATATTTCTCTAGCTGTTGCCTGCAAAAAAGCTTTGGGAATCAGATGAACTTGCCAAAGATGGAAGGAAAGGTATGCTGCTTGGAGAAGAGTGGAGGGACAACGCCTGGGGAACATCTCGTAAGGAAACTCTATACTTTGAGATAAATCATTTTTCCAATATATAAAACTGTCCTGAGCCTGCATCAGTTAATAATCACAGCAACCACTCAGTTTTAATTCCAATCTTTCATTCAGATCATTCAGTGTCTCAGCCAATCATGGTGCAGCGGCGACCAGGCCAGAGTTTTCATGGGAATGGGGATGCCAATTCAGTGCTTTCACCTCGGTCTGAAGGTGGAGGCCTGGGTGTGAGCATGGTGGAGTACGTCCTGAGCTCCTCTCCTGGTGACAAGATGGATGGTCGCTACAGGAACGGGGGCTTTGTAAGTCGACAAGCTTAGTGGACAAGGTTTACCTAAACCTCAAAGAGCATTCCTATCTTTAATACCGTCTTTATATGAAAACAGGGCGGGGGAGACGCTGAGCAAGATGGGAGAGAGAAAGGGGAGGTTCAAGATAAGATCTCACCTTTTGAAGAGGATAAGGGCCCAGAGATGAATGTTGTTGATGACTGTGATCCAGCGAAGGCCAATGGAAGATGTCTACTCAATGGCATGGACAGAGACTCAAAGGACTTCAAGTAGGTTTATAAAATTATCACATAATTTCCCCCTCATTTACATTGGTAAATTGAATGTGTTAAGGTAAATCATAATTACAATTACTAATTTTAAACCTCACTCAACTTCCAGTCCAACCCCTGGAAGCCGTCAAGCTTCACCCACAGAAGCAGTAGAGAGGATGGGGCCGAGTCACACAGGCTTGGAGATGATGGGACAGCACCACCCTCACCCACTCCAACAGCAAAACCCCGTCCAAAACAAGTCCCCAGCCGAAGATTTCCAGAACCAGGAGGCCCAGAACATGGGAGGCATGGAGCAGCAAGCAGGTGTGGAGTCCCTCCAGTTTGACTACGCTGGGAACCAGATCCAGGTCGACTCCTCAGGGACTCCAATGGGGTTGTTTGACTACAACTCTCAGCAGCAGGTTTGATGAAATGCCAGGTTAACTTGTTTAAGATTCCAAGGGAGTCTGTGATCCTTTTTAATGTTTGCTCTTGTTCCAGTTGTTCCAGAGATCCAATCAACTGACTGTTCAACAGCTCACTGCTGCTCAACAGCAGCAGTACGCTTTAGCTGCAGCTCAGCAGCAGCATCTAGGTAAGTTAGAGACACTGTTACTGTGTGTCATCATTGTTTACTGCATACAGTATGTCAGATCTCTGCGTGTCTGGATTTGAAAGCAAATGTATAATTATGGATTTCTTCACATTTCCCAGCTGGCCTTGCTCCTGCCTTCATGCCAAACCCATACATCATTAATGCTGGGCCCCCTGGGACCGATCCCTACACTGCTGCTGGGCTGGCAGCCGCTGCCACACTTGCAGGTATTCAAAGCTTCAGATCAAATCCTTTAAATATAAACTGTTCAACTTTATTTGTTTCAATGGATGATACAATATTATGGGGCTGTTTTAAATATATACATATATGTATTTTATAGGTCCGACAGTTGTTCCACCTCAGTACTATGGTGTCCCTTGGGGTGTGTATCCTGCTAACCTTTTCCAGCAACAGGCTGCATCTACTGCCAATCATTCAAATCAGCAAGCATCCAATCAGGGACCAGGTCCAGGCCAACAACAGGTACATATTGTTGAGATTGCTTTGGTTTAAGTGTTATTGCAATGAGCGGTTCTTTAGCCATTCTAATTAGATTGAACAAAACCTACCACAAGAGCAGAGCAAACATGTGCATTTGAAATGGTCAATTTTGAACTTTTCCAGTGGTTCTCAAACTTAAGATTTTTCAAAATTTCCATGGAAGTTATGTAGCATATAAATGTTAGAATTACAAATAAATTATTTCTCTATTGTTTTAAATAAATTTGATTTGCTGCAAAGCTCCCTCCCTCCCTCCCCAATTCTTGTGAACCTCTGACCTAAACCTCAGATGTGACAAACCTGTCATGTCATTTGTGACTTTTGACACAAAATCTTTTACTTTTTTTTTTGTAACTATCAATTGTTTTTTGGGGGGGGGCATTTTAGAGACAGCAGCTAGCTTAGACATGTACGGAGTGAGGGCTGTTTCCTGGGGAGTTGAACATTTGATTAAATAAAAAAAAAATTGAAATTCCCTTTTTTTTAGAGCCAAGTTTTCTTAGACTTTAATTACATATTATGTTTAATCTTTTAATGGCGTAGCTAAGAAGCCTATGCATTTGACGGCATTATAACCTCTTCCCCCTCAGGTGATGCGCACAGGAAGCAACCAGCGACCTCTTACACCAGGGCAAAGCCAACAGAGTCAGCAGGAGTCTTTGGCTGCTGCTGCCGCTGCTAATCCTGCTTTGGCGTACGCAGGAATGTCAGGTTCGTAGACAGCCTTGCTGTGGTCTTTCTCATTGACATCTGAACACGCTCCCTATGTTGATGGCTTTGTCCTGTGCAAAGTGTAATGGAAAATGTTTAGCCATCAAATTGGACAAACATTTCACATTGTCGATGTTTCCTCTTGGTATGATCACATTTGTGTTTCTATTATTTAATCTTTCTATTTGTTATACTCATACTTGTATGTTTTGTGCTCTCATACTCTCAGGGTACCAGGTTTTGGCTCCTGCTGCGTACTATGACCAGAATGGGACTTTGGTGATGGGCCCGGGTGCCCGTACAGGGTTGAGTGGTCCAGTTCGTTTAGTCCAGACCCCTCTCCTCATCAACCCTGCTGCAGCACAGGCTGGTATGTGCTGGCCTACATATTGACTTCCTTTTACTTTTTTGTTTCACAATGTTTTTTTTAACATCACAACAGGTATACTGACTAAGGTTAACAGTGTTACCTGTTAACCTCCTGGTCAAGGAACCTAAAAGAATTCAGATTTTAGTTTTAATACAGGTTTTACGAAGTCTCAGCCCCAGCCACTTTTTCTTTTCCTGTCCTTTGTGCTCTGGAACATTTTGACTATCTCTCCTCGTCCACCAGCAGCTGCAGTGTCTGCATCTGGCTCTGGCAACAACATGTCTGGTCCTCCAGCCAATGGGCTGTATCGCTCCATGCCTCAACCACAGCCACAGCAACAGCAGCAGGCTCCCCCACCCAGCAGCGGCCTGCCGTCCAGCTCATTCTACGGCTCTGGATCAGTGCCCAACACTTCTCAGAGCAGTTCCCTTTTCTCACACACCTCTGCTGCACCGCCGCCACCAAGCTCCTCCCTGGGCTTCAGCAATACCGGCGGCTCCCTCGGTGTTGGTCTGGGTTCTGCTCTTGGTGCTTTTGGTTCCTCCGGTCAGTGACTCATCCCTCACCTACAATTATTTACCTTTAGAGTTTTTTGTGTTAGGTTCTCAGTCATCCAGATCACCTTATCCAAAGAATAGTTACATCGAGGGCAACTGGACGGAGAAGGCTTTTTTTTAAAGACGTTTCACCTCATCTGAGTGGCTTTAGGCTTTTTCCTTTAGAGTCTGTCCATACTTTAATGCTGATCTTTTATCCCCTACAGTGTCCAGCTCTAATAGTAGCAGCGTATCTCGCCGGGACTCCCTGTTGGCCAACTCTGACCCGTACAAACGAGGTGGCAGTGCCCTAACTCCCATTGGTCAGCCTTTTTACAACAGCCTGGGTTACTCCTCTTCACCCAGTCCCATTGGCCTTACCCCAGGCCACTCCCCGCTGACTCCTCCCCCTTCTTTGCCCTCCTCTCATGGATCCACCTCAAGCCTTCACCTAGGTTAGAGAAATGATGTGGATTTAACAGGTCAATAAATGCACTGTATAGTTTTATACTCAACTTGACTCTTTACCTTTAGGTGGCCTGACAAATGGCAGTGGGCGCTACATTTCGGCAGCACCTGGAGCTGAAGCCAAGTACCGGAGCGCCGGTGGTACCTCCAGTCTGTTTAATTCCAGCAGCCAGCTGTTTCCGCCATCTCGACCTCGCTACAGTCGTTCCGATGTCATGCCGTCCGGTCGCAGTCGCCTTTTAGAAGACTTCAGAAACAACCGCTTCCCTAACCTCCAGCTGCGTGACCTTCCAGGACACATGGTGGAGTTTTCTCAAGACCAACACGGATCGAGGTGACTGACAAACAGCCCCGATGGTGTTAGTCGTTATTTTTTGTTTTTGGATTCCACTATTAACTCATTATTGTTGTTTAATTCTTAGATTCATCCAACAAAAGCTGGAGAGAGCCACCCCCGCTGAGAGGCAGATGGTTTTTGGAGAGATCTTACAGGCAGCTTACCAACTCATGACCGACGTATTTGGAAACTACGTCATTCAGAAGTTTTTTGAGGTCGGCACTAATAAATTGTATCTTACCGAACTACACAGCATTTATCTGAGTGCGATTCTGTGTTCTACCACATGTGTAAATGTTTCCTTTGTTTTGATAATTGCAGTTTGGAAGTGCGGACCAGAAACTGGCTTTGGCCACTCGTATCCGTGGACACGTTCTTCCCCTGGCTCTACAGATGTACGGTTGTAGGGTGATTCAGAAAGCCCTGGAGTCCATTTCCTCAGACCAGCAGGTAATTGTAAGTGAGACTTTTACTTCTCTGTACAAAAAATCCCAATTAATGTATATAACCAGCGGCTAACCTTATGTCTTTGCCCCCATTCTCTTCTGGTTTCACTTTTTAGAGTGACATTGTTCGTGAGCTGGATGGACACGTGTTGAAGTGCGTGAAGGACCAGAATGGGAACCACGTGGTCCAGAAGTGCATCGAGTGTGTCCAGCCTCAGGCCTTGCAGTTCATTATTGATGCTTTCCAGGGACAGGTGTGCTTCTTATTTAAACGACACACATGTTTGACCACTTTAACCTCAAGGTTTTTGTTAAAATTGGACAAGTTTTCAATCAGTGTATTATTTGCTGCACATTTAAATATGACAGAGTAAAATTGTTGACAAAGTCCAGGTAAAGACTGATTAAAGAAAATATTAGTTTATTACTGATTAGTTGATTGTAAAAAAAAAATCTTTTAATGTGAAGAAAATAAAACTGGCTGTAAAGGTTTCCATGCTGTCAGAAGGTTCTAAAAATGTTATTGACACAACTCTAGCAGGAAACCCTTCACCTTCAGTCCATGTCAGATTATTTTTAATTGTTTATCCTCTCCCGTCTTGTCCAGGTGTTTGTGCTCTCCACACACCCATACGGTTGCAGAGTGATCCAGAGGATTCTAGAGCACTGCACCCAGGAGCAGACCCTCCCCATCTTGGAGGAGCTGCATCAACACTCTGAACAGCTGGGCCAGGTGAGCACATGTGTCTCCATCCTGTCAGCTGTGTTCTGCATGTTGTGTTTGGACATCAAAAATATTTTTACTCTGCTTTCATCTTTTTGTTTTGTTTTTTTTTCCATATGTAGATGCTGTGTAAAGTGTAGGAGTGAATGTATCTGTGCTGTAGCTGTTTCATTTACATCTGACATGTGATTATTTAAACATCCACCCTGCCCCCCTTCACTTATTCCATCTAGAAATATCAAGGCGTTTCATTGGAGATGACACCCAAAACATATTATACAGTGTCCCGCGATGCACTGTTCAAGGTCAGAGCAATTTGCCTCTCTCGCGGATGTCCCTGTGCTCTCTTCCTGTTCTCCCCCTTTCTTTTTTTAATCTCTTCTTCTAACTGTTTGATTTAAAAAAAATAATAGTAATTCCTCCAAACTGTCAACTGCCTTCTAACCTCTGCTCTTTCTGTCTTTCCTCTCTGTTGCCTCATACCACAGAGACTTCACAATGCTTATGCTTATTTTTATTTGCCAGCATAATTCCCTGGTCAATCTGGGTTTTTTGGTTGTTTTTTCTTTTTGCAGTTAAATCCTCCTGGATTTAACTTAAATTGAAACAATTGGACTATACAAGTGGTGCACACATTGAATTAATTACATGTCCAAAAAATATAAAGTAACGCTAGTTGGTCTCAATAAAACGGATTGACAGGAAATGAATTTGAAGGCAAATGCTTCTCAGCTGAACCTGGAGATCATGTTACCTATCCAACAAATCGCTGCTTCGACTTGCCTAACCTAAAACCACACCCCTAACTGTCTATCACCCATTTCTGAAGGGGCAAAGATGCTGCCGGTTGTGTTCTGAGCTGTTTGGTCAATAATGCATCAAACCGGCAGCATCTGTTTTGTCTGACCTTCCGCAGTGATGACGTAAGGGTTTTGTACAAGACTACAAATGGGGGTGTCACTCAGTCGTCCACCTATCATTGTAGAGCTGCATGATCATTTAATGTTTTTTGGAATCTCACACCAATCAAGACCAACAGCGAATCCTAGTGCATGAGAATGAATCAAAGCATCAGAGAATCTCACACACACACACACGACTGTTTCCACTGAGCTCACCCCTTCACTGCCTCCTGCAGGATCAGTACGGTAACTACGTCATTCAGCATGTTCTGGAGCATGGCAGACCTGAAGACAAGACCAAGATAGTAGCAGAGGTCCGTGGAAAAGTTCTCATCCTGAGCCAACACAAGTTTGCAAGGTGAGGGGTTATGGTTTTGTTTTGTGCACTGTACTTGTTTGTGGGTTGTTGTTTTTTTTAAACTTTGTTTCTAACCTAATTAATAAGAAATCAAGAAACATTAAGAACAACCCAAAATGATCTTTTCTACAAGTAGAGATATTGCTGTTTTCCTTTATTTTTAAACAATACCTCACGGAATAGAACGAATGCCTTACGGTGTTTTGATTTCATGAACCAGTGTGAGGCAGGTGCAATAAAAATATTGACTTGTTTACAATAACAACCTCTCCCTTTCTTTAAAATCTCAGCAATGTCGTGGAGAAGTGTGTCATCCACTCTTCCCGCTCTGAGAGAGCTCTTCTGATCGATGAAGTGTGCTGCCAGAAGGATGGGCCTCACAGCGCCCTGTACACCATGATGAAGGACCAGTATGCCAACTATGTTGTCCAAAGAATGATTGACATGGCAGAACCAGCTCAGCGCAAAATAATTATGCACAAGGTGAGTCTGTGGAAAAACCTGTTTAAAAGTAACCTTTGTTTTTATCTGCTTCATGATTTTGCTTTTTGTGCTACTGTGGTAAAACAATAATAGAACTCTTGTTGACTGAGCAGTGACACACCAAAATACATTAAATATAACATGAAAGTACAAGATGATTGATGTCTTCAAGGAGTTTTTTATCTGTTGTGTATTTGTGGTAAATAAATATTGCCATAGTGCATTCAAGATTGTTGTGAGAGTTTTGTTTTTATAATATTGATTTTAATCTTTTGTCGTCCTATTTAGATCCGGCCTCATATTGCCACTCTGCGCAAGTACACATACGGAAAACACATCCTGGCCAAGCTAGAGAAATATTACATGAAGAGTGGATCCGAACTGGGTCCCATTGGTGGCCCCACAAATGGCCTCATGTAGCCTGGTCCCCCGACGAAGACGAGTAGGATTCCAAACCTGCCCTTGTTCTGTGAGAGATGAGCTTCTTAGCCATACGGCCTTTGATGACCTCTGACCTTTTTTTTCTGTGGTGGGGGTTGGTGGTTACCAAAAATTAATAACACACGAGTCTTCACATGAGTACGCTGTGACAATTTAACCCTGCCACTCTGACACCCCTGGTGCAGGTCCTCAGCGAGGGATAGACAAAGTCAACAGGCTGTGATATAACAAATTTTTCTTTCTTTTTTTTTTTCTGGGTAAAGCACAAGCCCATGTTAATGATGTAATTGATGTATTTGAACAATTGTCATAATATGTACATTTAATTTTTTTTTACTTGTAAATTCTCTGTAGAAAAAGAAATTTATTACACATTTGCTGAAAATTTACAATTCTTATTCTTAACACCAGCAAGTGACTTTATAAGGGTACACGAAGAAGAAAAGGTCAGTTTTGGTTTTGTAACCTGCCCTTTGTCAACTGTTCAAATTAAATCCGGAATATTTGTATATGACCCCATGCACAGTACGTGTGCTTCCAATGCCAAAGCAGCTGTTGGATTAGAGTAGTTTTCACTAGCACGCCATCGTAGGGACAGACAGGAACTTTTCCATCCACTTTGTGCCACAGACGTCGAGGTCGTCAGGACCAGTTTGCGAGCTTGGCTTCAGGGATCGGTGTTCTAGTCCAGGGTAGTGCGTTTGTTTTCCAAGGAACAGTTGTTTTAATTCTTGCCTTCTTTTCCAGCTAAGAGGTGGTGTATGTTCACCCCCTCCCACTCCCCCCACACACTCTCAGCCGAGCAGCTCGTAATCTGCTTGTAGTTTTGGTACTAAACATCACAGCCTATCAGATTTCGTGACACCGCGTCCACCGAGCCCCCTTTTTTTTTAATTGTTGCATTCCTAATCGCTCAAGATTGAGGTTTGATACAAGATGACAAAACCAACCATTGGAACGTAGAAACACGGAAGCAGAGCACCAGGGTTGGTTGTACAGTGGATGTGCGAATCTGCTAGAAGCCTGACATGAATTGACAGCAGTTGGGGAGCTGCTTGTGTCTTTTGTTTTCCTGGGGGGTGGGCCTTTGGTATGCATTGGCATGCTGTGACAAACGTTTTAATCCTGGCAATGAATTTCTTTCTAATCTTGTTTTGTGTAACATCTAATCCGTCTGGTAGTTTTTTGAGATGAACACTGCCCTGGAGAACAGTAACTTTACGTACTGAATAATCATCTCTCGCTTAGTTGTCGTAGTAGTTGTAGTTGTCGTAGTAGCTGCAGTAGTTTAACGATGTATAGCATCTTTATGTATGAGTAACTTTGTTGCTTTTGGGGTTGGGGGACCTTGCACCTTTGATGGAAACCCCCCCTCACCGCCTGAAGGTTGGAGTAGTCAGGTGAGGGCGAGAAGTGGTGAAGTCAAGCTTGTCTCAGATCTGTACATCTGAGGTGAAGTGAACCAGGGATGTCAGATTATTATTTTAAACCGGTCTGATGTTGTTGTTTTGTTTCTTTTTTAAATAATTTACATTTGGTTGGGTATGCAAGTCCATTGGTGGAGGCTGGTGGGGGAGGGGCATCAAACGCTAAACACTTCACCTGTAATGCTCGTAGTGATGGCTTCTTTGCTTCATATATGAATAATTGTAGAATACATGTAGTATATGTGCAGTTATTAAGTGTAAAATTATTAGTTTAACCGAGGAAAAAAAAGTCTAGATGTGGTGTTTTGTTTTTTTTTGTTTCTTTGACAGGCCTTGCTCTAAATTTGTAGTGATGCTTTTATTTCGTCTGTACAGTTGTACATTTGTAAACGTTTATGCTGTAAATGGGATGTCTTTTACACTTTTTTGGGGGGAAAAAAGGCAAATGTGCATTTTGATGTTTGTGTATATTCATCACTCCTTCCCCCCTGAATATAATGTATACAGTTTTATTTGATTCAATGTCATTTTTAAAGTAAGGAACCTCTATGGCTTCATAATCTGGCATGTTGTTTTTTGTTTTTAAATCTGTTAGGGGAAAGGCCAGCCTCTATTTGTACTGGAGCTGTAACATCCTCTGTTGATAGTCTTTCTGATTTGTGACAGTTTAAAAAAAAAAAAAAAAAAAAGAAACATTACTGTACTTAATCCAAGGCTGCATTTTAGTCCTCTGCTATCATGGAAAACTTCACAGGAGACGACAATAATTATTTTTGTACAGAACAGTGCTGTATTTTGAAACAGCTACTACCTTGTAAAAGCAAAAGCAGTGTAAATTATTGTCAATTATATAAATATGAACATATGAGTTTTTGTCACACTGTCAAAGTCATGTACATTTTCAGGTGGCCTTATGTACATTTCCAGATGTTAGATGAAGAAACAAGCTCATTTTTGGCAGCAGAATTGTGACTATGTATGATTAAACTGTTCTTCTAACATTCGACTTGTACTGTTGTAGTTTGTCTTGGCCAGGGGTCTCCAGCCTTTTTCCTCTGAGAGCTCCTTTGACAAAATAAAAATGACAGAGAGCTACTTATGTTGTGTAACATTTATTTCCATAGGTCATTTGGGAACAAACGGAACATTCACGCAGTGCAGTAGTGAACTTAGCTGCTTTAGATACACCATTTCTGAACAGTAACATTTTTAAAGGTTATTTTTTAAATGCAGTTTTCTATTTTCTATGTTGTGTAACATTTATTTTCATAGGTCATTTGGGAACAAACGGAACATTCACGCAGTGCAGTAGTGAACTTAGCTGCTTTAGATACACCATTTCTGAACAGTAACATTGCAGAGATATATTTTTTAAATGCAGTTTTCTATTTTCTGCAGAAAAGCGCCGTCTGCTGGTACAACCAACTCCTCTACAAGTGTTTGACAATCGTCATGGCAGAGATAAACGTAGCATTCATAATGTGCAGTAGAGAACTTAGCTTTAGTTTTATTTACACGGATACTAAACAGTAGCAAAATTATTAAAGATATAAACTTTTTTAAAATCAGTATTATCATTATTCACCATTGTTTTATTTGTATTTATAAGTGTAATTCCATTTACTTTTGTCAAAGTATCTATTTTATTCATCCATGTTCCACAAGGGCAGTTTAGCGTAGGGACACATTTTATGATGAAATCTTGTCAGGTAATACAACTTATTTATTAAATATACGACTTTATTTTTATTGACCTCCGAATTATTTGTCCATTTTCCATTCCGCAATGTGGTTCTACGTTTTAGTAGCAGTTACATCTTTACAATGAATCCACTGAAACCTGGCGGGCGGAGTTTGTGTGAGTGACGCACAGAGTCGAGGTCGGAAGAAAACACCTGCGGAGGTTTCTGCTGAGACGCAGGCACAGAGAGACCTGACTGGGGTTGGCTTTTGCTGGAAAATATGAGAATATTTCTGACTGTAACTCTGACTTTTATACTTCCACTCAGTGCAAAGGTGAGTTTAAATTTAAATTAACACGACAATGGCTTTACTGGAGGTTATATAAGCACCTTTCCCACTTCCTGGTGTAGAGTTACGGTGTAAAGGTGGCTTCGGTTTAGAAGCGTCAGGATGTATGTATCCTTAAAAGGGCTGTGGGTTGTTCTGAATTTTATTTAAATGTGTATAAAATTAATTGATATTGCCCTGAAGCCACTGTGATTTATTATACATGTACATTCCTTCATAAAGAAACCATCAAAGTGCACGTTTATTATCCACAGAGAGTTTTGACGGAATCATAATTAATATTTTTTTAAAAATATGTTTGAAATTATTATGTTAGCTCCAAGTACTTCCACACAAATATATTTGCAGACGGTTGATTGAAAATGATTCAGATTTTTTTTAAATTAAATAAACACAAATTGATAAATATAAAATAATTGTATTTAATATTATTATATTATTATTTATTATAGTCTTTACTGTCATTATAACTCAGGGATACAATGAAATTGAGCCTCTTCTTTTAACCCATCACATCTATGCTGCACCTGCTTTTATTGTTCTTTTTTTGTCGTTGACATAAAATGTGGAAATATTCTGGATGAATAGTTTATGAAAAAAACAAGGAAGAAGCGAGGTTGAGAAGTATGCAGCAGTGTTCAGAAAATTTGACAAAATGTGAATTGCAATTATTAAAAAGGTATTATTTAAAAATACACAATGTACTCTTCACTATTTGCCACATGGTTTTTGATAAATTACTACCACACACATGTACAAAAGAGAGAGAATACAGGAAATGGATAAAAGTGAAGTCACAACGAGATAGAATACAGGAAATGGATAAAAGTGAAGTGGTTAAAATGGGTCATTGGCAGTGAAATTTTCCAAACTGGAGCTCAATCACAACTTCATCTGTAACAGTGAATGGTTCACCAGGTTTGTTTTTTACAATGTCTGTCCTAAATGTTCCAGTCAGTAGGGGAAAACATAAAATCCGTTTGGGGTTTGAATTATTCAGGCCTAATGACTGTACTGGTGTTGTGGAGTACTGAAGCATAGGTTGTTTGGTAGCTATGGTGTTTGTGGCTATTGTACTGATAAAAATAGATGTTCTACCTGGAGAAACATGACAATAATTATGTCTGAGTCCAACCTTGTGTACAGGAAAGATTAAGATTTAGTACGATTTATTACCTGGTAAGGAAAGTTAGACAGCTTCTTTCACCTGCTGTCTCTCTCTCTACTTATTTCTTCATCAGTCTTTGGGCCTGGACCTGGAAGGATCAGGCTATGATCTTGTAAGTTCTGGGACTGGCTCAGGAGATTGGTCATTTACAGGTAATGACTTTAGGACATAGTCATGTATTATAATCTATTATTATTATTATTATCATTAAACAAAATAATAGTTTTTAGTTTTTAATTTCTTGGTCACATCTGTTCCTTCTTCATTATTTCTTGGTCACATCTGTTCCTTCTTCAGGGGAAGAAACACACACCATGGATGACTCAGACAGAAGAGATCAGATCAGAGAAGATTTACTGTGGAGTATCAAAGAATCAGATTATATCATTTTGTCAAACAGCAAGAACTTCTGGGAGAACGAGCAGATTGTTGCAGGTACAATTTTGACATTGCAGTTATTTATACTTTCACTTCTACTGCCATGAGTCTGTTTTACGGCAGAAACTCTTAACTGTATGAAGAACAGCACAAAAACCACAATTCAAAGGTTACCAAACCATAAAGGTCATTCTTCTGGCCCACCACTGACATTTTCCTTAAGACAATTCAAAGTTTTTCCTATCATTACCTTTAAAATATAGTTGTGTAGATTGAAGATTACAGTGTCATCTGCAAAGATCATGACCCCCCACACACAGTTTAACTCAGTAATTTATTTTCACAGCTGTTACTGCAGGTGGCGTAGTAGGTGTGGTACTGGCTGCAATGATCACTGGAGTGTTGATCTACATCTTTCATGGAAAAGAAGGTAGAGTTTATATTGAAGGCCGAGTGAAACGCAGGGAAATGTGTGTTTAAGTGTCATCTTTTAGGAAAACCTGTCAGGACAAAGTTGCTGTTTGTAGATGATGTTTACAAGTGTATATGTTTAATGATGATTCATTTATTAGCAGAATTAAATTTGATAAAATGTCAAGGTTTTACGTCATTATGATCTTTTAGTGGTTTACATTATTTTGATTAGTTGTATAGATTTTTGATTGTCCTTGGTTGGTATAACCGACAAACCTCTACTGCAAGAACAAACGATCAGGGTGCTGGACCACCAATGAAGGACAACACTAGAACATTCAGCTGCCACAGGCAACTGAATCAAAAATATATAATAATAATATTTTGCACACATACTTAGCACTTTAGAAACGAAATTATGTATGTTTTTAACTGTTCAAATCAAATAGACCACAGCCAAAAAAAAAGTGTAAATGTGTATTATTCTTATTTTTGTGGACCATATTTTAATATCACTGTGGGAAACGGAATCGGTGTATGTACTAAAAGAGTGAATTGTTATCAATATTTCACACAGTTGCTTAAGTTTCAGGGTTCGTGGTGTTAAACTGTCGCTACTTAGCGTTTTGTTTTTTTTCTGGGGCACTCGAATACAACACAGCTGTGAGGTAATGTTATACACGCTGTAATAAAGACATGTTGACATTCTTTGTCTCGCAAATCTGTCTAGTAATGGATACCAAGCATGTTTAACCCTGTGTGTTCTCTAGGCTGTGACCTAGAAATTTTAATCACATTTTTAGTTATTTTACATTATAGTTTAAATTAAATTTAAGCTGGAATCATTACATTATTGAATGTGTCCTGCAACATTGAACATGCTTGTAGTGTGTGCCATGAGATGTGATTGACTGTTTTGTGTGGCTGTTTAACTGTGAATAAAGAAATGCTTTATAATTCTTGTAGTATTTGTTGAATTTTTGCCAACATACTCTGTCTGCTGTTTGAGTTACAATTATTTGTATTAGGCTGAACTACAGTCGAAAGATTCAAAACGCAAAAATTATAGGAAATAACAGCTGAGAAATTGTCAGAAATGCTTTATGACAGGAAGAATATTTTATATATAGGTAATAATCTGTAAATAATCTCTGCGTCACAATTGGCCGACACCTTGATAGTCGACCCTTAGTCCCGCCTTTTCCTCTAACGTCAGAGCGTTTGTTTTCATCTCTGGTGTCGTGAGGTTGTTCGGGTGGACGTGCTGGTGGGCGTTTCTGCGTCTTGGTGTCCCTTCCTGCTGTTGCTGTAAGAGGCTTCTGTTTTTACCCTGCTTGCGACCAACTCATCTCTGATGTTTCTCCCTACGCTCGTGGAGGACATGCATCATTTTAAGCCTAGTCGAGAACGACTGTACACCACCAGATGTTGTGGATGTTGCCATGTCCGGACCGGGACCATCATCCTGGGAACCTGGTACATGGTACGTGAAATGGTCGATGACGACTAACATGCTAATTCGATGTAGCACGGTGTTAACTGCGTTTAAGTTTAATAAAAGTATGGTTTTAATGATTAGCGCGAATCTGACAGTGACGGCGATCTCACGACAATTTATTTTACAACACTAGGAAATTCCATGTTTGCTATGGTGTGACATTTGGACCATTTTGTTAAGGTTCAGTTGCCAAGTCTAACGGTCCGTGTTAGCATTAGAATTAGCTTGCTAACAGTTTTGCGTTGGCATATAGGCGGAAGCTTCATCGGTTGACCTTGTGCTTTGGAAACAAATTCCAGATAACGCCTTCTATTTTAAAGTTATATTTATAATGTTGTTTGTCAGTGCTGCAAAAGCATAGTTTTTGGGTTAGCTTTTGAATAACTCATTATTGGCTAGCCTCTCTTAGGCTAACGTGCTAACCTGATTGTGGCCGAATCATGATTGAATGCTCAGATAACAAGTCTTAAATGCTTTTCAATTAAGTACAACGGCGATATTAAATGTTTACTCTTCAAACGTGAGTTGGTTTCCTGGATTCCTGACCGCAGCAAGTGGAATATGCTGGAATTGTGTCATTCTTATTTAGAAAACGTCCATATTTCCTCTCTTTTCTTTACATGCAGTTTGAATGTTCTGGTCCATTAGAATGTTCTGGTCCATTAGAATACTCTTAAAACACTGCTGACATTAACTTTACTAAGTTAATGTCCCGTTTACATCAACACAACTGGTGAGAGAACCTGGAAAGCTGCAATTCTCATTAATATGTGACATTTCTGCATATTTTCTGCTGTATTTCATTAACATACCAGTAGTACCGAGGTATTAGCAGGACTTGTGCCTGGCACAATTTGATCCGGCTGCTCTCTAAACTCTCCCATGGATTAATCTGCTTCTCATTTCCCCACATCATGTAACAGATGTGGCTGGCTTTCCTTGGGGTTATATTAAATCCTGCTCTCTACTGTGCCATGAACCACAGTTGACTGCTTTCTCTACAAAATATACAATGGTTGACTCACACTAATCTTTTTTTTTTCTTCTCTGTGATCTAAAAAAAAACCCCAATAACCTCAAAAGCAGCAATAGAAATGAAAATGAATACATACTCTGAGTTTAAGATGAACCTATCTTGAGCCAACATATCATAATCCATACAAAATATGTTTGTATTCTTATCACAACCAGTGACGTCTTCTAATAACTAAGTTGACCCCTAACCTATACTACACTCCAAAAGAAAAACAACAAAATAAACTTTTCTTTGGAAAGTAAGCTGTCACCACCCAACAGTCAGGCCAACATATGAGCTCAGGTCAGTGCTGGGACAATAAACTTCCCCTGCTTCATATTGGTCAGGTTGTCGACATTTGCTTGTTTAATTCATGACTATTCAGTGACTAAACAGTGAGGATCTTAATGTCTGAGGAAGTATGTTTGTGTTTAAAAACGCTCAGTGCAACCCTATCAGTAAATCAGTCAGAGCCAATATATCAAACACTAATGCCTGTAGATAAAAAATTGTATTTCACAAATATTTACTATTTTTGTTACGTATTTTAGGTTTATCACACAAAATGTAATCATTAAGAGTGTAAATTTCCCCACTTGTACTAAAAGGACTTTATTATGATGTTATGGCAACATAAAAAATAAAATAGCCTGTGTGCACTGAAGTGGTTTTCCCCCTGCCCGTGCAGAGTGTGACTGGTATGCAGAATATCAACTCAAATAGCAGGCACTGAAACCTCACCAGTACTTTCCCACCAGCTGTTTTTTTATTCTCCAGTTTATCTTCCTTGAAGTTGTTACAGTGTATCCCATTAAAACCAAATGCTCTGTCCACAATGACCACATATTTTGTGTTTTTTTTTTCAACTCCCTTCCAAGTAACACAATCAATTGCAGTTGTTAAAGCACACACTATTAAAACAATGCAGAAAAAAATGAAAAAAGGCAGTGCTGTGGGAAGTTTTTTCTCCTGTTTTTGAAATGGATGATTTATATTCATTATAAAATACAATACATTCAATAAAAAAAACCTCCTCCATTCCACTCAGGTTGTCAACCTTTTGATGGGCATCCTGCTGACCGTTGCTGTGACCCACCCGGAGAACGTGCCCACCATTGATTTGCAGTATGAGGTCATCGATCATTACTTTGCCTCCAACAGGATGTCCGGTAAGCAGCGAAGACTGTCTGAGAAAAAACACCTCATTGGTGAAAGCTACCAACTTTAGTCTTAAGACATTAATACATGTAAATTCTCAATCACAAGAGGGTATTCTTAGTGCAATTATACATGTAAATCACAAGAGGGTATTCTTAGTGCAATGTACCGTTATTATGATAGAGAGAATAGAAATCATTTTTAAGCTAACAAATGTTAGCTTAAAAATGGCACTCATTATACTCTGCACTCTGGGGGCAAGAAATCAAAGTAAACACTTTTTTTTGCCTCTTTGTTTGAGTGTTTTCCAGCTGTGTTTCCTCCTCCGAGGCTCACATGTAGCTGCCTTTTATTAACTCCCCTACATTTCCTCTTTTATGCTCAACTTGAACATGTGACTCATCATCCATCCATGCTGAGCACAGCAACTCCCTGATGGCTGCTAAACAAAAGCAGTCAGGGTGACGACAGAACACCACTGTGGTGTTGTCATGCAGTTCTTTGTAATCAGTCTGATTCCCCTTTTTGTTTGTGTTGTTCATTGTCAACTATTTAATTGTGTGTTTGTCATTAATGGCTGAAAGTATTAAATGTAGCCCAGGGGAGTTTCTTTTGTTGGCCTGTGTGACGACCACTTCATTCCTCTGAAACAGAAATCAAGGAGCTTCAGTTTCATCATGCTTCACTCATTTATTTGTCACTAATTTCTCACTAATAATGTTTACAGATCCTTAACCGATAATACTGGTCTGGAGTTGGTTTTGCGTTATCCTGTTATCTAACACCAAACTGATTTTCTGCTGCTCTTTGTCTGGCTTGACTTTTAAAAGAACAGCTTTTTGCTCATGGCCTTTGGACTGTTGAGTCATTTGGGGGGTTTTTTTCCAGACACGTCAGGCCCTAAGATTCTGAGAATATTGATCTTCTGGCCTGTGACTTAAACGTTGTCATTTGAATCACTAAAAAATGTGTGTTACAAAAGCGACTGCAGTGTAGTGTAAACGAAATGTTGAATTCTTAGACCATTGAGTTGAATGTTGTGTAAAGACACTATTGTTTTGTGTATACGTCTTAACCTGTAGCCTAATTCAAGGTTTTGTCCATAGAAACACGTGATACATGTAGGAGACCAACACTAAAAACTAAATCAGGAGTTCTGCTGGTATCTTTTGTGTTGTATTACTTTGTGAAAGGGGAGAAAAAACTGTTCATTGATGACACATTCGTTATGTTTTCAGTAGATGAGATTTTTTCAACACTGAAACTAATGTTGTTCAACTCAGTCTCTGAATTTAAACCACACTAATGAAACTCCTGTCTCAGTCAGGCGAGTGTGAGGAAGTGAGAGATTGAGTGTGCAAGGTTGAATGTCTGAGGTTAAATGTAGCAGAGACAAACAGAGAGTGAGGTTTATTTTTCCCCCAGAAAGTGAGAAAGAGAGAGAGATACACTATCCTGGAGACTGTTGACTCTGATTTTAATGTAAATGTTTGCTGCTTCAAAGAGCCGAGGCTGAGTGCCATCCATACATAGAATTAAAATATTCACATAAAATTCTTATGAATGAACTTGAACTGGTTTCTCTTTTCCTCCTCCAGAGAATGCCTGTGTGGGGTTTGCCATTTCTCTGCTGATGCTCACTATCAGTGCCATGATGGTGTATGGAGCCATTACTGTGAGTGTTGCCGTGTCCTCTGAACATCTCATTTTTCTGCGACTTGTTGATGTTGTTTGTGATGCACTTGCTGCACTTTTTGGCCACTTCATTAGGTGCAGGCTGTCAGTTTTTTTTCCTTACCCCAACTGTTTTTTGTTGCATGGATTCAAGAATATACCAGACACTATGTCCAATATTGTCATAATAACATCAGTCACACTGCAGGACACTGGTCACAGTTGGGCAAAAAAAAGAAAACTGATAAAGGGAGGAAAACAAAGTGTACAGAAGATACAAGAGAAATGTTGGACAAATAAAAATTAAAGCAAATTATTTTTATGACATACTCACCCTTTAAGTCTAAACACTTAGTTATACATTAGAGAATTTTTCTATAGTAGTTGATGACATTGACACTTTGTCAATATTGACATATTTTGCCTGTAATATTTCAGCCCAGTTAAAGAGGTCGTGTGATTTCACTGCCTGTCATCTTCACCTCACAGAGCTGCCTCGTGGCATCAACACTGACAGGTTTGATAGAAGTCTGACGTAGGATGGCATTACGCTGCTAGTTTGAATGACTGCACGGTCAAATGTGTGAAACCCCTGGACGTTTCTGCTTTAGTTGTGTTGGTAGATGCTCCTTAAAATGTTGGTACATTGTCCTAGCATATTTTCTCTTAGTATTTGAGCCTTGGTGATTAAAACATGCTCCAGTCACCTTTTCATATACATGAGTAGTACTTGAAGAGTAATACTGTCCACTGTTTTCCTGAGATGAGAAGAACCATTTTGCTGGTTTCCATTCTTCAGACCTCCTTAATGTCAGCTCTTCCTGTTTTACTCAGTACTCTCCTCAGTCAACCACAGTCTGTTCATCTCACTCTTCAGTGTGGCTTCCACCTTCAGCACCACATCTGATGGTGCGTCCACGACCTGAGATGTGGAGGCTGTAAATCACCCATGTAAAAACCAACCAGTTGTTGTTTGACTCTCCACAGTAGCTGCTGCTGTGGAACATGATCATTCACAGCTCTAAGATTTCTAGATTAATCACATTTATATGAAAAGAATTAATGAGCAACAGAAGCAAAATGGTTCTTCTTTTGTTACTCTCATCACATTAAATGTATTAATAACCAATATATTTTTCACCTTTACATGTTTCTGGTTCTCCAGCACCGTGACGGATGGCTCATCCCCTTTTTCTGCTACCAGCTGTTCGACTTTGCTCTGAGCTGCCTGGTGGCCATCAGCTCTCTCACCTACCTGCCCAGGATCAAGGACTACCTGGACCAGCTGGTCAGAGCCAGCAGCACACCGTTGTTAAACTTATGTGACATTGGATATCATGTTACACCGATATTTCATTACATCTCATATTTTAATAAAATGCGTGCAGCCATTTTGATGTTGTGTTGGTGATAGTGATGATTTTTAAAAAAAAATTATTTTTCCTCCTCAGCCTGATTTTCCATACAAAGACAACTTGCTCTCCATGGACTCCAGCTGCCTGCTGCTCTTCGTGCTCGTCTTCTTTGCCTTCCTCATTATTCTCAAGGTTAAACTCCAATATATATTTACTCTATGAAAATAAAATCAAGGCTTTTCTGCAAGTGAGAACTTGCTGATTCTTATCTACCACCCTGTGTTCTGCAGGCGTACTTGATCAACTGTGTGTGGAACTGCTACAAGTACATCAACAACAGGAACATGCCTGAAATCGCTGTGTACCCCGCCTTTGAGACCCCTCCCCAGGTAAAGAGTGACTTCCGTTGTTGCGTTTTACTCGGATACATGCAGTTAAAACAATATGTAATGAGTAAATGCAACCAGCAGGGCGCACTATAGCTACATAAAAACATTGTCCACGTAAAGCCATGAGGGATAAACTTCACAAAGTAATGTATAAAAAGCAGAAATATATAAATATTCACCTTATTTCTTTGATAATGTTAGGTATTTTTTGGAAATTACCAAACATTTTGATTTATAACCTTACTGTTCAAATTGATACCAAGATCACTCTTTTGTGGAGTCGTGAGATAGAGTGTGTTGCAAGTCTAAAAAGAGAAATGAAATTGTTCCCAATTTCCTTCCTTCTTTTCTTTTTCAGTACATCCTCCCCACTTATGAGATGGCCATGAAGATGCCGGAGAAGGAGCCTCCTCCCCCCTACATGCCCGCTTAACCAGCAGCACCACTACTTGTTGCCAAAACAGACACACACAAACACAAATGCACACAGCTTTGTCATATGCATTCCTACATTCCTCCCTGAAACACATTTCTCATCTCCCCTCTTCATCCTCTGACCTGCTGTGTATGTGCAAAACACGCCATGTTCACCCGCTGACCACTGTGTTTCTGTCAAGTGTCCATAGATGAGTGAGAGAGGAAACGTGGAAAAGACTGAGAGATGTGTGAAATTGTAATAAAAAAAAAGGATTGAATGAATGAACGTGATCGGAGAGCGATGGAAGCTACCAGCCGATTTTCTCTGGCATTTTTGTATGTCTTAGTAAAAGGGAAATTTGTGGAAATGGAACCGCTTAAAATAATTTTATCAAACCAGCACCATCTACCTGTGGAGTGATATATTAGTGTAAAATAAATATATAATGACAATCTTCTTAGAGCCCTTATTGTTGACTTGTGTTCCCTTTTCTCCCTGAATAACCCCTCAGTGAAGTCGGTAGCATTTTTGCTCTTTTTGTGTGTATTTATTTAGCTTTGCTGTGGTTGACGTCATCACTGCTGCCCCCTTGTGTCGTTGACAAATTGTTGTGAATAACTTTGCAGCTTAGTCCGAAGCAGGAAAGTGACAACTTATCTTTGTCTCTGCTTCGTTCTCGGCCAACCTCCGCAGCAAACAGCTGGTTTTGTGAACATCTAGGTAGTTGCATGCTTCTCAAGCTCTGTCCCCTCAACATCACTTATTGCTTTAATGGTTATATGATTTAATCCTATTAAAAATATTTGACTGAATTAAAGATTTCAATAAAGAAACAGTCTTTTCTCCTGACTATTTTGTTTCAGACAAATGGTTGATTCAGAAAAAAAAAAATCCATAAAGAAAATGAGAAAATTAACTTTTGCATTTTTGTCTGCGATTTTGTTTACCTTCAACGTCTTTATTGATTTGCATATGAAAAAAACGTCATATATTGTTTTTTGTTGAGCTTGATTGCAAGCTATTTCTGATTAATATTTGCAAATATATTTCTTGGTTTTTCTAATTTCTCTATAATCTTCCTAAATTGAGTTTTATATTTTTAATAACAACTCGTGACGTTTTGCTGATCTGTTTTAATTGGTTGCGTTTCATTGGTAAATATTGCGGTGCCAGATCTGCAGCTTGTTCTTTGCCAACTTTTCACTATGCACACGTAATGCTAACGGTTGAAATGTATCCAAAATTACCCTGTTTTGGATAATTATATATATATATATGTAATAATGAACTCTGCCAACCGAATGAATACGTTGCGTGTTTGTGTGACAGGTATGACCGTTTCGTCCTCTTATTTACAGCCTGTAGGTCGTGACCCACGTTTGGATTGGACACCGATATTTGACGTGTGAAGTCGGAGGACTCCTCATATACGGAGCAGCGGAGTGTCCCGAACAGACAGACGGATACACAGAGGAAAAGAGAAGCAGGAAGGATGTCGTCTACACCCAGCTGTCTCTGTTTCTGCGCCCCGCTGATGCTGCTGCTGCTGATGCTGCTGATGCTGAATGATGTGCTGGCCACATACCACCTCAGTGCCGTAAACCCGGAGCTCATCACCGCACAGAGTCTGGCTCAGAGCAGGAATAATGGTCGAGCTCCGATCAGGACCCTCAATCCTGCAAGTAAGTCTTCAATTAGACTTTACTACTTTATTTATTATACACCCTTTACTAGAAAATTCATTTTAATTGTTCAATTGAAGAGACTACGTTATATACAGTATATATGTAAATACATATACTGTATACTGCAATGTCAACATACTGTATATCAACCTGGATATCTTCAAGCAGCTTGATATAACAGAGTTGGGTGCAGTAACAAGCGTATACTTTTTTTTTTCAAGAATTATTTGCATGTTGTCTAATTTGTAACTGTTTTCTTATTTGTACTGTACAGTACAAGTGAAACAATTCAGGAGGCTGAATGAACACTCATACTTTGTATGTCTGTGTTCATAACATACCACCAGAGTCACAAATTACCAGCACTTAGAGAAATGGTCAAAATGGAGAAATCACCCTTGAATGTCTCACAATGGGACTTTTAAAACTGCTGCAAAATCTAATGTTTTGCAGGATTACAGACTAATGTGCAGCCTTAAGGTAGTGTTAACAATGAACAGCTGTTGGTGGTTGTGTTAAAAAAGACTCAAAAGTCAAAATGCCAGAAAAATGTTCATTTTACTGAAACACTTTCAGCTTCAATTCAACTTTGGTTAACCATGATTCATTGTGATTAATTTCCAGCTACTCTGTGATTAATCAGGTTTAAAAAAAATGTAATTGTTTGACAGTCCAGTTTACAACGTTGGATATTTCAAAATTTCCTGGGAAACACATTTGACAGAGACAAAACTAACTGTTCTGTTGAAATGAATCATAAATAACTGTTAATTTCTGACTCTGGAGGGAACGGAGAGTTTGTTGTCATTTCACAACAACTTTCTTTTGTTGTCAGTGTCAACTTACACAGCTCTCTGGTTGTAAGTCTTCTAAATTACTAATGTTGTCCATCGCTTTTATTTTCTGGTGACCCTGTAGTTCACAGAGGTGATTACACGTATAGAGGAGGGTATCACTACCACTTCCAGCCACCAAGGATCCCTCCACCGGTAGTGTATCATCCTGTTCATCCTCTCTCTCCTCCAGTGACATACCACAGACCCTCAGTCCGTATGCCACCATATCAGCACAGGTTCAAGGGCCCGGTGGCTCCACAAATGCACCATCACATGTACAAAGGTTTATCTCCACCTGTAGCTAACCATCCACACCAGTGGGTCAAAGGACCGTTTCCTTCCAAAACAAAAGGTCCGTGTCCAACCGTACCGACACCACCCACGACACCTGTGGTGCCACGTTCTACTGCCCCGCCCGCTCTACCAGAGGCAACAGTGCTGCCAACTCTGCCAGCAACTACAGTGGCACCACCAACAACCATCACTCCGATGGTGGTGGTGACCACGGGGGCGCCAGTGGAGACCACAGCTGCTGTGACGCTACCGGTCAGTACCCAAAGTGGCCTCATCACCACCGTCAGTCCAGGTAGAACATTTCCAGTCAGGTTTGCCTCCCAACACAAACCCATGCACCTTAATACTGTAGTACTGAGATACTGTAGTACTGATCAAAACTACACCTACTAGTTTGTGATACATTAACCACATAGGTCATTAAAAATTTGAATTAAATTAAATTAAGCAATAAATAAAGGGATTTTCACTTTTCAAACATAGTTTTTACTGTAAGCTGTAACCCCCCCCCACACACACATATTTCCCCGCTTCTTCCTTTGGTTTAACCCCCCTCCCCCATATTTCCCTGCTTCTTCCTTTGGTTTAATTCATAAAATTAATGTTAAAGTGTAAAGTGTAACAGTAAAGGCCAGTGGCTCTTTGAAATAACAACTTTCCACATGTCATTTAAAGGTCTCCAAATGTTACTTTGAAAACTATTGCAATAATGTCAAACAACAACATTCTGGGCCCGTCCTGTCATTTAGGTCACAACCCACCATTTGGGAACCACTGGTTCTGAGCTCTTTGTGTGTCTTAATCCTTTCTTTGTCTTTAGGTGTGTGATGTCACGTTTGTGTGTGAACGTCTTCTTTCAAGGGAAATGACATGAAAGAAATGAAATGTTAAGTCAATGAAACGTCTTCATTGGACACTGAAATGACTGATAGTATATCTGCAGACATACTATTTCATTTCAACTCTCTGTTGTTTCACAGCTTCACTGATGCACAATATTGATCTGTTGTTCTTTGTGATGTTGTGCATCGTGACAGTTGAAAAGCTTCAACCTCAAATATCACTGTGTGTGACAATGAACTGGACCTAATCCTGCCATGGTGTCGTTGGTCACCAGAGACAGACTCTCAGTGCAGGAGCCGACCTCTGGACCTGGTCTTCATCATAGACAGCTCCCGCAGCGTGCGTCCCGGTGAGTTTGAGAAAGTCAAGATCTTCCTGGCCGACATGGTCGATACTTTAGACGTGGGCTCAGACGCCACCAGGGTGGCGGTGGTCAACTACGCCAGCACCGTCAAGATCGAGTTCTTGCTCAAAGATCACTTCAACAAGCCCGACATGAAGAAAGCCGTCTCCCGCATCGAGCCTTTGGCTGCTGGAACCATGACCGGCCTCGCCATCAAGACCGCGATGAACGAGGCCTTCACAGAACAGTCGGGAGCCCGTCCTCGCTCCAGAAGCATCTCCAAGGTGGCCATCATCGTGACGGACGGGAGACCACAAGACCAGGTGGAGGAAGTGTCTGCTGCCGCCCGAGCTTCTGGCATCGAGATCTACGCGGTTGGAGTGGACCGTGCAGACATACGGTCCCTGGAGCTGATGGCCAGCGTCCCACTGGAGGACCACGTCTTCTACGTGGAGACATATGGCGTCATTGAGAAGCTTACCTCCAAGTTCAGGGAGACCCTGTGCGGTAGGACAGAGACGGGCCTTAAGACCTTTTTCCATCATTAACCCTGGTTCTAGTTCCTGTAAGAGGCACCTACAGTCTTCAGGGGGTTTGATGTTTCTCTTTCTCGCTCATTGGCAGCGTTACTGCTGAACTTTGACCTAAGGAGATAATCTCAACCCCCACATGGGCTGCAGATGTTGACACTAGAACCTGTTAGTAGCTGCAGAGATAAACCAATGGAAAGTCTTGGGGTTAAGAAGCCCTAAACTTTTAACGTCATTCAAATATGACTGTTTTTTTGGGGGGGTTGTAACAAAGCATCACTACGGACTGCTTTGAATAAAGTTGTTGGAGTTTTGTTGACTGATGTAGAACCGTGTTGTAGTCACCTGGGGATTAAAATCACCCGGATTAAAGCTGCAGTAGGCAAGATTACAGGAAAAGAATTTGTCCAATTTGCAGGAAAAACTAGCTAAAACATTCATCTTATTTTTTAAATAACAATTTTTAATGTTTTCTTTTTTCTTGCAGCTTAGGAAGTTTTTTATGATAAACAAAAATCATCAACAGAGACAGAAATCCTGCCTACTGCCCCTTTAATAGATTATTGAAACATGTCTTAATATGCAGATGTTGGCTGACAACAGTATAATCCTACACAGTACACAGCACTTTATACTATATATGAGGGTGAAACATTAGCTAAGGCTCAGGGCAAAATGATCATTGAATTTTATAACATTAACCAGCATTTTGTTTTTGATGAAAGCAATTAAAAAAACTCCTTTGGCTTAGCTTCAAGATTTCACAATGTATACAACATCTGCAGGGTGTTAAAACTAGTCAAAACTCCTTTGGCTTAGCTTCAAGTTTCAGCCACAATGTATACAACATCTGCAGGGTGTAAATAATAGTAAAATATAAACAAAAAAAAAAGGTTTTGGTTTGATACAGAATATAATTTGGCCAAATAGGTTAGCCAGATAGCTAATACTTAGCCAACTAGCTTGAAAATGAGCTAAAAGTTAAAGAAAATAAATATAATCTTGCTGCAGAAAATACAAAATTCAAAACATGACACAAATTGTTGCCTGTGTTAGTTTCCAACCCTGATATAGTATAATAAAACTTGTGCATGCAAATGGGAAAATTAATGAATTAATCTTTAAATTTTATTTTATTTTTGTACAAATGACAAGTGACCTTGATTTTTTTTCCCATGCCGATGGCTAAGGTTTGTCACTTATAAACCATGTGACCATGTGTAATGCCACTGTCTGTGTGTAACCACTGCACTCCAGGGTTCTGTGATTTTACCTGTTCTGTCCACCACAGTGAAGGAAAAGGCGTCGGCTGAGATGTAGTGACCAGATTAACAACCACGTCCACGTGCAAACATCAGACTTTAACATAATCAGTTGTGTTTAATCGGCCTGTTAGACAGACACACGTAACCTGCTGTATGTCGGCAGAGAAACCTGTTCCCACGCTGCCGCCCTGACAGCACCGTACCTCAATTTCAACTGATTCTAGGTCTGGACCCCTGTGCCGTGGGACATGACTGCGAACATATTTGTATCAACAGCAACGCCTCCTTTTACTGCAAGTGCCGGAATGGTTACATCCTGAACACAGACCAGAAAACATGCTCCCTGAAACGTAAGAGCGTCCCATAGAAATTCCTAAATCTTTGTCTCATAAAAGTTTTAATAAAGTTCAGTAAGAGAATATCTTACCTGGAGGGTGTCAGTAAACACCTGGATCAGTCTGATGTAAACATCATCCAGGCTGTGTCAATGCTAAATTTAGACCCAAAATATTTCTACTACTTCTCTTGATGACACGATTCGGTTTGTCTTTAACCTATATTTGGCCACTCATGTTTTTCAGCAATACAAATACTTAACGGAATTAGCTTTGTGAAGCTGACATCCCTTTTCCTAAGATGGTCAAGGCATCACTGTCTTTCCTCTGCTTTTCATTGATTTGCTGATTTGCTTTGAGGTTGATCAGGTTGTAGTGTTTGTCCCTCAGCTAAAGATATTTTTTATTTTTAGCACATGTTATTCTGGAAGGTGTGCAGAGTATTTAGTCTCAATATTAAGGGAAAGTTGTGTTGACATGCAGCAATATCTTCAGAAATAATCTTCACTTCAGCAGGTACTGCTGCCTACAGTAGCTAGGGGCGGATTTCTGTGTTTGAAATCAAATATAAAATAGTAGTGGATTTGATTCTGTGAAATCTCCGGTGTGGCATCAGCCCCTGAACAGCAGCTTCTGCTGCAGAAACGAGACTGAGTTGTAATGTATGTGTGATCTTTGTTACTTTCGTCTGCTATGCTGATGTGAAATTTGCTTCCCCCTGGTGAAGAGGTGAAGGCGGAGGTGGTGATGGATCCCTGTAAATGTGAGGCCAGACTGGCCTTCCAGAAGCAGGCGCAGGCGGCCATTCAGCAGCTGACAGCCAAGCATATCCTCTCTGTTGTTTCAGATGGAGTACGTTCCCCTTTTCACAGTTTGACACTGTGTCTGTGTGTGTTTTCATAAGACTAACGTGACCTCTGTCTCCTCACCTCACATCCATCCTTCCCTGGTCTCTGTGCATGTGTTTGTGAATGAGTTTCCTTGACTGACGGTCACTAGCTGACGTGTCTGGCAGAATAGAGCGTCTTGAGAACGTGTTGGGCAGTGTTTAGATCTGGACTCAATGGTGAGCAGTGTTTTTTCTTTCTTCTCTATGTGGATTTACGTTACACAAAGTTTAAAAAAATAACTGCCGCCGCGTTCCAGTGTTTGACCTCTGGTTTATTGTCTTTGTGCAGGGAGCAGAATTGTTTCCTGTCGTAAGCAGGAGCCACGGACAACTGCACGGCAGACATCTGCTTCCTGGAGCTGCTGCGAGGATTTGAACCCACACACTGAGTGAGACTGTGACTCCAGAACCAGAATTCCTCTTGTTTCTGACTGCAGGAGCACCGTCAATGAATGATAATTGAAATCTGTGCTCAAAGCAGTTTATTTTTAATTTCATTTTTTACCATCGAACATGCTGTAATGCTGAGTTATTATTTGTTTTTATAATTGTTTCTGTTCATATTGTACATAGATGATTTAAATAGAAAATCTCATGTTTAGTTATAATTCTGACTTCTGATATCTGACTTCAATTTTTACAATCTGAATGAAAGTCAGAAGTAAAAAAATGATTTTCTTTTCTGACTTCAATTTTTACAATCTGAATAAAAGTCAGAAGTAAAAAAATGATTTTCTACTTTAATCCCACCATACTATAAACGTGTTTGTTGTTGTGTAATATATTATAGTCATTATATATCATATATATTTCATGTAATATAAGACCTGTACATGTAATAAAACATTTTGAGTAAAGACTTGAGTCAAAGACTTTTGACTTTTCTTTATATCATTTTGTGTAACGACTTTGCTGATTGCAATGTTTTAGCTGAAGATACTGTTAGAGATTTTCAGAAAATGACTGTACAGATGAATGAAGTATTGCATGAATCATCCTCACATCACCGTGAGAATCTGTAACACATTCGCGCTTCTGTGTCAGTGTGGAAACGTATTAACATGGTGTCATAATCCACCCACACCTCCTCACCACAGTCACTCACACCATTCACCTTGTTTGCACCTATATCATCTGTACATGCTGTAGATTACTGAGCTGGACTCAGATAAATTCATGTCAAATCCCATCTAGAATTTGCCCCAACTTACTGCAGGCACGAACCAACAGCGGAGACAGAGGACGAGAGGATATCATGTTTTTTTTCTCTCCAGACAACAGAGCTTCTCTGTCTGCGACATCTGTGTGAGGCACAGAGTCAACACACCCACATTTACCTCCAGTCTGGTTTGGATCCTCTCCCTCCATCCTTTCACCGCACAGCTCTTTCATGTTTGTTTGCCATTTCGCGTGCTTTCATGGTTACTACACACACACACACACACAGATGTGAGCTCTCTTTCACCTAAAGAAGATGGATGAGCCTCACAGACCTTTGACAAGTGTGAAAGATACATACTGAGGCACAAAGTTTATATTTTGCATCAATAACAACACTTGTAAAACCTTGCCTCTGGCATCGCTTTGCTTAAAGAACAAAACAGATTTTTACAAATGTAATAAGACTGGGGCTAAATATTTTTTGACATTTTTTACTACAAAAATAAAACTAATTTCTATTTCTAATTTGTCCACATCTCAGGTTAGTGAGCTTGTCAGAGGAGAAGTAAGTAAAGTGACACACATCCGTCCTGGTTTTGTTAAAGTGGACTTTGATAGTTTCAGCTAAGGAAAATATTTAGTGCCAGAAGTATGTAACACACATCACGTGTGTTACATAAACTGCACAAACAGTCTGTCATGGCCTGTTGATAAAGTTTAAACATTTCCACTTTAGTTCAATTTGTGAATGTAAAGGTTCACTCATTTTTAAAACTAACATCAGATGTTTGAAAGCAAGTCTTATTCCAAATCGGTTTGAATTCCAGAAAACTCTTATAACATGGTTCCTGTGATTTAATGGTCAGTAGTTGACCTACATTTTCTGTGTGGGCTACATCTTCCTTCTCTGGGTCAAACTGGTCTGGTGTTTGATCTGTTTTGACATAAATGGGTTGTAAAAAGGAAAATCACACATTTGCTAAGTGACCTCTGCTTTCTTCAAGTGTCACTTTTCTCCAGCATTGCTGACTTCTTCACCTTTGAGATGGTGAGAAAATGTCTCACCAGTTTGTTTACGGGTTTTGGCTCTTTGTTGTGTATATTTACAGACATAAGTGTCCAGACAGGGCAAACCTCAAGTGTCCTTCAAGTGCTTTAGCAGATGCTTGGGTTGGTCATGATTTGAGAATCAAACATTTTTAAAAATTGTAATAATTACTTTTATTACAATGAATGTATAAGTAAATATAATAATAATTCATATTCAGTACTTTATTTACCGTTACCGTTTGACGTTTCTCGTCTATGAATGGTTGACGTTTGGTGAGACGTAATTTCCGGTACAAAAGATAAACAGGAAATGACACGAACACGTCCTTAAAGCAACTCATGATGGAAGAGGCTTTATTGGAACATGCAAACTCTGCGTTTAAAATGAAGAATTTCATTGAAGCGGAGAAGCTATACACTCGATTTATCACTTCATGTTTACAGTTCAGGTACATGACACACGATGACAGTTGCGGGATGTTACAAAACATTCTGTTACCTGTCAGATTAAATGTCATTGTTTTTGTCCACTTGTTGGAGGTTACTGTTTTTTTATTGTTATTTTTAATTTAGGTATTTATTTTACATTCGATTTACTAAGGTTTAAGCTGTGTGTCATATGTCTCAGACAGTGTCAAGCTGCAGATTTGGCCACAGCTTATAACAACCGCGGACAGATAAAATACTTTCGGGTGGATTTCTACGAAGCAGTAGATGATTATACGTCTGCTATACAAGCTAAAAGTGAGTTTGAGATACCTCTCTACAACAGAGGAGTCATCCACTACAGACTGGGTAAGTAACTGCATTTATTCCAAATGTGAGCGAGTATTGTTTAAGTTGTAACGAATCATTAGACTTCCGCTATTTCACAATAAAAGTCTTTCGCCAGAGTGTGTTTACACCAAACACTCTTTTGCCGCTCTGTTGTGACTGACATACAACAATTGCTTTCTAGCTAGTACCTTCAATTTCAAATACTAGAATCTTTTGTATATTTGCTTATTTGTTTCACTATCTTGCAGGTTTTTTCGACAAAGCCAAGACTGACTTTGAGCAGGTTTTAAAGCTTAATCCTGAGTTTGAAGAGGCCAAAGTGAGCCTCCAGCAGACCCTCCTGGACCAGCAGCAGAAGATAAACCGGGGATACTGACAATCCTTTGGAACCGCACAGGACATATTTTCAGGACATCATTTTAAGAACAAACAAACATATTTTTATCATAATCATAAATTAATATTTCTAATGAAATAACATATTTATTAATACATATTCAACCAACTAAGATCAGAGTATTCTTCATGGAAATATTCTCCCCAACACTGACTGTTAATCTGTTTTTTGTTTTACATATATATTTTTTATTTTAAATGAAGGTAAAATTTAAGGGATGCTTCATTTGATGTAAATGTGTTAAATTACTATAGCTGTCCAAATTCAATGTGAAGTGATCTGCACAAACAAATGCAAGCAGAATATTTCACAAACATGTTGTCATGTAGTCAAATGTGGTATAATTATGTGTTTTATGATTTAACAGAGCTTTAAGATTTTTAATAAAATGTTTGAAAAAGTGTGCATATTTTGTGTCCTCTGCAGCCATTGTCCATCTGTCAAATCAGGGCTGTCAATAATTGTTATTTGTTAAATATTGTATGCGGTATTTTGTGCCATCTGCTGTGAAATGTTGTATAGTGCGCCCTCTGCTGTGTCGCAACCAAACTACTTGAGGTCGCTGAATGTTTGGGGTTTTTTTTTCAACAAAGTTTTGAATACCGTATATCGGAAGGAAAAAGAGCATACGACTAGAATGTTTTGCTGTTTAGGTTAACAGTGAAAACAACCTGATTTTTACTCTACTAGTAACTTTATATATTTAGAATATTTTGAGACTATATTTAATAATTTCATTAAATAATTCACAAGTTTGCTTGCATATAAATGTATACATGTGTATTTCTTGTGCATTTTCCAGCAGGCACGTGGGACCTTGTGCGCAGCAGATGCTGAATCACAGATGAACCTCACCTGTGCACAGTGATCAGGTGATGTATAAAACAGCTGGTGGCAGCTCTGGGTAAGTCAGTCAGCCACTTCCTCTCACACTTGGTTTTGTAGATACTGTAACTACTGCGGGGAATCAGTGCCAAGCTGTGACTAGTGGTTTGATTCCTTGGAGTTCTTTGGCACTGTGCAGATTAGCATGGCAAAACTCAAGGATATGTAAGTTTATCCATGATATATTTGTTTATAGTGATTGATTGTTGATACATTTTCCACTGTTTAAATGTTTTAATCTGTGTTTAGCTTGCAATGGAGCCTTATTCTGGCAGCAGTGATGGTCTTAGTTGGAGCAAGGCCAAATTTAAAGCTGAATTCCCAGACAAGTAAGACTTACTTCCCAAGTAAATAAACTGGTTAATTTTACTAGTAAGTATATAGTAAGAGTCTGACTAAACCTTTCCCAACAGGCAGTGGTTTAAAGTCCGACTGTGCCGGCAATCTAATGAGACTGTCCTTAGACAAGGCTCTAGCAGTGGGGAACCAGCTTGAGGTGGACGCTATCAGTGAGTATAATCGCCTGAAGGCAAGCATGCAGCGGTTTTATCACTCATTAGACCGCTTCTAACCCCTGTCATGTCTGCCTTGCACCTGTAGATGGCACCCAGCACGTTGCGATAACCCCGAGTCTGGCGGCCCAGTGTGGATACAGCATGGAGTCTGACCCGTGGGGAAACACCAGGATCTACACCTCTCTGATGGGCTGCTATGTAAACAACCATGTATGTTGAGTCAAGATTTGTGGATTAAAACTAATAATTTAATTTAAAAACGTAACGTTGAGAAGAGTTTGGATTTGTGGATTAAAACTCATAATTTAATTTTTTTTTAAAAACGTAACGTTGAGAAGAGTTTTGAGTTTATTAGGAAAAAAACAGCGTTACGAGAGAGGTTAGAAATGTGCTACATTTCACGTACTTTTTCCACTCTACTCAAATTTACAATAGTAAAGTCGGAAAGTAACGAGGGAAGTCGTAAACTTGAGAAAATGTCGGGAAGACACGAAAGTGGTTGTAATATTGCAAGGAAATGGTAAGTTTACGTGATTTTTTTTAGGGTATAAATTAATTATCTACTGTTGACAAAGCGTAGGATAAAAATGAGAAACTTCCTGGTAATCTTAGTCTTTAGCAACGGTGTCACAAATGAGGTACTTCGTGTTTTAGCATCTCTTAGCTATTTTTTTTCTAGAAGCATCCATACTGTTAGCGGTCTTTTTGTTGTCCACGTTTTTAAGTTTCTTACGTTCTCAATTCTTATTAGTCTTTTATACATGTATTATTTTATATTTGTTTTTACTCAATTCGACCCTAACAAGTCATTAATACACAAGTATTACAAAATTATTTGGATTTTTCTATTGGTATAGTCTTTGACTTTGTTAGCATTTCAGAAGGCACAAACTAGCAAATAATTAAGTGTAAAAACAAACTGACAATTGTTGGAAAAGTTAGTTTAAATAAACTATTTGGATTGCCTTGAAATACAAACAAATTGGCTATATTTGCATTTGAAATTTGTCCAGTGTAAGTCTCCTTACAGCTTTATGGTTTCTCTTTAAATTTAATGAAATCTGGATTAAAAAAAAAAACAACCAAAACCTCTAGTTCAACTGACTCAGCATTCATTACAGGAGGATACCACTTTTACAGTCAACCTGAGGCTGAAGATGATCAACCAGAGTCCTTCAGATATAACCAGCCATGACGTGACCAAGACGTGCAGCTACTCCCGATGGGCCTCCAGAGAGGTTCTCTGTGACAGGAACTACATGGAAGTAGGTCAACAACATCCAATCCAGGTCTAGTGGGAATCCTTGTGACTCAAGAAATGAAATGTCTTAAAAAATGTTTTTTGGGTCCTAGGTGTCGACTCGCATGTCTGCACCAGATGGTGAAGCTAAGGGACAAACTCAAGTGGTTAAAGATGACTCTAAGATCAACACAGTTCCTGGTGTATGTACTACTCAAAGGTTAATGTACTTTTTTTTTTAAGTCAGAATTATTTAACCTATCATCAAATGGTGGTGGTTTCTTTTAATTTGCAGTCCTCAGGTGAAGAACATGGAATTTGGAAGATGACCTTCTTTACTCCAGAGCCAGTAACAATGGTACTGAGGGAGGCTACGCAGGCTGGTTACTCTGCTATGACCACTTCCAACCGTGTGGTTGTCAGAAGCCCTTACAACACGGCAGAGACTTATTCTGAGGATGTAAGTGTCCACTCTCCTTCACTGTATACATCTATAGTGAACTGCACCACTAATATGAGCTACACTTTAGGTTGCTGGAGTTCCTATGGAGGTTTTGAAGGTCACTGCTTACTACAAGACCTCTCATGGTCTAAGTGTGGTGAACATGGCTGCTGCTTGTCCCATAGGTGAGGCTCAAAACTCATTGATTGTAAGGTCAGCTGCCATATCATCAGTTTTGCTCTATTGCCACTGTCCAAATGGCAGAGTAAGTCCTTGAATTCTTTTATGCAAACTTACAATTCTAACCAGTTCATCTGAATGTAGAAAGATGTTCAGGACTCTTTGAACAGACAACTGTTTTGTATAAAACAATGTTGGTAAACTCATGAATTGTATATCCTGAAGTAGCAGATGGGGTCAATTTTTATTTTATTTATTTTCTGTACTCCATGTGGTTTTGAGCTTCCATTTCAGTTAGAATGGTTTGAGCCCAGAGCTGGTGTGTTTTTATGATGCCTTAAAGACCAGTTGAACAGATGTCTGTTAGAAAATGTACACCAAGCTTTTTAAAAAATGCACAGGTGGCGTTCTCTTCACCGAGGATGTAATCTCCTGGTACGTACCCAGTCGTGTGACAACCCTGGTGGACGGTAGTGTTAGCATCCTGGAAATGCACATGGGCATCAATGGGCAGCGGTTGGATGCGTCCCAGATGGCCGCACGTGGTTACACACTATCTCAAACAGATTTTCACATTGCCATCGAGCTCCCGGTGGGTTCGCCTGACGGTTACTACAAGGTAAAGGAGTGCACAGGTCCACTGAGCAAGACTCTTGTCTTTTTCATATTTCATTAAAACCTCGTGAATTATTTCAGAGCCATGCCCCAGATTACCAGTACCACGTCACCTACAGTGTGGAGCCCATGCTGGAGGTACTGTGGAGGTCTGACACCCAGGACGATACAAAATACAAGGTTCTGTTCCCTGTCACCACTCCTCTGATGCCCAGAACTCCATTCTCTGTTGAATGTAAGGGCTCCTCCTACTGGGATGTAATGGGAATTGGAAGATTGGAAGTGTGTAATTTTGGTACTCTGCTCTGTCCAGATACAGTCCCAGAGGACAGACTTTTCGTTGTCCATGTGGGCACATTTCTTCATGATGTGGAGCTGAAGAACATCACCTTCTCCACTGGTGTACTCACAGTGGAGGAATGCAATGCTAGAGGTTTTACTGTCCAGGAGCACACGTTTTCCAATGGAACGAAGAGCTTCACTTTGCAAGTGCCATTTGATGACGATGTCGTCCTGAAACATGTATGACATAATTACATTTGGGCTGAAAACAACTTGAAGCAAACGATTTGAAAGTTTCACAGTTAAAATGTGATGACTCTTTTTTTCAGAATCCTGAAAAGCTCGTCACGGTCTACTTCCTGCCTCTGGTTTTTGGATTTCTCATCCAACCAGAAGAAATTCCATTTCCCTATGCTGTAGATTTGGAGGCGTTTCTGCAGGATGTTGGTGAGATGTTTGTGATGGTGATGGCATCAGATGAAGGATAAATTCTAAAGTTCAATATCAATGTTTAACTTTTCTGTTCCAGTGTTGCCCACCCTCTCTGGCTTCTGTGACCAGAGCAATTTTCACATCCTCGTGGAATATGGGAGTCAAGGCCGTAACTTCCAGACACTGGTTGGCTACCAGGAGCTGACCTCTGACCTGAGTGAGGACTTTGATCTGAAGGATAACCGCACACACTTCAGCTTTGTTGTACCATTCATGGCAAAGAATGCAGCATTTGAGGTAGGTCTGGGTGGGGTGGGGGCCACAGTTTGGATGTGAAAGGCTGGTAATTTAGTGCCTTTAGAGCCTAAGAGCTCTAGAACTTTGACTAGGCTTTTTAATCCTCTTCTCCCCATCTTCCATCAATAGTTGGCTATGTTAATGGTCTAAATTGGTGTTTTTAAACTCCACCCTGTGTTTTGCAGGTCATCACCTCTGATTCGCTCAGAGCCAGACTTGACGTTGTGCTGTGGGATCAAAACAATGAATGGGTTCTTGGTGATCTTTACCTGGCCTGCAATTTTCCTTTCACCACAACCGGTAAGATGATGACCACTCTGATCTTTTCACATCTCATTGGTAAATAAACATCTGAATTTGAGTGTTTCTTTTGCCTCTTTAGAATGCTACGCTAATGGGACAATGACTGCAGTGGCTGTGAAGGTGGAATCTCTGCTGAATCTCATTCCTAGCATGCTGACTCTAAAGGACCAGACCTGCAAACCAGACATCAGTGACGATCGCTTTGCTCATTTCACATTTAGTGTGAACTCCTGTGGAACCACTAGAATGGTGAGTTGGACAACCTTAGATTGATTGATCTGAACTTTAAAGGGACTAAAAGGTCTGAGGTGACTTTTTCTTTTCAGTTTTTTGACCACTACATGCTATATGAAAATGAGATTGGCCTGTACTACAACAACTATAAAAACAACAAAGGAACAGCCTACACATCACCTGTTGATCCTGACTACAGGTACTTTCTCCCCTTGATACTGCAACCTTCAGACTTACACTTTGTCCAACTTATTGTTTTAAAAACCATTTCCGCAGGCAAACTGTTTCCTGTTACTATGTTGTCAACGACACTCAGACTTTTGCATTTATGTCCGAGCCCATTAACAAGGAGCCAGCAGCTGAGATTGGACTAGGACAGCTGATGGTGCAGATGAGACTGGCAGAAGGTACAGATATCTCAAGGCCATTTTTATCTGGTCACATTTATTGTAGTAATTTTATGGGAAATGCTGACTTGAAACTAAATTTTATTGTGGGCTTAATATTTTCCTCCAGATTCCTTCTACGACCTCTTCTATCGCCCAGAGGATTATCCAGTGGTGAAGTACCTGAGACAACCTCTGTATTTTGAGGTGGAGCTCATGCACTCTACTGATCCCAGCCTGGAGCTCATCTTGGACAACTGCTGGGCAACTCTTGATGAAGACAGGGCATCGCTGCCAAGCTGGGACTTAATCATTGATGGGTAAGGGTGTCAAACACATTGTTAAAAAAAAAAAAGTTTAAATATTGTCTGACATACCTTTCTCTGCTTTTCATCAGATGTGGTAACCAAGATGACAGCTACATGACGGTCTTCCATCCTGTTATTGGTGACAGCAGAGTTCCTGTGCCGTCCCACTTCAAACGCTTCTCTATAAAAATGTTCACCTTCACTAGAGATGACGAAGTTCTGAAAGATGAGGTTTGTTATGTCATGAAATTTGTTTCAGCCATTTGGTTCATTCATATACAAATGTTTATATATATTTTTTGAAATGTCCCACAGATCCATGTCCACTGCGATGCACTGATTTGTGACACAAGCAGCAATGCAGACGGTGCCTGTAGAGGGCAGTGTTCAACCCCAGACTTGAATAACTTCAGATATCCAGGCATAAAAAGAGGTATTCGTTTTTGGGGGTTTTTTGTTTTTTAAATCAAAACAAACTGAATATTGTACTTATTTTTTTATTTTTATTTTTTTTCAGAACAAAGAAGCACAGACTCAACATCTCACAGATGGCTCTCCAGTGGACCGATCCATCTATTAAACTCTGGGTCAGAACTCTGAATAAATGTTTCTTAATTCAATCCAGTTTCTTATCTTGTGAATTGAAACATGTCGGTGTGCAACTCCAAATTGTGGTTTCCACCTTTGTTTTTGTGCAGGACACATTTTACATTGAAAAGTCACACAGTACACCACATTGTTTCAAGTTTATGTAATGTAGTTTCTATTTAGTGGGTGTGAAACCTGGCTCTTCAATAATGGCAACATTTTCCAAAGGTAGAATGGCACCATCTGCTGCCACTTAGTGGAGGAATAACTTGTACTTCCTATTACTGTTTCTCTGACTTTATTTATTCTCAGTAAATAGTTTTTAGGCATCAGTGAAAACCACATTCCCATGATACACTATTTAGGAATCACTGTAACGTGAGTTCTCTAGAACAGATGGCTGACAGATGCATTTATCTCCTACCTGTGACTTCAGTTTAGTTCTCAGCTGGACTTGTTATTTTGAACTCGGGTCAGTGTATCCAACTTGTGTTGAAATTGTGCATAACAGTAGTTTAAACAAACCTAATTGTTCCCTGTTTTGGTCACTTTAGAAATTCAGAGAACAAAAACAAACCTAAGGCACAGCATCAAAGATGTGTCCAGGCTGACCTCAAAACACATTTATTTACCTCAGCCTTTAACCTTGGTGAATGTTTACCCACTGTTCAAACTTAACCACAAATGGGTACTTTAAATTGAGTAATGTTGTATTAACCTGTAAGGGTTTTTTTTTCAATACATTTGAACTATTTGGACTTTTATTTGGTATAATCCTACTCCTTACTCCAAATGTGGACAAAACGTGTGCTCTAATTTTAATTATCTAAATGCTTATCTCCAAGTTAAACTTCAGGCTGGTGTGAAGGGTCTCTCTCCAGCAGAAGTGAAGTTTCCTAAACCTGTTTTTTTTCTCCTCTAATTGGCTGTAATTATGCTTGGTCGAGTAAATAACAGTGGGTTTCCTTTGTACAGATAATTCTGATTAAGTCTCAACTCACAGTTGGCAACTTAAACCTGGAACTTAAAACCCATAGATATCACAGGTTGAGTCTGTGCAGTAACTGTGTTCTACTGTGTGTGTGTGTGTTTTCTGGACATAGTCTTGGTTTTCCAAATACAGTCCAAATACACTGTGAATGGATTTAGGTTATCTGGATACTCTAGACCAGTGGCCCACAACCTTTTTTTGTACAAGGGACTGGTTGGCTGGGACAATTATTGCTGCACTGATATCTAAAGGATCGTTAACAAATTAAGGATCAGAAAAATCTCAAAATCCTTCAAAAACAAAACAGCTTTTAGACTTTGTTCTGTTAGTATTAGTCTGAAAGGCATACTAAGTTGATCAGGCTGGCACCAGTCCACAGACCCCTGCTCTAGACCAGTGTAGCATCTACTTGTATGTACTATGTCAGGGTTGTCAAATTCACAGTGGGCCAGAAGTAAAAAGGTGGGAGAAGTCACAGGCCAAACTAAATATTTATTACAAAATTGACTGGAAATGTGCATCGTTTCCCTTTTCTACAGATATGTTGAATTTTTTTTTCATGTGGAAACAAACTTAAGTTTTAGCGTACACATTAAATCTTGAATGACCAAAGCCTAATATAAACAAATATGAAATTAATAAGTCAAATAAGTGGTATTTGTTTGTCTCTATTTCCAGCCTTTTTTTAAAAAAACAAATCTGTTTTTACAGGTCAACAAATGAACAACCAAAGATGTATGTGCTACAATATACAATACACCAGAGGCCAGATTTGGGCCCACAGACCTGAACTTGACACTACTATACTATGTGTTCCTCTGGACCAGTGAACTGACCACTGATTCAAACTCTGGGAACCACTGCATTAGGGGAACAAAAAGCAGCAAGTCAAATTATATTTAAGTGGGATGTTTATTTTCTTTTCTTCAGTGAATATATTTTTTAGGAATGAGTGTTTTATAATTAGTTTCAGTGGAGTTTTGAAGCACTAAGCTGTGAATATGTGTGACCTGAGAAAAATCAAGCAGTGAATGCATGTTAAAAGCCCTGTGTGGATCAAACAAAACCAAGAAAGTCACATAACTTTAAAAATACTTTATTAGTATTTTTAGGTTGTAGCAGTCATCAGAGGTCCTAATGAAACAATCATTCTGGGTTCTTTTGCAGAAACCTGTCCGTCTGGAACAGCTCGTCTTTGACCTGCCGAAAAGGTAATAAAGCAAAATGTTGTCTTTTCCTGAACACCGACATTTAAAGCATACCAAAATATACTTTAAAAAAACAACCAATACAATAATACAATATTTTGAGTGTCTTACCTTTTGTTCCCTGTGCCTGTTTTAATGTCAGATAATACAATATTTTGAGAGTCTTACCTTTTGTTCCCTGTGCCTGTTGTGAACACTGTCCAGCACAAACTCCTCCCAGTGGATTTCTGGCATCACAGATCACCACGTCACAGTGAACATAGATCTGTATTTTAGGGAGAGGTTCAAAATGAGGGTTTTTACATGAGTTCAGGCAAAACAACAGGCAGACGGTAAGATTCACAGTGACACCATGAAGGAAAACTTGGGGCACAAAGTTTGATCATTCAAGAAGCTATTTTTGCTAACATTGCTCGAATGAAGTGTATGGGCTTGATTTAAAGTTGTTTCAATTAGGTCACATTCTTACCCGATTATTTAAATGATCTTTATTTTCAGCAAAAGCAAACATCTGGACCTCGAAGCGTTTGACGAGAGAAGGATGTTGAACCCTGTCATCGACCCAAACAGGATGGAAGACCACCTGGCTGCTGTCCACTGGATTTGCACAGCTAGAATGTAAAAAGATGTAATGTTTAAAACATTTCTATTTAAGCACCAGACAGATCCAACACTTTGACAGGTGAATGTGACCAGTTCCTTTTTACCCATTAATGATCAGGTTCCATCGTGGTGTGGATGTCCTGTCCTCGTTCTGGGTTGCCCAGCAGTTCTCCAGTTCCAGTGAAACTTGGGAATTTAGGGACCTCATCAGTTCAACCTCAAAATACATCGGCTGGCTCAGGTACTTAGCAAGAGGGTAGTCTTCTGGTCTGTAGAACGTGCTGTAGGAGTCGTCTAAGTGACGAGACATGGGACAAAAATGTATAAAACATTTTGGAAAGCGAGTATATAGATGTATGAAAAAAAAAAGGTTTTGTTTACCTGAGGCAATCCTCATGGCAACTTGCAGTCCTCCATTTGCATTTTCAGCATATGGTTCACTCCTGCGAGGTCTGGTGTTGAAGGCTACGGCGTGGGTTGTGTTGGTGTCATAGTAGCAAGAAATCTTTATTCTGTACAAAGGGACAACGTGTGGAGTTAAATGTAAAAAAAAAAAAAAAAAAAAAAAAAAAAAAGACTTAAGGAATGACATCTTAAATGTATAAAAGGTAGAAAAGCTGAGCATCGTGGAACAAAGTAACAAATATTTTTTTATTTAAAAACCTGTGCACAGCAGCTTTTAAAAGTATAAAGTAGATTTAAGTTTTGGGTAGACACCAAAAAGATTTAATAAAATAATTTTGAATGCTTTAAGATCTGAACTTTAACCCATTATTACAGCTACTTACACGTAGTCTGGCGCCTCCGTTTTTGATTGCGTTGCCACTTCAAGTTCATCTGGCAGTGAGATTTCATTCTCGTACAGCATCACGTTTTGGAAAAACTAGAAAAATGTCAACATATCTACATGTGGTTTTATCATCTGAACGGAAGTAGCAGCTTCTAAAGACCTGGTTTTGATCCTGACCTTTTACACTGTCACAAGATTATCACATTAATCATAGTTTGATTATGGATACACAAACAAGTACCCGTCTAGTTGTACCACAGGAGTTCCCAGTAAAGACAAAGAAAGCGTAGCGGTCATCACTGTAGTTGGGGCCACAGCTGGGGTCTCTGAGAGTGAGCTGGCTGGGGTTCAGATTGGGAACAGACTCCAGTTTCACAGCCAGTGCAGTCATGGTACCATTGGGGAAGCACTCTGAGAAGAACAGCAAACTACAGTCACTGTGTTGCCTTCAATGCTGAAGCTTGATATACAGTAATTGGTGACAAACCAGTCAGTGCTGATGGGAAATTGCAGGCCAGGGTGAATTCTTCAACTACTGCGTAAGAGCCAGGTTTTCTCAGGCTCACATCCAGTCTGGCCTTGATGGATGATGACTTCACAGCCTGGACAAAATTTTTTAAAAAATAAAATAAAAATAAATAAAATGTGGGAACATATTTAAAACGTGTGAATATTACCACCATTGGACTCTGATCTAACCTCAATGGCAACGTCTGGGGCCGTAGATGGAACCACCAGACTCAGGTGTGTGCTGTTCTCCATGAAGCTGTAATCTTGAGACAGACTCCGAGTCAGTGCTCGTTTTCCCACTATGGTGTGAAAGCTGAAACCAGGGCTGCCGTATTTAACGAAGATGAAGAAGTTTGCAGAGTCACAGCCTCCAGAGACAGATGGGGGAACTAAAAGGATAAGAGTAAATATCATGTAAAGGGGGGGAAAAAAGAAAACTAAATTACAGATTATATAAGGCACAGACCTATGTCTTCTGTTTTAGCTTCCAGATAAGCAGAGTAGGAAAATGGTGTGTAGTCTGGCAGCACCAGCAGACCAAACGTCAGGGCAAGGGTGTATACAGTGGACACTGTCCCTTTCTGTGGGGAAAAAAAACAAAACAAAAAAAAACCTTCTGTGGGGGGAAAAAAAAACCCCATAATGTTTGTATTCGAAGTCTCCAAGCTCTGCAGACCCTCTTGATGTCAAGTCTTACCATTTGTTGAACCACACGGTCTGTGAACGGCACTTCCAGCGTAAAGACCTTGGAGCTGTTGAGTGAAATGTGCTCCAGGACGTTAAAGCCTCTTGTCCTGCAGTCCTGAATGGACAAAACCTCGTCGCCAAATGTGATGCTCTCCAAAGCCACATCAGAGAGAAAATACCCGAGCAGAACCTTAAAGACACGTTCTTCTGGGACGGTGTCTGTGAAGAGATTAGAGATGAAGCAGCAGTGTGTAGTATTTGAAGTACAGAGACAAGTGGAGTGGGAGGCTCACTGTCAATAACTTGTGGAGGTTGATCCTTTAATGGTGTGGCGATGGGAAAGAGGACTTTGTATCTGGTGTCCTCTGTGACATCTTCAGTCCAGAGCAACTCCAGCATGGGCTCAATGATGTAGCTAGTGGAGTACTGGTCATTGTGAAGGTAACTCTGCCAAACAAAAATACATAATTACTTTATCACAAAGCTACATTTGTTACTAAGAATCAAACAAAATAGTCAAGGAAAAATACAAAAACAACAACTGATCATTTTAGCTCAGATAGCTAAATATTAGCCCTATAAGTTGTCTATTGATAAGGAATCAATTTTGTCTAAACATTCAAGTAGCACAGAAAGTTTCCAATCCATGTAAGGTAAAGGATTTGGCTAATTAAGAGCCAAAATCTGTTAGATAGAATTTAAAAAAAAAAAAAAAAAAAAAAAAAAAAAAAAAAAAACCTTAAGCCATCCATAAATTACTAATTAACTTTTATGAATGAGATAATGTAAAATTCTATATTCTTTATGAATATGGATTAAATTAAAAAAAGCAATACATTATACACATGACAGACCTTAAAGAAGCCACCGACGGCCCCAACAGGAATCTTTAAAATGACGTA